TTTCTTTATGTTGTTGTTGTTGTTGCTGGAAAAAATAAGAAACTGATTTTTTTTTTTGAATGTTTAGTACTTTATTATGATGATGATGATCATAATGATGATCATGGCTACAATTTATGGTCAAAAATTTTCTTTCATTTCACTGACTGACTGACTGATGGAATTGAGTGAATAACTCATTTGCCAAAAGCTTGGTTTTCAGTTTTTTTTTCACTGACATTTTATTTTTCATTGTTTGATTCCATTTCATTTTAAAAACAACAGCAAAAAAAAAATGAATGAAATGATATGGTCAAGAAAGAAAGAAAGAAATTTTTTTTATTTAATATTAAAAAATATCATCATGTAATGGAATTTTTTCTTGTTTGTTTGTTTTGACCCTGTTTTTATCATCATCATCATCATCATACATTTGATTCTGTGTAAAAAAATTTAATAATTCAACGACATTAAAATTGGAAATATTCCGTCACAACGAATTCGTCGTCATGTTTTACATTCATTGATGATGACGATGGTAATTTTTTCTCTCTCTCTCTCTCTTTGGTTAGTTTATATTTGTTTATTTACTTAATTTGTATGTATATATATGAATTGACATAAATTTTTCTCACGTCAATTCATCCATTTATTCATTCATTCATTCATTTTTTTTTATTCTTATGTTATACTGCAACAATCTATGTAAATTGGCAACATTAACAATCGTTACATTCAACATTTATATAGAAAGAATTTTTTTTTTGTTCCCATGAATAAAAAAAAATCAACTTTGAATTGTGAGAAATCAAGCAAACAGAAATGAATAAATAAATGATGATGATGATGATGAATTTCGATTATATTCATTCACTTCACCATCATACTATTGATGGATTCAGTTGATTTTTTTTCTCGTCGTCTCTCTCTCTCTCTCTCTCTCGTTATATAAACACAAAAATTTCATCATCATCAGTGGTGACAAACACACACACACACACACACACACACAAATATTGTTGGTTTTTCAAGGAGACAAACAAAAAAAAAGTTGACATACACCAAACACACACACACATATATATAGAGGAAAAAAAATGATGAACAAAAAAAAAAATAAAATTTGCATACGTTCCATTTTTTCATTTTCATTTTCATTTCATTCTTGATGCCCTGATAAATGATGAATACAAACAGCAGCAGCAGCAGCTATTCTACAGGGTTTTCAGTGCTTCCTATCTTTTTTCCACAAATCAAATAAGTTGAGATGTGTTTTTTTTCCTTCTTATCAATTTTTTTCCCGTTGTTGTTGCTGTGTTTATTTTTTTTCCATATCAGACGAATTTTTTTCCTCTTTTTTGTTGCTTTTTCGTTGATGAAAAAAGAAAATTCCAAAAATGACGGAAAAAAAATTGTACAGTAACAAGATTAAAAAAGCAGAAAACTAGTCAAAAAAATGAAAAAATTTTTTTTTTCTTTCAATAATGAAATAGAATTGATGGTATTATATAGAGAATAGCAGAATTGCTATATATATATATATATGATTCACTGTATGATTCTGTTGTTTCTTAAGAATATTCAATGGGCGTGGAATGAGTGAGGTGTAACCATGAAAAGAATCATCATCATCATCATCATTCTATTTCATTATCATTTCCTAATCATATTTGGCAATTTTTTTTTTTCATATTTTTAAAAATTAAATATTTACCTTTGCCTTTGTCTATACACAGTTCAGTCATAACTTTTTGTTGTTGTTGTTGTTGTTGCTCCGAAAGAAAGGATGTTTGATAACATTATGATGGCCAGAATCGTTGTAGAGCAAACTAAAGTTTGCTGCTATCAAAAAAAAAAAAAAAATACAAATACAAATTCTTTTCAATATCAAACAACAACAGTTTGAATGGAAAATTTGAACGATGGTAACCTGTGAAAAAGAAAGAGCGAGTGAGAGATGATGGAGCTTTTTACATGGAAAACTTTTTTTTTTATTCTCTCTTTCTGTCTACTGCCTATTCATGTTTAAATATTGAATTCTGTAGAAAATTTTGGTCTTGATTCCAATATTTTTTTTTGTTGTTCCTTTCAAGAAGATTGAAAGATACACATTGAAAAAACATGATGATGTGATACACATGTAAAAAGCATCGATGTATTTGTAGTAAAAAAAAAATTCATCATACAGACAAACCTGTAACAATGAATCAAATTGAATTGAATTGAATTCATTGAATATTATGCAACAACAAAAAAGAAAAAAGAAAAAAATAGCGAAAGCAAACAGTAGCAGTCCAAAATTGAAAACGAATAACATTTTGTCGAGAATATTCTGCATTACCCTTTTTTTTCACAATAGTTTGTTGTTTGCCATTCAATTTTTTTTCCAAATCTTTCTCTCATCATTGACATTATTCATCATCATCATCATTGAAGACTGATTTTATCCAAAGCAAAAATGATAGCTGCTTGTATATTCACAAACAATTTGATTTATTTATGTTAGTCTATGTAGACGATTTTTTAATTGGTTACAAGCAACAGAAAGATTTTCAATCCATATATGAATTCCTATCGAAAAATTTATCGCTACGTGATTTAGGTGAACCGAAGAAATTTTGTGGTTTTGAAATTAACAAAAATGATGGGAATTATCATCTTTCGCAATCTACATTCATTCAACAATTAGCTGAAGAATTTGGTGTCTCATCGTTAGCTCGTTTTCCGAAAACACCTTTACAGACATTTGATATTGATGAAAAGAGCCCGATTTTTGAAGATGGTTCGTTGTGTCGGCGATTGATTGGAAGTATTCAGTATTTGACAAGGACTCGTCCTGATGTTACAGCAAAAGTATTAATGCTTTATCTGTGAAATGCAATCGCCTACTGTGCAGATTTGGAATGGGGCTAAAAGAGTTCTCTCCTACCTCATGGGCACCAGAGACCGTCATCATCTGTTTTGGGCAATTTTAAGAATGAAGCATTAGAAATTTACACGGATGCTGATCATGCGAATAGTCCATCAAGAAAATCGGTCAGTGGAGTTTTAATCAAAATTTTTGGTTCATCTGTTTTGGTCAAGCAGCAGACAGAAATTAGATTATTAATGATTGACGATGATGATTATATTGATATTTTCAATTGTAATCGAACAAAAAAAAAAACAGCCACTGATTTCTTTTTCTCTTGAATCATCATTATTTTATTATTATAAAAATGAATCAAAATTTTCAAAGAAAGAAAAAAAAAATGCACGGACACATGATCAATTCCAAAGAAAATTTTTACTTCTGATAAGATTCTTAAAAGCCTTTCTATTACTTAGTAAAGTCCATCCATTCATCCATTCATTCATTCATTTATTCTATAGAAAATTTTATCCGATAGTTGTCAACGAAAAAGATGGCAGAAAAAAAATTCAGTTTAATGTTACAATGTTTTTTCTTCGGAAACTTTTTTACGAAATTTTTTTTTCTATTCTTAATAACAGAAAATTCTGGTTCACATACCGACTTACACACACACACGAACACACACACACACACACACACACACTCACATCAAATGGCCATTCATCATTATCATAAGCAAAATTGATCAATCAAAATTATCAACATCATCATCATCGATTTTGATCATCGGATATATAGATTTTTATTTCTACAACGATAATAATAATAATAACACAAGAAGAAACAAAATCAACTATTCTATATTCAAGTCCATTATTTTCATTCAATGAAAATGAATTCATCTTTGAGCTTATGATTATTTTTTATTTATTGATCCAATCCGACAACAACAACAAAATAAAAGCCGATATGGAAATATGTTGTATTGGTCATTGAAATTACAGTAAAAAAAAATTCTATTGCAAAGACAAAAAGAATTCTACGACAACGATAATCATAATAAAATCTGAGAGAAAAAAAAATCCCAAATCATCATTATCATACAAAAAAAAAAATACAATGAATCAAAAAATGAAAAAATGAAACGGAAACGAAAAGATCCACCATAGTTGTAATAATAATCAATAAATAAATAAAACAAGAACCAGAAATACATTCGAAAATAATATCATCATCATCATCATCGAATATCAATGGATGGTATTAATAAGAATCATCATCATCATCATCATCGAAAACGTGATTAAATTTGTCAATTAGACACAAACATACAGACACTGACATACACACCCACACACATCCACATACACTAATAATATAAACATTTCTAGAATATTATATATATAGATTTATAATAAGAACAACAACAACAACAACAACAAAAAAATTGAAACACGTAAGCAAAAAAATATACCCAATTCGTGTGTGCGACTTTTACACACTGACGCCCACCCAGATACATACGCCCATTATATCATAATTATATTATTACAATTCATCATAGAGAACAAAATAAATGATGAGAAAATAAATTTGAAAAAGAATAAAATTAAATTTTAAAATCATTTTAAAAATAATGTTATTTTTATCATTACAAATTCACACACACACAAACACACACACCCACTATGAATGAATGAATGAAATATATCAAGATGTCTACATTATCATAAACATCATCATCATTAGCAAGTTATTTAAATATATTATAATTATATACAAAGTAAACTAATAAATGGTCCATATTGATTGATTGATTGATTGATAAATACTTATGGTCCATGAATTTTTGCCCAAAAATATGCAAGTGAACAACAACAACAACAACGACAACAACAAAAAAAAACCTGAAAACTTGACTTGAATTATGTTATCATCATCATCATCATAATCATCATTATCATTATCATCGTAAATATCAATATATTCAACAACAATATTGACACACTAACACACACACACACACAGATATTGACAACTAACCAGAAAAAAAATTTTTGCAGGCAACCATCGCCCATTTTTATTAATATTATTAATATCATCATTATATACACACGAAACGACTTGATTATCATAATTATATCGGATTCAATAATATTGCCGTTGAATAATAATAGAAAGTGAAAAAAAACTGGAAAAAAGAGGATAACAAACAGAAGAAAAAAAAATCATGTCATCAAATTATCTAAACCCATATCAGATACGGGATAGTACAATGTACAGTAGTTATCCACCACGTTCACCTGAAGAAGCACTTTGTCTACAGGATAGAAAATGGTGGGCATTTCTATTGTCCAGTATTTGTACATTTTTGGCAGGTAAATTATTATTTTTTTTCTTTGAAAACATTGCTATATATCTATAATAAATAAATATCCAATTTCCTGAATCTAGGCATATTCATCGTATTGGTTTATCGATTGATTGAATTTCTATTCTCAAGTTCCAATTCAAGATCTGATCATATGAAAAGTAATCAACAACAATATCAACAACAGCAGCAACGGCAGCAGCAACAACAACAACAACAGAATACAAATCAACGTGATGGTGCTGCTGGTGTCGGTGTCTATCAAGGTCCACATCATCATCCACAAACCAGTAGTGGTAGTACTGGACAATTGAAATTTCAGAATCAAGAATCGGTTGGATTTTTTAATCAAGATCTTGGTTGGATTGCTGAAGCAAAAGATTGGGCTGGTGAATTAATTTCAGGTCAATCAACTACTGGTCGTATTTTGGTATGTTAATCATTTAATCCTTTTTTTTCAATCACAATCAATAAATTAATTAATAATCATTATTTCCACATAGGTTGTGCTTGTATTTTTACTTTCAATTGCATCGCTTATCATTTATTTTATTGATGCATCGAGAACTGGTCCGCCAGGAATCGGGTAAGTTTTATGAAAAAAAAACATACTGGGAAAAAAAATTCTTTTCTTTCAAAAAAAAAAAAAAAAAAAAAAAAAACAAAACAAAAATGTAAGCTAGAGAAAAAATTTTTCTTCCCTATAATAAAAAACAATAAAAACAGAATAATTTCATAATTCATAAGAATATTTGATGAATAAATGCAATTGATATTCTGGTAGACGCGGGCAATTTATTCATAATAACTATTATTTATATAATCATCATCATCATCATCATTTACATAATTGAATAGTCAAAATGTTGCGAAATACACACACACACACACACACACACACACACACACACATGTATGAAGATAGAAAATGGAAAACAATTTTTAAAGAGAATTTTTCTGTTGATTTTTATTCCATAAGTTTTTATTATATACTGGATTCATTTACTTATAATGCTAGTCAATTGTTCTTGTTGTATTTATTTCAATCTGATGATGATGATATGATGATGGTGATATTCTCATTATCTAATTCATTCATTTATTCATTATTCAATGAATAATAATAATAAACAGAAGAAGAAATACTAACTATATTGTTGTTTGTTTCTTTTTTTTTTTTATTTCTTTCGCCATTATAGTGACAATGTTGAAAAATGCCAAAAATGGAATGAAAATGCTACACAACAATTTGATTTGGCATTAAACATTTTCTTTATGGTCTATTTTTTCATAAGAGTATGTGTTTTTTGTTTTTGTTTTTGTTTTTCTTGTTATTATTCTTGTTTTTGCTGCATAATTTATTCGGTTAAATAATTTTTATTGATGAATATTTATATTTCTTATTTATGTAACAAAATCAACACAAAAAACAAATGGAAATTTCAAATCATCATCATCATATATTAGTTCATAGCTGCCTCAGATAAATTATGGTTTATGCTCGAGCTTTATTCATTTGTCGATTATTTTACGATACCGCCTTCATTTGTTTCAATTTATGTTGATCGAACCTGGATCGGTATGTTTTTTGTATTTGTTTTTGTTTTTTAAATGATAATTATTTTCAATCATCATTGCATCCGAATTTTAGGTCTACGTTTTCTTCGTGCACTTCGTTTAATGTCATTTCCAGATATTTTACAATATCTAAATGTATTAAAAACATCATCATCAATACGTTTGGCTCAATTAATTTCAATTGTTGTTAGTGTTTGGTTAACGGCTGCCGGTCTTATACATTTGGTAAGTTTTATTTTGATTTCCAGTTGTGATCCAATGAAACCAGAAAAAACAGAAAACAGAAAAACAGAAATGACAGAATATTCTCTTGAAATCCCATGTAGAATATAGATGCTATATATTATTATTATTATTACATCACGCAAATCAACAATGATCATTTTGATATGGTCAAATATGGTTTTTTTCATATAAAAACCATCATGTACCTTTTACATTTCCTTCAATTTCAATATGTTAAATTGATCTGGTTATTTTGTTCGAATTTGATTACACATACACGCACACACTTATGAACAAGATCCGATTCCGATTCCTATTGCGTGTCAACATGTCATCGTAATCGTCATTGATGATGATGAGGACAATTATTCATTTCATTTTCTAGATTCTTGTGGTTGTTGTTGTTGTTAACATTTCAAATAGCTTTGGCATTGGTTTTTTTTTGTCACCTAACAAATCAAATGTTTAATCAGAAATGAAGACCATATCTCATTTTAGGATGATTAAATTTTGTTGTTTCTTCTCTCTCTCTCTCTTTTTGTGATCATTATTGTTCAACATATGTTTGTTAAATGTCAATATGTTGATTGAATTGTTCTTTTTTGTTGTTGTTGTTTTTATTTGTTTTTGTTTCATGTAGCTTGAAAATTCAGGTGATCCATTGGATTTTCGTAATGGCCATTATATGTCCTATTGGGATTGTGTTTATTTTCTTATTGTCACCATGTCTACGGTAAGCTAGTTTAGAATTTTTTTTTGTTTGTTTGTTGTTGTTTCTGACTAATCGATTAAATGATTCGTTGTTGTTGTTGATGATGATGATGATGGTAATTAATTATAATAAATTATAATTAGGTTGGCTATGGTGATATACATTGTAAAACAACCTTGGGTCGTACATTTATTGTTTTATTTATACTGGTCGGTTTGGCCGTATTTGCCTCTTGTATACCGGAAATTATTGATCTTATTGGATCGAGGCCAAAATATTCGGGTACATTTAAATCCGAACGAAGAAGGTTTGTTTGTTTTATTGTTTTTGTTTTTCCCATATTTGGATTTTTAACAAAATTCATGATTTTAATCGTTTTTGTTTTATTCATTTTCAAGACATATCGTTGTCTGTGGTCATATAACCTATGAAAGTGTTAGCCATTTTCTCAAAGATTTTCTACATGAAGATCGTGAAGATGTTGATGTTGAAGTTGTATTTCTACATCGTAAACCACCGGATCTTGAATTAGAAGGTTTAATAAAACGTCATTTTACAACTGTTGAATTTTTTCAAGGTTCTGTGATGAATCCAATCGATTTAAGTCGTGTAAAAGTATATGATGCAGATGCATGTTTAGTATTAGCCAATAAATATTGTCAAGATCCAGATGCAGAAGATGCAGCAAATATAATGCGTGTTATTTCAATAAAAAATTATAGCGATGATATTCGGGTATGTATCATAAATATTACAAAAAAAAATACCAGAAATCTTGTTGGTCGAAATTTCATAATCAAATTGATGATATAGATATTTCAAAACGTGAGATAGAAGAAGAGAAAAAAAAATCGAAAAAACATTCTGTTCTTTGTTTGTTTGTCAATCTTCTTAAAAATTTCATATGTTTTATACTTCATTTTCAATATTCTGTTTCTTTTTCGTTTTTTTTTATTCATTCCATATATATATATAGGTGATTATTCAACTAATGCAGTACCATAACAAGGCCTATCTACTTAATATTCCATCTTGGAATTGGAAAAGAGGTTTGTATATAAGAACAAAAAATTATTCTATCCATACAACATATATTTCGAAATCATCATCAAATTATTTTCCATTTTCCATTTCTATATTCCTTTTTTTTTTTTTTTTTGCTTTTCTCCGTTTCGAGTGTCATCGGTGTGTCCTGTTCATTCATTCACAAATGATGAAGATTTAATTAAGCTTTTTTTCCATTTTTTTTTTGGTCGATTGTCATTATCGTAGTCATTTCTATTACAATTATCAACGATGATAATGATGATGATGATGATGATGATGACAAATAAAAATCCAGTACCATCCATACAGGCTAGTCATTTAATTTTATATAAACCATCCATTCATTCCACCATTCCGTCAATCAGTCAGTCAGTCAGTCAGTCAGCCGGTTAGTCAACCAGAAAAACAGAAGTATAAAAATCCAGTAACAGCAGCAGCAGCAGCAGCAGCACCAATGATATTAGATTCTAGAATCATCTAGATAAATGCAAAATATAAATACACCACTAACAACACTACCCTTTCAATATTTTCATCAGCTATCCAGTAGTAATATAACCGACATTTTTTTTTGTTTGTTACGGAAATTGTTCTCTAGTATTTTTTTTTCTTATTTTCACCAAAAACATGTAAATACACACACAACAGACACACATCTCAAAATAAAAATCTCTCTTCTGTTCATTAAATTAATGATCCATATCGTTAACACTCATTCATGATATATGTCTGGATCTTGTTGTAAACGAAACAAAAAATTGCTAAACAACAAGAAAGCAAGCAAAAATAAAATAAAAAAAAATTCCTGACCACACACACACACAAACACATGCATACATTGATTGAAAGTCTTGAAATTTTTTTTTATTCTCTGGTCAATTTTTTCCATATTATTATGTTCCAGGTGATGATGTAATCTGTGTAAGCGAACTTAAACTTGGTTTCATTGCTCAATCTTGTCTGGCACCGGGATTTTCAACAATGTTGGCCAATTTATTTGCTATGCGATCATTTAAAACGGTATGTGATACGTGAATTTTTTGTTGTTGTTTACCACCGTGTTATATTCATTCATTCATTATGATAATTATTATTCTACGGTATGGGTTGTGTCTTGTTCAATCTTTTTTTTTTTTGTTGTTGTTGCTCTTGTTACCAATATAAATATAATCATTTATAATCTACATATATATCATATATATGTGTATATGTATGTGTATTTGGTGAATTATTTGTAGAAAAAAAAAAAAAAAAACACAAAACGAATAAAAAAAAGTGAAAGCATAACCTTACATAATATTAATTAATTGTATGATAATTGTCTACTGATAATAATAATAATACGGTATAACGAGGACGACGACGACTATGATGATGATGACTTATTACTCATTTGCATATCGGTTTTTTTTCCTCTCATTTTATTCACATCATAGGCACCTGATATGCCTTCATGGCAAAATGATTATCTTTGTGGTACTGGAATGGAAATGTATACTGAATATCTGAGTCCAGCATTCGAATATATGACATTTCCACAAGCAGCTGAACTTTGTTTTTTAAAACTTAAATTATTATTAATTGCAATAGAAATATCATCACCAGATAAAACCGAAGAAACTGGTTCAAATATATTGATTAATCCTAAATCAAATTTTGTACGTATTCAGGGAAAAACGCAAGGATTTTTTATGGCACAAAGTGCCGATGAAGTTAAAAGGTTTGTTGTTTTGTTTTGTTTTTTTTTTTTTTTTTTGGATTCCTCAATCATAAATTCATTGAATTAATTTACTGATTCACACACACACTTTCTCTCTCTCTATATTGCACAGAGCATTATGGTATTGTAAAATATGTCATGCTGATATCAAAGATGAAAAAGTGATTAAAAAATGCAAATGTCGTATGTGTATGTAATCCATTTGATTTTTCAAAGAGAAAAAAAAATTTTTCATTTTTTCGCATTTTTTTTCTTCTTCTTCTTCTTCCAACCACCACTAATAATCATCACAATGAATCAGATGAAGGAAACGTATTGCCCAGACATTCAATCGTTGAATTTGCTCGCAGTACACGTAAACATCGAGGTAATTATAAATTGTTTTTTTTTGTTGAAAATTATTTTTTTCCATTCTGGAAAACCCATCACCCATCATCATCATCATCATCATTTTATTATTATTATTATTATTCTTGAATTTTTTCACTTACACACACACACACCCACAATATCAAATGTCAAATGTCATGCTTTTAGTTTTTTTTTTTTTTTAGTTTTATGCATTCTATTTATTGCTTGATTCTTGTGAAAATTCTTTCCAATTCCTATTCCAAACACTTATCCATCCATATCCACATTCACATACACAAATTGAAAATATCAATAAAACAAAACGTAAACAAAAAAAATCTAATTGCTGCTTTTCATTATTCTATTTTTTCTCTCTTTTTTCACATATTTTTTGTCTGTCTGTTTTTTGTTGTTGTTGTTGTCGTTGTTGTTGTTGTTATTGATTTTTATCATTTAATTCACTAACATTTTTCATTTTCCAATCACCAATGATTTTTGTTTTTCCATGTTGTTGTTGTTGTTGCTGCTGCTGCTGCTACTGCTGCTGTTGAATTATGCTTGTACAAATGCAACAAACACACACACACACAAACGCATTGAAATTGAATCATAAAAATATCAATTGCACTTGTGTCTACAATCAAAATTTGAATTCAAAACCAATTAGTTCAAATTGCTCATCAAGTACCGGAATATATTGTACAACCACCACCACCACCAACACAACTACCCATATTATCATCAACGACAAGCGGAAAAATAACAACATCTATGACCAACCCGTTACAACAACAACAACAACTACAACAAAGATTAGTATCAGTACAACAGACGCCTTTTACACAGCCAATTTTAGTGCCACAACAACAGCAACAACAACAACAACTACCACCGCCTATATCATCATTATTACATCATCAAGTTCATTATAATAATTTTGAAACGACCATTTTACCTCAACAAACGATAAATTGTCCACAATTATCAAATGGCGGTTATCATCATCATCAACATGGACTACGAAATCGTCATGGTACATCATCATCAATGATGAATATGGCTATATCAAATTCATCATCAACAGCTGTAGCAGCAGCAAAAACAATGATTGTGCCACCACCATATTCATATTCAGTACCACCGCCAAGTTCATTAAATCATCATCCACATGGACATCATTTGATCAACGTTAATGTTGATGATCCAAACAACAATGGTAATCATCATCATCCACAAGATATTGATATTAATATTGATGGACAAATAACACCAGAACCATCATTTCAACGAAGACGTTTAGCATCATATCCGATGCAGCACGAATCATTATATCATCATCAACAACAACAACAACAACATCTGCATCAACAACAATTAGCACAATATCAGCATAGCCATAGTATATATAGTAACCAACACCGAATGCACCATTCACAACAACAACAATTACATCAGCACTATCAGCACCAACGCCATTTTACACAAACCGATCCTTTATTATTGCCTTATCATACTCAGAATAATCCTGATTCTGTTGTTGTCGATGATGATGTTGTTGATGTTGATGATGATGTTGATGTTGATGTTGATGTTGATGATCCTGATGATATTGTTACAGATATATATCATCCACATACAGCACCACCGGCAAGCCATTATCCATCACAATCAATACAACAACAACATCAGCAAATATCAGCAACAGCTCCAGCTATCGTTACTGGATCATCCGTTACTACTGGTGGTTTTGGTGATTCAACAACAGTTGTTAATAATAATAATAATTCCATTCCCGGTGGACAACAATTATCTAATACTAATCGTGTACATCATCAACAACATCATCCACAATCTGGATCACATCATCATCAACAACAACGACATTCAATGGTACATATGTCAACGAATGATCTTTATACAAATATTTATGATGAAAATCGTGATGGCCTGAATCCTGGTGCACAATCATCATTATCCAATTATATTTCGGGTACAACACCATATGAACATCATCAACGTAATACAACCGGTGGTGTTACATTTGGTGGTATTACTAGTACATCAGATCCATCAGATCCACAACAACGTTCATCATCAGCATTACCATATACTGATACACAATTGGCACGATTATCATATGAAGTTAAAAAATTAATGTAAGTTTATTATTATTATTATTACTGACACATGGATTTTCTCTAAAAAAAAATTATTATTTTTCAGGCCTACAGCTGCTAAACCAGAAACATTCGGCCTAAGTACAACCGGTATTGCAAATGGACCCGATATGATGGGATTTGAAGATAGTGAATTTGATTTTGATCGTACTGAAATGAAATATGATTCAACCGGAATGTTTCATTGGTGTCCAGCCAAATTGATTGAAGATTGTGTTTTGGATCGTAATCAGGCTGCAATGACCGTATTAAATGGACATGTTGTCGTTTGTTTATTTGCCGATCCAGATTCACCATTAATCGGTTTACGTAATCTAGTTATGCCATTGAGGTAATGATTATGACTAGAAGATTTATTTTCAACAAATAATTGCTAATTTTATTTTTTTTAAACCATTCATGCATTGTTTTTCTATGTAGAGCATCAAACTTTCAATATCATGAGCTTAAACATGTTGTTATTGTTGGAAATGTTGAATATTTACGTCGTGAATGGAAAATGTTACAAAATTTACCAAAAATCAGCGTATTAAATGGATCACCATTATCCAGAGCTGATTTACGTGCTGTTAATATTAATCTATGCGATATGTGTGTTATATTATCAGCAAAAATTCCATCATCAGATGATCCAAATCTAGCGGATAAAGAAGCCATATTGGCCAGTTTAAATATAAAAGCAATGACTTTTGATGATACATTAGGGAATCCAAATGAAGATGTTTCCGATGGTCGTCAAAAAGGGTTTGTTGTTGATGAAATTATTATTATATATTTAGTTTAAAATTATTGTGCTAATTTTAATTTTTTTTTCACTTTTTTCTGATTAGAGTTCCATTAATCACTGAATTAGTGAATGATACAAATGTACAATTCTTAGATCAAGATGATGATGATGATCCGGATACGGAATTATATCTAACACAACCATTTGCATGTGGCACAGCATTTGCCGTATCCGTATTGGATTCATTGATGTCAACAACATATTTCAATGCAAATGCATTAACATTAATTCGATCATTAATTACAGGTGGTGCTACACCTGAACTTGAGCTTATATTAGCTGAAGGTGCCGGTTTACGTGGAGGTTATTCTACAAGTGAAACATTAAAAAATCGTGATCGTTGTCGTGTAGGACAGATATCATTGAATGAAGGTCCATTAGCTAAACATGGTAATGGTGGTGAATATGGTGATTTATTTGTTGAAGCATTACGTGCCTATGGTATGCTTTGTATCGGTATATCACGTTATCGTGATCTAGAATGGACTGATAATGCTTCAAATAAACGTTATGTGATTACAAATCCACCAATTGAAATGACTCTTTATAGTTCTGATCTGGTATGTGTGTTTTATTGTTGTTTTACATGTAAAGACTAAATTAACCCTTTATATTCATTTTTTTCAATTCAGATATACGTATTACTTCAATTTGATCCCGGTATTGAAGGTCATAAAATAGCAAGAAAACGAGCCAATGATCCTAGCTGCATGAATCATCAATTACCTAATTTTGAAGATGATCTTATCACTGTGATTGATTCACGAATTGCATCGTCCAAATTGAATCGCAATCATAATTCTGCTCATCATCATACAACATCACAGCAACAAACATCATCACAACCTCAGCAACCACCACAACCACAACCACCACTACAACCATCATCATCATTACCACCACCACAAGGACCTCATCATTTACATAATCCACATCCACATCATCATTCAAGTATAAATATCAATAAAATTATTGATCCAATATCACAGCCACCTGTAATGGATAATAACCGTACGAATTGGATGGCACAATCATCAACATCGATAAACATAGCAGCCATTGATCAGTCTACAACAAATGGAAATGTAAGCGGTAAATTTCCCGGTTCAGTTCGATCACGATCAAGTGATAATGCATTGATACGACGACGACAAATTTCTGATCTTATCAATGATGACATCTATACAATCGATGAACAGCCATCATTATCAGCTACCCATCATAATCATCGACATCATAATTATCATCATGATGGCTATCCGGATGGTGTTGGTGGTGTAGAAAATAATATTGTTAATAATAATCAACAACAACGACGTGGCCATTCATCAACACCATTTAGTGATACAACAAGAGGTGTTGTTGGTCCTGGTTCGGCAATTAATTATGGTCGAAGTTCAGTAAATGGTTTCACTACACATCATAATCCATTAAATATATCAACACAACAACAATCATCAACATTGATACAGCAACAACAACAACAACAACAACCAAATTCACGTCCATCTACAGCGGCAAATCATACACATCGAGCTCATTCTGATCATTCATTACGAAGTCGTAGCCATCAAACAAATCATCAAGGTTCATCAAGACATCGTTCATATAGTTCATATCCACATCGTCGTTTACCGATGCCCGTACATATAAATTATCCAAGTGAATGGTGACATTCATTCACTCACTCACTCACTCACTCACTAAACACTAATAACACATCCTTATATCAATAACAACAACAACAACAACGATCCTAATTGCCCGGTTAAAACAGGTTAAAAAAATTGAGAAAAAAAAGAGAAAACAATTCCAATTTACCCAAAAATAAACAAAACAAAAAAAAAATTTTGATCTTCATGTTGTGTGTTGAAAATGTCCAACTATTGTCATGTAACTATTATCATGATTATCATATAAATATATCAGGCCCAAATTCTTTTTGAATTTATATATTTCATTATTATCACCAGATACAAAACCAAAACAAAAAAATTTTGAAGTGTTTTTTTTTGTCACTTTGAAATTTTCCGGATATGAAAAAAAAAACAAAACAAAACAAAACAAAACAAACAAACAAACAATGAAACAGACAAAACAAACGTCCAATTTCCATTACTATTTATATTTATATTTATACTTACATTTGATGATCTGTTTCGGTTTTTTTTGTATTTCTGATTTAAAAAAATTTTTTTTTGTTGTCTTTTTTTTCCGCTTTCATTTTATCTCCTAATATACAATATAAAAACTGTCGTGATTCCGTAATTCCGTAATTTCTTCTTCGTTTTTTTTTTTAAATTCTGATATGAAAAACCTACGATTCTTTTCATTATTGTTGTCGTTGTTGTTGTTGTTGTTGTTGTTTTTTTCTGTACTTAATTGTTGTGGTTTTTATTTTGCAAATTTCCATTCTTTTCTATCAATTACTGTTTGATTTACTGATTGATCTTACACACACACACACACACACACATACACAAAAGAACTATGAATTTATTGATTGAAAATATCGATTATCACATTGAAACTATAATATATCAATTATCAATTATCATCATCATCATTCCTATTACTACTTATACATAATCAATTTGAAAATTGTTGGTCAAATAATGATTGTCCATAACAGAGAAACAAAAAACAAAAAAAAAAAAACAACAAAAATTTAAAAAATATGTGTAAACCTATGGCTCCACCTATTGATCGAGCCATTTACTAATCATCATCATTAACGACCTATGCCCGATGACAAAAAAAAAGCCATAAAAACCGATGTGATTTTCTCATCCCTATCTCTCTCTCTCTCTCTTTATTTTTCTCCCTCCTTGTTCCGTCTCATAATCATCTTTTGATTTTGTTTTCATTTTAATCAATTTCAAAACGGAAAAAAAAGAAAACAATTCTTCATTTGTTGTTCATTTTGTTTGTTTGATTGTATACAAAATTATTTTAAATTTAAAATTGAAAAAAATTTGAATTTGATTGAATTTTGAATTTTTCTTTCTTCTTCTTCTTCTTCATCTTCTTTACATATATCTTTCTTCGAATGTTTCAAAATTTTTTTTTCTATACCAACAAAAGATGATCATTTCGTTTTCTGTCAACACACACACACACACACACACGCATTTATTCTTCTTATCCATGTGTATTTACAAACAAACAAACAAAAAAAAATTTGATGAATTTTTGGAAAAAAAAAAAAAAAGAAACAACAAACTATGTAGCAGCTAAAAGTCAGCTACGCACGCCTGAAAACATTTATATCAGACAAAACACACAATGAAATTAAGGTGGAAAAGAAGAGAAAAAAAAATGAAATTTAAATAAAAAAAAATGAATCTATAAATGATAATTAATAATTTTCTTTTTGGAATTGCATACTGTAGTCTATTCAATATTTATCAAAAAAAAAAAAATTTGGTAATATGATACGATGTGTGTGTGTATGATATTTCATTGCCGATATCGATAAATTCAATCAACTATATGGATTGATACAATTCAAATCATTGAAAATCATCATAGTGAAAAAATTATATCATCAATTTGATGCAAGAAAATCACGTTCCCACATAAGGTTATTGATCAATCGAGATTTATATCAATCAATGTCGGCATAATGAACCGAAAACAAAAAACAAACAAACAAAAAAAAACTTTTAAAATCTAAAATCAAATCTTGATTGATTTTCAATTGATATAATTTGTTTATAATTTTAACAAATCAATTGCCATTATTCAAGTATTTGATTACCATTTGATAAGAAATTGAATCAATTTTGAAAATGATGAATAAAATTTCATAAGTGACAATAAACCATTGATGAAACAAAAAAGTTGCTTAGTTTGCGCAAGAAAAAAAATAAATAAATATAAATAAATCCGATTACCAAACGGATTACAATCAATTACAATCAATCAATAATTGATTGTGGATTCAGACATTTTTCAATCTATATATTTTTTTTTATATTGATGAAAAATCAGATGAAAAAAAACCAAATTGATTTTATCATCATCATCATCATCGATTGATTATTCGATGAAATTGCATAAATCATTTGAATGCACAAGATTTTTTTTGGCTGCCAATTTTATTGACATTGTCGTTTCAAGTTAGATTCATAAACATTTCTCACATATAATAAGTATCTATAAATCTGTCTGTCTGTCTGTGTGTGTGTGTGTTTGTATATTATTCTCATTTGACATTTGATTTCTTTTGCCCATATCAAGATTTGGGCAACACACACACACACACACACACATAATATCATCATTGGCTTTTTTTCCAAGCTATCATCATTATTGTTGTTGATTTGCCGTTCTTGTCTTGATTAAAATGATCACAAATCAATAAAATCAAAATTTTTCCTTTAATTTTTTGTTCAGTTCAATAGTCTATTTGATGATTATGATTAATAATTGTTATATAAATAGCAAATCTACTATTTGGCTATCATTTTGTATTTTTTTTCTGTCTGGATTAGCCACCAACGCCGATATTTTTTTTTGGTTTGAATAACTTTGAATATGATGAAATTCACAGTGAAAAATATTCTTATTCTATGGACCTTTATGGCCATTATTGGTTCTCTATTACCGGTCGAAACACAGGCTGTAAGTTAAATACGTTTTCCTGTGTTTGGTGGGTGTATAATATTTTTCTCATAGTCCGGTTGGTTTGGCTCAAGTGATGAAAGTACACCACCATCAGCCGATAATGATATCGATGATGATGATATTATGGATGGTGAGGATATTCATACAATTAAAGAAGTAGAACCAATCGAACAATTTCCACCAGCCAATAGTGGACAAGATGGTGGCCAACAACAGCAGCAGCAACAACAACAACAACAACAACCACAAGAACAAGATCAAGATCAAGAACGAAGAAATCAGCTACAACATCAGATGGGAAACAGTGGTGTTCCAGTGGCATCTAGTGGTTATCCGGAAGAAGATCCACGACAATCACAACAATCATATTATGGTATTTAAATCATTGTTCAATGAATCTATGAATTTTTTTTAAATCCAGATATTTTTTCTTTCGAAAATCAGGCAATTTTGGGCAACCAGGTAAACAATGAAAAAAAAATCTTGGACATAGATCTTTTTGTAAATACAATTCATTATCATTATTATTATTATTTTTATGTTAGAACAAACTTGTGGTGAAAATCAATACATGTGTCGAAAGGTTAGTCCAAATCAACCACATGTACGTTGTATACCAAATGAATGGAAATGTAATGGCCTAAGAGATTGTGAAGAAAATGATGATGAAGATGGTTGTTCTGGTAATAACCAACAATATCCATATCATCATCCACAAGTTGAACAATGTTCACCTGGACAACATACATGTTATGGTACCGGTATGCATGTTAATATGCCACTTAAATGTTTAGATAGACAATTAGTATGGTAAGTGGAATAGAAATTTTATTTTATTTTTTTTTTAAATTAAATTCAAAATATTTTCATTCAATTCAAGCGATCAACGTGCTGATTGTCCATATGGTGATGATGAACGATCATGTCCACCATCTCAACAAGAATCAAATCAACAACAACATGGTAGTGTATATCCATATCCAGGACAACAACAACAACAACATAATGATGGATATCCATATCAACAACAAGGTGGACAATATTCTGATCAAACACAACAACATCGACAAGGTTATACAGGATTAAATCAACAACAATATTATTCACCAACAACAGGTGGCGTTGATCGACGATTATATAATGGTGATAATTCACCATCTACCAGTGGTATTCATCCAGGTAGCAATAGTAACAATAATGATAATAATGATGCATGTCGTGGTGGTCGTAGTGAAGAATATATAAAACGATTAGAATTTCTTGATCGATGTTATCGATCTTGTATGCGTAATCAATTATAAAATTGAAAATTGATTGATTGATTGAAATATGGAAAACAGAATTCATTTTATTTTATCAATCAAAAAAAAAAAAAAACCACAACCACCACTACTATATCATTATTGAAGTCAAGATTTAAGTAATTTTTTTTTTGTCATTCAATCAAAAAAAAAGAACTAAAATTAAATTAAATTAGTGTCACAAATAAGATGTGCATTTTTTTTCATTTCTTCACATTACAAGCGACTAGAAAAATGGGCAAGAAAATTTTTTTCAAAAAGAAAAAATGAAACCGATTAACCTTCGTATTGGAATGAGCAGAACTAAATTTTGTTAAATTTTCTTTAATTTTCAATTATTTTTTTTTCCATTGAAAATCGGATTTTTTTTTCTTGTTGTTGTCTTCTTATATATGATGATCCAGGCGATGGCCATTTTCCTAGTGCATCATTTTCAAATTGCAAGACCCTCAAATCTGAAAATGATGAAATTTGATTGGATCATCATCATTATTGTGATCATTGCAACAACAACAATAATGATGATGATGATGATCAACAATACAGGATCGTGATGACCTTCAAGATGAGATTTTTTTTGTCATTTTCCATTTTTTTTTCTATCACATTCGTTCATCATTGTAAATTGTAAAATTATGATTCAATATGATGATTATAAAATAAAAATGGTGATATCCATCGATTGCGTGCACCATCAATGTTTCATCATGAATAATAACCTTGAAGTGGTTTTTTTTCTCCTTTAACGTCGTCGTTGTTGTTGCTGTTGTTGTTGCTGTTGAATTGTCGTTTTTTATTATTTGATTATTTTTTTTTCCAAACACCAAAAAACTTTACTATTTTCCATTCTGCATTCCATTTTGCATTCCTTTTTTCCAATATCCAGTTTGTTATCATTTTGATAATAATAATAATAATAATGGTAATAAATTTCAATGTTTTATTTTTGCTTGAATAGGAATTTTTCTTTCTTTGGTTCGTTTTGTTTCGTTTCGTTTCGTTTAATTCCAGTCCAGTCCATTCCATTCCATTCGATTACATTCATTTTCTGTGCATTTTACAATGTTTATTTGGCTTTAATATTTTATATATCATAATAATTGCAAATTGCAAACATTTTCATCATCATTTTTTTTGCGGTTTTTTTTCTGGTGATGAAGATTCTTTAAGAATTTTTTTTTCTCTCTCTTCAACAATATTCAGTGAAGCATAGAATACTGGAAATTCATTTCACTAATGTGTGTTCATTTATATATGCTATATATATTTCATCTGGCATTTTTTTTTTTTTTTTTTGATTCCAATTCATCAAGAATTCCACTACTACAACCAGAAAATTTTCATTACTATCACTAAAGAGAGAAAGAGATTGCGCATAATTTCATCTGGTATTTAAGCCAAAAAAAAAAAAACAGAACAAAAACATCGGTAAATGGTAAATAGATTACATTTTCAAAGCTCTGGCGCATCAATCAGCAACTAAAGCAGAATAAAGACAAAGGGCAAAAAACCGCACACACACACACACAATATCTATATGCACATGTCATTCAGCTAGCCAAATATAACACAATATATATATTGAATCTGAGCAATAATAATAAAAACAACACACAATAGCAACGAAAATTGAAGAAGAAGAAGAAAAAAAAATTTTCCAAGGACAATTTTTCATCAACGTTAACATTTTTTTTCGGGTAAATGTTCAACAGCAATGAATGAATGATCTGATGATCAGTACCGAAACACACAAGAAACAAAAAATGCTGTGTTCTAATGCTGTGTTAATTTACGTGTCTGTGTGTGTGAATTGAAATCTGAATAACCGGAGAATTTTGTTTTTCACTATTGCCTCCACTTTTTTTTCATATTTTCATCGTTTTTTGCTTCCTATTTCTATTTTCTATTTTACATTTTTTTTTTTTTTTTTGACAGTGATTATGATCTTGTAATTCGTCACTAAATTGTTCATTGTCATCATCATCAACCTAAATAGAAAACGACGACGACGACAACCACCACAAACGTAGTAATAATAATTAGCTTTCTAAATCATAGGCCCAATTATATTTGTTTATTTGTATGATGAACGTTTGTTTTTGGAAGAATTTCCGAAATTAAAGAATCCGAAAAAAAAGACCTAAAAAAGATCACCTTTAGGATTTGTTTATCATTTTGTTTTTTTTTGTGTGTGTGTGTGTGTGTGTGTCAATGGGAAAAAAAATTCCCATCACCCGATGAAAATATGCAAATACACACCCACACACAATGATGATGATGATGACATGATCATGTGATATTTTGATTGTAGTTTTTTTTTGCATCATCAATTTGGTCATTAGTTTATTGAATTTATTCATTTTTTCCTTTTTTTCTGTGAAAAAAAAATTCCCCAATCAATTGATTGTCGATTGATATATATGAAAAAAAATACGGAAATATCATTTTTCAAATCAATCCACAGCCACCCTATCATTTGACAAACAAAAAAAAAACAATGAATCATCATCTACGATCTAGTCTGATAAATAATATCAATCATTATCATCATCATCCAACAAATCATCATCATCATCATCGATTTTATCATCGTTCAATTTTTCAACAATTAATTCATAATAATAATGAAAAGCAATATACTAGCCAACAAAAAACATCAAGATTTTTTTATCATCAGGTAAGTTGATTGAATATAAATTGGACAACAACAACAACAAAAAGGGTGTTGATTGATTGATTTTTATCGTATCAATAAAATTGTTAACCTTGATAAAAATTGATTGATTGATAAATTCTTTTTTTTTTAAATGGAAAATGATCCAAACTACCTTCATGATGATGATGATGATGATTATAATTGAAATCGATCATTCGATTTAATGTAATAATGATCATTCAACCAATCGAATGCAAGTAATAGTAGTAGTAGTAGTTGCAAGATAAAAACAATAATTATCAACATGATCGAAGCGGAATATAATGATCATCATTATCCGTATCCTTATGTCAATAATTATTGTTTTTTTTTCTTTTTTCCTTTCCTTATTCGCTTCGTTTGTGATTTTCATTGATACATTGAGATTGAGAGACAAACAAATGAAAAAACGAAAAAATTAAAAAAAACAGTTTCTCTTTATGGATGTGTTTTGACTTGTACTTGTTGGATTGAAAAATACATTGGGTTTTCAGAAAAAAAAAACAAAAGGAACAAACAAACAAACAAAAACTAAAAGCCGAAAAAAAGCAAAGATGAGATTTTAGAAACAACAACATGAAAAGTGAAAGAGAAAGGCCACACACGTGGTGATTTTGAGTTATTGGTTTGTTTTTTTTTTGTTTTTGTTTGTTTGCTGTCAAATAATGATGGAACAATTTGATTGTTATTTTTTTTCATTTTTAATATTTGGACAACAGTTGTTGTTGTTGTTGTTGTTGTTGTATAGCTTCAAAAACTAGCCACTTGCTTTTTGTCAGTATCAATTTGGTTGATAATTTAAACGACGAAATAAATAAAAATCTTTTTACCACCACCACCATCATTAAAAAAAGCGAACTAAATGGGTAATCATATGTGTAGTTCACCATCATCCGGTTGTGGTTGTTTCCGTGTTAGTTCTGAATCAAAAAATCCACCAACAATTTATCGTCATCAACGTCATCATCGTTTTCCAATAGCAAAAGATTCATATGCAAATTGTCCATATATTGAATGTGCTTGTTGTGGTAAAAATCTACGCCGCTGTCAATGTGATTGTGAATTAGCTGGACGTTGTCTTTGTGCTGGTCCATTAAATTATCATCGTCATGATTTTTTAAGCGCTGGTCATCAGGTTTTTATCCAATAAATAATGAAAAAAAAATTTCATTATTTTGTTTGTTTTTTTTTTCATAATTTCATAATAAATATATATTTCCTGTCAAAAAAACTTGAAATGTATCATTATAATAATCAAATTATTATGAGTCACTACATTTCATTTATTCATTTATTCATTCATTCATTGTTTTATCTGCATTTCAATGACAAATGTCAATATTTACTCATTACACAATCGATCAATTATTATCATTTCATTTTGTTCATTGATCAATGATCAATGATCATACCAGAAACTATACAATAATAATGAACAAAACATTAATTCATTAAAGGTCATACAACAATTTGAATTTCATTTGTATTGAGATTTTAAACCAAAAAAAAAAAAAAAAAAAACAATGATATATGTGGTCAATGTCAATAATCGGTAAAAATCAATAATTGTTTTGTGTTTCTCATCATATCAATCGTATAAATTGTGGGTAAATTTAAAATGAATGAATGAGAAATTATCAATTATCATTGATGGCCGGATATTGGAAAAAAAATTGACAGATGAAAATGAAAATTTAAAATTTAAAATTTCAATGGCTGCACATAGAAATAAAAATTGGTTAATTTTTTCTCTTTCACTTATGCCAATCTATTTAACCTTGATACTCTCAATTCAAGTGTTTCAATTTTTTTTTCGTCCATTTCTCTTTCACTGTTAGAAATACAATGGTTTTTTTTCCTCCTCTAAATATTTCACAACAACATTGACGACAAACCGATTGATGATGACGACAATATCATCTAAATTTAAATTTTTTTTTTTCATTAAATTAAAATTTCCTTAAAAATTGATTCATCAGGTAACAATCCAATCTGAATGAGAATAGAAGAATGAAATTGTTGGCCAAAAATTTTGAAAAATTAAAGAGAAAAGATTGGAAAAAAAAGTTGGATGAAGAGAAAGAAAATGAAAATTTTTTGTTTGACGTATTAAAGGATTTTTTATTTAATTTTTTTTCTGTTTTTTCATCATTTTTTTTTCGTTGAAAAAAAAAAAAAACAGCAAATTTTATCTCTCATATATAAAATACGTACGTACATTTTGTGTGCACGTTCCTGTTTTTGTGCGTGTGTGTTTGTGAGCGCGTGTGTATTACATGTGTATCCAACGTACATCTTTATCATTGAAAAAAAAAAATTCTCACACTGTCACTGTTTATTCAATTGAATCGATTTTTTTCTCCCTTTCTCTCTTTGTCTTTTTTTCTTTTGGTTTTGTGGTCACAATTTTTCTTCCCCCCCCCTCTCCACAAAAAAATGACAAAAAAAAACAAACATAAATCCTCTCATCACATGGCTGTGTGTTGCCAATCATTCATTCATTCATTCATTCATTCACTCATTCACTCATCATCATCATTATAAGTGGTTAGTAATGTGAGCCGAGATTGATTGATATTGAGTTGTTGTTGTTGTTGTTGTATTTTTTATTATTCTCAATCAATTTACAAGTTGTTTGTTTCATTTGCTATATGTAGTGTTGACAGTGTTAACTTTAGTTTGAAAGTTTTTGATTTAATTTCTATAATAATATTGAATCCATTTTGTACAGTACATTTTTGGCTGTACTTTTTTTTTTTTTTTTTGGTTGTTGTGTGTATATATTCCATGGTTTTTTGTTCACAATTTTCTGAAATCAATTTTTTTTTTGTTCTATTTCATAATAAAAAATTATATTAAGAATTGCGATAAATCAAAATCACCATTAACATTTGGTTATTGGAAATTTTCATCATTGAATAATAAAATAATTCAACGTGCAAGTGGATTAGTCGGTGCTGGTTCATCATCATTAACATTATCAACACCATTTTCAACATCATCACCATTAGCAGCAGCAGCAGCAGCAGCAACAGGTATTGTTAATCGTAAACAACCATTTTCATCATCATCATTATCATCAACATCGACAACATTGTTGGCAAATTTTGAACAACGTAGATTTCGTTCAACATTAGATATTGAGATAGATATGCAGAAATTATGCGGTGTTGATTTATTACGGGAACCGAATGTCAATAAGGTAACAATAATCATACACGCACATACGAACATTTTCCCACCAATTTGATTGTTTTTTTTTCCTCAATGATTATCACTTCCGTTTTTATCATACAAATATTCATAGGATTTGGCATTCACAACCCGTGAACGAGAAGTATACAAATTGAAAGGTCTATTACCGGCTGCAATACGTTCACAAGAGTTACAGGTACAGATTGTTATGGATAATTTACGTGCTATCAACAGTGAACTGGGCAAATATATGTTTCTTCGTGATCTTCAAGATCATAATAAACGTCTTTTCTATCGTGTATTACAAGTACATACACGTGAATTGATGCCAATTGTTTATACACCGATTGTTGGTCTAGCATGTCAAAAATATAGTTTGATATTTAAACGACCTCGTGGTATGTTCATTACAATCAATGATGCTGGACGTGTTTTTGAAATTCTTGGCAATTGTGGTGAACCAGAAATTAAGGTAATGACAAATTATTTTTTTTTAAATTTTAATTGACTGATTTTTTTTTTAATCGATAAAAGGCTATCGTCGTTACTGATGGTGAACGAATTCTTGGTCTTGGTGATCTAGGAGCCAATGGTATGGGTATACCGGTTGGTAAAATGGCACTTTATTCTGCCATTGCCGGTATTCCACCGGAATTAACATTACCGGTCACATTAGATGTCGGTACAAATAATCAAGCCCTTTTGGAGGATCCTTATTATATTGGATTAAAACAACGTCGTGCTACTGGTCCACATTATGATCAATTATTGGATGAATTTATGGAAGCCGTTGTAAAACGTTGGGGACGATCATGTTTGATTCAATTTGAAGATTTTGGCAATAAAAATGCTTTCCGTTTACTATCAAAATATAAAAAAGATTATTGTACATTCAATGATGATATACAAGGTACAGCTTCGGTTGCCGTTGCAGGTATGCTTGCCTCATTCCGTAAAACAAACACAAAAATCAATCAACATAGATTTCTATTCTTGGGTGCCGGTGAGGTACGTGATTCAAATTTACTTTTTTTCCATTCATTTATCCACCTCATCAATTATTATCAATTAAAGGCTGCATTAGGTATCGCTAATCTATTGGTTATGGCTATGATTGAAGATGGAATGGATGAAGAAACTGCACATAGCAAAATATGGCTTATCGATTCACAAGGTTTGGTTACACAATCAAGACCTGGTATTATTGATGATGAACATAAATGGCCATTTGCTAAGAATGTTAAAAGTACAAAAGATTTAATGGAAATTGTTAATCTTGTACAACCATCATGTTTGATTGGTCTGTTTTATTTAACATTTTGTTTTTAACATTTAATTTTCAAAATCATTTTCATCATTGTAGGTGCCGCTGCCGTACCTGGTGCTTTCAATGAATCTATTCTAAAACGAATGGCCGAAATCAATAAGAATCCAATTATATTTGCACTATCTAATCCAACATCCAAAGCTGAATGTACTGCCGAACAAGCGTATGAACATACTGATGGACGATGCGTGTTTGCCAGTGGATCACCATTCAATAATGTTACATACAAAGATCAAACATTCGTACCGGGTCAAGGAAATAATGCATACATATTTCCAGGTGTAGCTTTAGCTGTAATGGCTTGTCAGGTGCATGAAATTGTGGATGAAATATTTTTGGTCGCAGCCAATGCATTAGCTGAACAAGTATCACGTGAAGATCTTGATATTGGTAGTGTTTATCCACCATTGGATAATATTAACGAGGTATCATTACGTTTGGCAACACGTGTAGCAGAATGGCTTTATAATAAAGGCTATGCAAATGTAAGACCAGAACCGGATGATAAATATATATTCCTTAAATCACGTCTTTATGATGCATTATATGATGGATCAAATTTTACTAAACACGTTGAAGAAAGTCATCATGCTTGGCATCAACATGAATAAAGAATCATCATCATCATCATAATCATCATATGCATTATTAATAGAATGAAATGAAATGAAATTAGATGTGATTCAAAATATTTGACATTCACGTTACACATTGAAACAGACAGACAGACACAAAAAAAAAATTTATTTAATTTTAAAAATGATGATGATGAAAACCAAAACTAAACTAAACTAAAAAAATGCTTTTCTTCTTATCCATTTTGTTTTTCAACAAAACAAAATACACTTTGACATTGACACAAGTATAAGTTAGTAAGTTTGAAAAAAAAATTTGCATTTTTAACACCAATACGCATAAACGCACACACACACACACACACACACACGAAACACTAAAACAAAAATCAACCATGATTAGGATGAAAAAATGACAATTTTTAACATTAAATTTGAATGGATGGATGTATTGGATTGTGAACACATTGTTGTTGTGGTCGTCGTCGTCGTTGTCGTCGTCGCCGTTGTTGTTGTTGTTGATTTATTTCATTTGTTTGAAAAAAAATTAAAATAAAATTGAAATTTTAAAGATTAACAAAAAATAATAATCATCATCATCAAATGAATAAAAATTTTAAATTGTATGAATCATCATCAGATTGTTTATGGTTGTTGTTTACAAATGGACCAATACTATTGGATTGATCAAAATAATCAAAAACAACGATTTAATCATGATGTTCATTACTATAATCAACGACATCATCATCATTATCATCGATTATTATTATATTTGGTCATCATATTGACCGGTGGTTTAATACACGATTTTCAATTATGGCAAACACAATTGAAATGTTTGAAATATTCAAATCCAAATCTAATACATGAATTATTTGTTAAATCTGGTTGGCCATATTTAACGTTCGTGTTACATATTTGTTTAACATTCATATCGTGTGCAATTATTTGTAAAATTCATTTTGATCATCGACAACAATCAACAACAACAACAACAACAACAACAACAACAACAACCACTACTACTAAAAAGCTTGACATACAATTAAGAAATTATATTAGCAATAAATTCATACGTTTGACAATGTTTATAATGATTTGGTATACTACACAAGAATTTTATGATTTTTATCTATGGCTAACGAATATTGAAAGCCATTCGTTTGATATTAGTGGCCATGTACATGTATTGATTTTATCTAATTTATTTTTACAACAAGAATTTCGTTTCCTTCGACAATATCTACGGCGACGAAGACGGCAACAAAAACAACATCGGCAACAACAACAACAACCACAAATAATAATTAATGATGAAATTGAATTGGCTCGTAAAGAATTTGGATCACACGTTCATCATCATCATCAACATCAAGTCGATGATATTGCATTTTATCCACGTTTTATACAATTTCAAGATGAACAATTTGACAAATCAAAAATCGATTCGATGATTGATACAAAAACAATTAATCAAAAACCATCAATGAACCGAAAAAATGAATCGAAATCAATTTTATGGTTCGATCAATCCTGTCTGTTTATCTATTTATTCACACGTTTCGTATCAATAATCTGGGATATAATTCTATTACAGACGGCATTTTTCTATCATACAACCATTGAAAAATTAATATCACTCATATGGACAGTTTGGTGTTGTCATTTTCTTAATTCATTATGTAATTAATTAATTAATTAATTAATTTATTGATTGATTTGATTTTAAACAAAAAAAACCGGATTTTTTTCAAAAATTTAATTTAATTAAAAAAACGAAATCAGAAAAAAAATGAAATTCAATTAAATTTAAATAAAAACAAACAAATCAATGCGAGAAAAGAAATTCATTGATTTCAACATGATTGATTTAATTGTAAAAAATAAAATAAAAAACTAAAATGAAATTAAAAACGAAAAAGAGAATATTCTGTTCTGTTTACTCTTGTATTGAATTGTTTCATTATTCATCATTTGTACTTATTCGTGTGTGTGTGTTCATTATATCTAATAATAATAATAATAGTAAACGTATTCAACAATCGAATATATAACGGGGAATGGAGGGGAAAAAAATTCAAATGTAGGCGTTTTTTTTGTGTGTGTGTGGGTGTTTCATCCATTTTTTTTTTGAATACTATTTCATTTGTGTGTGTGTGTGTGTGTATGAGTGTGTTGTTTTCAATTGTTTAGAAATCCAGAATCGATTCAATCATTCATTATTCATCATCATCATCATAAATAATTAAAAACATTACATGGTGAATACTTTTGATGATAGAATTTTTGAATGATGAAAAAAAAATCATTGAATTGAATTGAAAAAAACTTGAAATTTTTTTTTTTTTTTTGTTTCTTGTTTTGATGTTTTGTACTTCATTGGCTGTTTTCAAAATGGTTTATTCATTCAAAGTGCTCCAAATGGATCGATTGATGATTATTATTATTATTATTAGTAGTAGTGTTTGTTGTTGTTGTTTTTGACCGGCCAATATACTGGACAATGTGGATGCATTCACAGTTGGTGGCAATATAGGTACGGCACCGGGTATCATTGATGGTTGTCGTATCTAAAATAATGTAAGAACAGTGGATCAATCAAATTTTGATGTCAAATTTTTTTTTTTTTATTATTTCTTCATACCGCAAATGAATTGCCCATCATCATTGTTGTTGTTTGTGGCTGCTGCTGTTGAGCGGCTGCAGCAAATAATGCTGTTGATGGTATACCACCACCAATCATTGGCATTATCATGGCTGGTTGTTGCGTTGATCCTGTAACCGATGTTGTTGCAGTCCATGATGATGGAGGTATTATCATAGATGGACGATTCCAATTAGCAGTTGTTGATGTATTTCTCATCATCATTGATGGTGATATTGATCCACCACCATTAGTACCATTCATTGTTGTTGTTGTTGATGATGATGATGATAATGTACTACCACCACCAGTTTTCATTGTACTTTTTGGACTTGGATTAAATTGTTGTCCCCTAATAAACAAAAAAAACAGATGCTCAATATTGAAAATTCATAACAAAAAAAAACAAACCTTTTATAGTTGCCAGCTCCTTTGAGACCATTGATATCAAGATTTTGAGCTAAACTAGCTAATGTAGCATCGAGATCACCTTTAACTAGTATACCAGTTGTTGGATTTGAGGAACTTGTTGGCACTGATGATGATGTGGATGTTGATGATGATAAAAGTGTTGTCGTTGATGACGGCATTATTGTTGTTGAGGAAGATATTGTTGGCACTATATGATTATTATTATTAATATGATTGTTGAACATATTGTTGAAACCATTATTATTATTGGTCATATCGATTGAATTCATCAATGATTTTTGATTCTGTATCAATGTACTAACATTCTGTGGCTGTAATACATCACCGAATGCATCGAAACCTAAATATAAATGTGTGTGTGTGCCATTAAACAATGATTATTTAAAAAAAAAAAGAAAAAAAAATCCAAAGTTAATTTTTTTTCCTGAAAAAAATCATCATTATGAATCATTTTAAATAAGGATAAATATGTAAAATCTAGGTGTGAGTGTGTGGGTGTATTATATATGGATAATATTAGTGCACTATGTGAAAAATAAAACGACAACAACAACAACAAAAAAGCAAACAGCAGCAACGATAAACAAAAATTAAAAAAAAAAAAAATAAAAATTCAAAGTTAATAAACACACACATACACACACACACAAAGACAACAAACGTAACAACTAGCCACCAGCAAACAAGCAAGCAGGCAAGCAAGCATTGATTCTCGTAAAAAAAATTCAAGAATCGAAAATTAAAATTAAAAAATGAAAAATAAATTCCGTTTCTTTTTTCGTGAGTGTGTGTGTGTGTGTGTCTGTGTATGTATTTAACATCCAACAAACAACAAACAAAACAGGTTTATCGAAACACGTACACAGCTATTCATAATGAGAATTTTCATTTTTTTTTTTTTTGAGTTTCACAAACATACACACACTAGAAGAATATTCTAGAAGAAATTTACAAACACACACACACATTCACACACACACAGATAGGATGAAGAAGATAGTGATTTTGTAAATATTATGGAGGAATTTAAATGATGATAATGATGAGTATATAATGGATGGATCTATTAGATGATGATGAAGATGAGTATTATTATTATTAATGAAATTCGCTAGGCATCTATTTAGATCAGTCAGTCGATATTTTCGCATATATGTTAATGTCAATGTCTTAATTGACATCTGAATCATCTATTTTTATTTCTTGTGATTCTTGTGTTTTTGTTGAATTTGAATCTTCATTTTCTGATCGTAATTTATCATCCAATTGTTCCGATAATTTTTCTACATTCGATTTTGAATCAGAATCTATGGTAGTAGCACTAGTAGTATCAGCTGCTGTAGTTTTATTCATCATCTGCGACATCATCATTTGCATTTGAGCCATCATTTGTGATGGATCTGTAGTATTGGTACCGGTACCACCACCAGCACCACCTTGTTGCATTAATTGTTGCATCATTTGTTGTTGAAATTGAAGAAATTGTTGTTGTAATTGGGCTTGATCGCCACCAGCAGCAACATCTGGAAATGATGGTTGTGCTTGCTGTGTCGATGGTGTCGTTGTTTTCGATGACGATGATGATGATGATGATGTGGTTGGTGCAGGTGGGCGTGATGGTGGTTGTTTTGATCGACTTGGAGTGGTTACACCATCATTATTATCATCATTATCTTTTCCTGCAGAAGCAGGTGGAGGTGGTGGTCGTATTGGTGCTTTACCACCTTTATTTCGATCTTTACGATTAAATGGAATTTAAAAAAAAAATATCAGATATATTATCTTCATGTTTCCAATAATAATTGGAATGAAGAAAAAATAAAGGAAAAGGACGAATATACTACAACTACTGGTAAAACATACTACGGATGATCAACAACAAAAGCAAAAAAACTTACCATCAATAGTAGGTGATTTTTTAGTTGTTGATTCTATTCGTGTGTGTGTACGTGTGCGTGTAAAACAACAACAACAACAACAACGAGTTTTCAAATCGCAATAATTTTAGTGAAAGCATTTTCATCAAACGAAAATTGAAAGGAAATAGAAAATAGAGAAAGAAAGAAAGAAAGAAAAAAAGAAAGAAAGGAATGGTAATGATTAGTAAAGATATGATGATAATAATGAAATTTTTCAACAACAACAACAAAAATTTCGAGTGTGCGTGTGTGTGTGTGAAATATATGTAAATGAAAAAAAACGTGCAAAATGAGAAATGAAAATTTTTTTTTTAAACAAAATAAGCAAGCAAAAAAAAGCAAGCAAGAAAAAAAATGAAACAAAATTATAGATTGGCCGCATTGTGTGGGTGTGTGCGCATGTGTGTGTAAATATTGATTATATTCATCATCATCATCATCATCATCAGATATTAATGTGTTTATTTGGTTATTAATTAGAAAAATCTGATGTGATAATTTTGTCAATGATGATGGTTATGATTGTATTGATGATGATGATAATCATTTATGATTCAATGAAGATTTTTTTATATATCATATATATGTGTAAATTTAACCAGGGAAAAAAAATTCACATACCTGGATACATGGTCATGACTGGTGGTGCTTTCACTATTTATATCATTTCATATTCATATACACACACACATACACACAATTGTAAAACAAAGTGAAAAAAATTCAAAAAAACGAATGTTGAACATTATAATGCACCAAAGTAAAAGAAGAAAAAAAAATCAATAGTAAACAACCAATGAACGTGTTTCAAGAATTCCAGAATTATTATAGAGAACATATTAAAAAGATATATACATATATATGGAATATAATAAAGAAAGAGAAAAAAAAAGATTCAGATGGTTAGTTGAATACAATAAATAGAGGAAAATAAAATTGATCAAATTGTGATTTGATTCGATGATGGATAATGATGAGAGAAAAAAAAACAAACAAAAATGATGATGATCAATAATAAATCGTTGAATCCAATGGATAAACAACAACAAAAAAAACAATAAAAGAGAATAAAAAGAATCATTCCATTCACTTTTACACACACACACACACACACAAATTGTTTATGAATGTTATGTTTGTCATTGTGGTGTTCATTGTATGATGATGGTAGTGTTTTGTAATAATCTAATTCTTTAAAATGGAAAAATAAATCTTTGTGCAATTGTGAAATGATTTTCTTCGTTTTTGGAATAGAAAAAAAAGCTAAAATAAATTGTGGTGAACAAAACCAAACCAAACCAAACAAAACAAAACAAAAAACCCGCCAACCAAACTATCCGCCAATCAAAAGAAAAAATATATGAAAAATCAACTAAAAAAAAAATCATTCTGTCAAAATAGCCTAATTTTCTTGATTAGAAATTAGAAATTATAAAAAAAATTTCAAAATTTCACACACAAACACACCAAAAAAAAAAAAATTAATATTCGAATCAATCTATAAATTAACATTACCAATATTGGAATTACTGGAAGTTCCGAATGCAGCAGCAAAACCATCGGATGTAGCAAAATCATCACCACCACCACCACCAGCACCAGCACCAGCGCTAGTTGTAGTAGTTGCTGAAGAAGTGGCATTATTTGCCGGTGTAATACTCAATGAACTTAATATATCGGCAAATGGATTATTGGCAGCCATTGCCGATGATGATGATGCATTTGTATCCAATGAGAATAGATCAGCATTTGATGTTTTTTCAGCACTATTATTACCACTACTACCGCCATCCATCAATAAATCGATCATATCATTGGATTTTTTTGCCAATTCATCTTGATTAGAATTTTCATTTTTATTACCACCACCACCACCACCACCACCACCACTGGATATTGCCAAAAATGGATTGTTCACTTTTTTCTCTTGAATATGTTTTTCCTAAAAATTTTTGATCAAAACCAAAAAAAAAAAAAAAAAAAACAAAACAAAAAATGAGCAAACAAAATAGAAAAAAATTCCATTTTTACAGAATATTTAAAAAGGAAATTGAAATTCAAAGCCGACTTCAAAACACACACACACACAAAAGCTTTACAAACACTGACCGAATTTTCCGAAGATTCGTTCTGAAACAATGAACGAATTTATGGATAGCAAGCAAGAAAAAAAAGAAAGAAATTCAATAGAATCAGATTAAGTATAGTTAGTTTAGTGTTAAACATGAACATATATAGAATCCATCGAAAAAAAAATACCTTTAATTTATTAAGGAATTTTTCTTCTTCTTCAATAGCTTTTTTCACCGTCGTTTGTTCATCCACTGGTGGTTTATTATCACCATTTGATGTTGTTCTATAATTTTTGAAAGTTTATTTTTTTTTTTTGCAATTATATTAATTTGAAATGTTTGCATTATTATTATTTTTTTGTTCAATTCAAATATAAAATTACCCTGGTTTTCGACCTTCCATTGCAGCCAAATGTTGTTCCATAGCCTCTAAAAGGCTACTTGGTGCTTTAGTTAGATCAGGTATTTCACCACGATCAATACCGGCCATTTCGGCTACTTTTAAAAATTCACCAACTTTATTCATACGTGTTAGAAATTTTTTATAAATATCCAATGTTTCACGTGCCATTTTTTTGTTTGTTAATTCAAAATATTTTTCCAAACACGTTATAATACCATCATTATAGCATGCAAATAAACGAATAATGTCTTTGAATAGCAAAAAAAATGCTGCATTGATAACGCCATTAGTTAAATCATTTGCATTACAATCAAATTCCAATAATGTATCGATCTGTGTCTGTAATACAGGTATTGTTTTCAATAATTTTTCCATACCCATCTGTCGTAATTGACCTTCATCACTAACCAATGGATAGCAAAAAAAAACAAACAAAAAAAATTATACAAACAAACCAAACAAAAAAAACAAAAAAAAACACAAAACAATGAAAAAAACATACCCTCGTTTGACTTTGGTAAAATCAAAAGCAACCGTACGATATGAAAGTGCTTTTGTATTAATATAACGTGCATAACGTCTTATAAATATTGACATATCATAACCTTTTGGTGCTGCTTTATCCAGATAATTATTTAGCTGAAAATTACAATTACTTGATGCAAGATATTGTGTAAAACGTTCATTTCCATAACACATAAGATGATGTACGGTAACCAATGCTTTGAACACTACAACCCAACTAGATTGTTGTGTACGTTCAATCAATAGATTGGCCAATTGAGGTATCGATACGTTTGGTTCATCAGTACATTGTAATAAATCTATTTATTTTTTGTTTTCGTTTAAAAATGATTTTTTTTTTTAGAATTTAAATGAATCAATCAATAAATAATTAATAAATTACTTACAATCAATATGTTTCTTTTTCGGTGCAATCATTTCTTCAGTGGTAGCTTTACAAACAACACGAGCTAAACCTTGACCGGCTAATGCATAACGTGCTGCATTAAGACGATCATTTAAGGTTTGCCCTGAATGAGCTCCGGGCATCATTTTGATTCGATTTTTGTTTTTTTTTTGTTTATTCAACTTCTTCTTATTCTTCTTGAAGAAAGAATTTCACATGAAACATAAATAAATAAATAAACAAATAATTGAAAAAAATCAATGACCAATAAATATATTGCAAGTGTGTAGAGAATTTTTTTTTTCAACCACAAAAAATTATATATATGTGAAACGTTTCGTTGTTGATGTTGTTGTCGCTGTAATAATAATGATGATGATAAAGTATGGAAAAAAAGAATGAAAATGAAAATGAAAATGAAAAAAAATGGAAAAAAACGGGCGTTTATTTCTTTTCTGTTGTGTTATTATGTTTCGATAACAGAAAAATTCAATTTCATTCACAATACACACACACACACACACACACATAGACATAGTGATATTTAGAGTTTGACATCAGTCAGTTTGAGTCAATTCCAAACACACACATATCAATTGTGTTGGACACCACCACCGCCACCACTACCGATTTATTGGACGTAGAAATGAAATTTTTAAAAAAAAAAATAAGAAAACTTTTTCTGTAAATAACAATAAAATACAACAACAACAACAACAACAACAACAACGACATGAGTTGAAGTAAAAAAAAAAATTTATTGACGACCAACAATCATCACCACTAATACACCATTAAGTGTGTGTGTGAAGAACATCCACATTTGAATGAATGAATGAATGAGTGAGTGAGTGAATGAATTGGATGGATATGTCAAGTCAAATCTTGTAATCATCAACGTTGTGGCTGTTGTAATTTTTTTTTTTTTTTTTTTTTAGTTGACAATTACCACACACATCATAGCCATGATGTGTTTTTTTTTCTCTCATTTCTATATTTCATTGAAATGACAATGTGAAATATATTGATTTTTTTGTTCTGTTTCTTGTTGAAAAAAAAAATTTTTTGGCTTTCTCCAAAAAAAAAATCACCAATAATAAACGCCTTTTTCTTCTTTTTTTTTTTTTTCTTTGCCTGTTGTCGTACCATTTGATGATTTGAATTAATCAATGGGAAATTTTGCGGCTGTTTTTGTTTTTTTTTTTTTTTCATATTCAGACAGAAAAAAAACAAACAAACATACAGACAGACAGACAGAGATAGAGAGAAAAAAAATTATAAAAAAGCACCTTATCTCTGTTGCACTCGGTGATGCTTATCATTTTTTGATGGACATTATCAATGACAAAATATTTAAACGATTTGATTTTTGATTGATAAACAAATTAAAAAAAAACCGGAAAATACACACAGAGAGAGAGGGAGAAACAAGACAAAAAAAAATTCAAAAATCCTTGTGTCCTTCATCTGTCTGCGGTGTTTTTTTTTATATCATCATTTCATCATTTGTAAAACTACAAATAACAATGAGAATTAGTCCTATTTTGAAACTATTAATCAATCAGAGAAAAAAAAATTGATTTGATTAATTGATTTCAATTTGAAAAAACAAAGAGAGAGAGAGAGAAAAACTCCCAGGTTTTAGTGTCCTTTTTGTTTTATATATATTCTCTTTAATCATCATCATATTTATTGTCCTCATTTTTTTTTTGAAACATCTTGAAACAAACGACAAAAAAACGTGTTCCAAGATGACCTAGAAAAAAAATCCTAGACACAGACACACACACACAACTGTTTATGGTAAAAAAAACATTGGATGATGATGGATCCATATGGTAACATTGACGAAAAAACCAAAGGTCATCATCATCATCATCATGAAACAGTAATCTTAGCATAGTTTAAAGTGAATTTATCCAAAAAAGAACAAAAAAAAACAACAATTTATGATCTGTTTTCGATCCATTCGACAAAAGAAAAAGAAAAACTACATCATCATCGAAGTTGGAACAGAGGCAATCAAAAAAAAAAAAAAACAGAAAAAATTCATCACTCGATGATTCGAGAATCATTTTTCAAGAATTTCATGGGAAAAAAATTGAAAATAACATACATACCTTTGCACATATATATATATATTCTAGTCAAATGATTAGTTTGATTTTTTAGCTTCCCAAAATGACTTGAAATATATCGAGATTCTATTTGTTTGATTTTGTTTTTGTTTTTGCCGTTTTGTTTGTTAGTTGCTCGACAACGAAAAAGTTGAAATGTAAAAAAAAACAAACGTAGAAATTATTTTTTTTGCTATTTTCTCCTATTTTTTTTTTGTCTTGAGTTTCCTTGACTCAAAATATCATAACAATCGTGTGTATATGCGTGTGTGTATAATGTTAGACACACATGTATATATATATAACACAAGAAAATATATAGAGAAAAAAAATAATCAAAATGGTCAAATACAACTATACCACAATGTTCTATATATTAAAATGTATTGTATATTATAATCATCATTATACGGAAATTGATTCAATTGAATATTATATATATATATAAAACGCACAAAATAATCTTTTTGTTGTTGTTGTCGTTGTTATAGTTGAACACAGTTTGGAATGTATGGTTTGTCATCAGTTGATTCGTTGGTAACATTCAACATTCGGGTTGAATATTTTTCTACTATTCAATATTTCAATAGTTGTTTATTGTTGTGTATGTAGAAGAACATTTTTTCGGTTGATGATGATAACACCAAAAAAACAAATACACACAATTGTATACAGAAAAAAATGATGTAGTAGCAACAGCTCATCAGTAAACTCAATTATTATATATATAGAAAAGAAATGAGAGAGAGAGAGAGAAAAAAGAATGAAGATTTAGATGGAGATGAAGAAGACGAACAAAAAAAAGATTATATAATGTGAATGTAGTATGGTGATGATGATGATGATGATGATCAAAAATCATAGATTTGTTCGATGAGTCGGCGTAATTCTGCTGTTCAAGACAAAAAAAAAAGTTTATGCGTACATCATCATCATCGTTTTCACCGATCCAAAAGATGATGATGATGTGTTTGTGCGTAGGTAGAATTTGTTTGCAATATTGCATTAAATATCATCAAAATGATTTTTTTGATTCGAATTCTCCAAATTCCATTATTGGTTGATGATTGATGATAATGATATGATGAAAAAACGGAATAAAATTGAAGAATTAAAATGAAAAGAATTTTTTTATTAGAATTTAAATCTATAATCATTGTGGAATCGTACCTTTGTAAGAATTTTTCATTTCATTTCTCTCGTTTTCTTGTAATCGTGGTTGCAATACAACACGACAGACAATAATTTATCCAGGAAGTTGCTGTTGTGACAATAAATAATAATAGAAAAAAAAAATTTTCAATTAATCAATAATCAATCAATCAATACAATAAAAACACGGATATATGTCTTTGTAAAAAAAAATATAGATTTTTGCCGGTGTTTTTTTTTCTACATTTAAAAGTTGCAAAATGTTTTTGAAGGATGTGTAAGTAAATAATTACGTGGCATAGTTCATTCAATCATCATTAATCAATAATATTGGAATGTGATTCGAACAACATCGACAGCAACAACAACAACAACAAACAAAAAAAATTGAATCAATCAATTTGAATAATAAATTATTGAATAACAGAAAAAAACAAACAACAAAAAAAAATTTTGAAATCGATGATGTACAACACACACACAAACACAAAGAGAGAGAGAGAGGATTTATTGATTACAAAAATTGACTGATTTTTTTTAAAGAAATATTCAATTTCATATCATTTCTTACAAAAAAAAATTGATGATCATTGAGCATTGATGCTCGTTCTCAACACTTATTTTTTTTTATCATCAATGATAAAAAAAAAAAACATCTGCACACAATATATGTTGTATATCGACTCACACAAACAACAACGAACAACGAAAAAAATAAAAATGACGACAGAGATATGTATGTATAATGATGATTATTATGATACAGGATATTTCTCTTGTATCATAAATTATTTTTGGAATTTTTTGTTTTTTTTCCATTTTCCCAATTCAAACCTAATAAATTCATTCAATTTTCCCACAAGAATCTGATTTTAACTGGAGATTAAAAGTCGACTGAAAACAATTATTGATTGAAATTACTCAATAACAATGAAAAAAATCAATAAGAAAAGACAAAGTTTAACTGTAATTATTTTGTAATTTTTTTTGCGCTAATTACGCCATCTATTATCTACAACAGCAACAACGAATTTTGGATACATTTTTTTGTCACTAATATTACTACTACTACTACTACTACTACGAAAAAAAAACGATCCAAAATCAAATACAGAGAGTGAAATTGGTCTGCAATTGTTCCAAATATAGTGGAACGTCATATGGAGATGTTTATATTCGATTAATGCCACCACTCCTAACACATCTAATATATATATGTGTAGTGTATATATGTGAACTGGATTGTATTCATACACCCACACCCACGGATAAAAATGTGTTCAATGAACTACTACAACAACAACATAAAAAATATATCTCCAATATTGCCATATTGTGGCGCTGTAAACGCTGTAAATGCATGACGGCCCCTAATATTGTTGTTGTTCATATCATTGCAGACTTTTTTTTCTATCGTTGTCGTGGTTGTTGTTGTTGTCGTCGTCGTCGTTGTTGTTGTTGTCAATGAATTGTTGTTTGGTTGATTGGTTATAGAATAACCGGAGTTTGCCTGGTGTGTTTCTTTTTTTTTTGCCAGGATTTATTTTAATGATTATTATTATTATTATTATTGTGTTCTTCATGTTTATTGAATTGCTGATTTTCTACAGATTCTCTGTTTTTTTTTGGTGATATATTCATCATTGTTATTATTAAGAAAAAACACTATATCTATCTATATCTATATTTCGGCTATCTTTGTTTCTTGGATTTCTTCAAGATAAATAACCAAATAATAATAATATATTCTTAAATTTAAGAGAAATCTAGCCGCCTACTAAACACACACACACACACAAACACATATACTACGACTGTTCAGAATTAAACAACACACACACACACATACAGAATAATATTTAGCATCCAATGAATCTCTAGCATAGAATCATCGGCATCAATGTATTGAGCAATCACTCTTTTACAATTTTGTCAATTTATTTATTCGACAAGAAATATAAAATTCTTCATCATTTTCTGATTCATGATCAAATTGTGATCATTGTGTTGAAATTCTCAATTTTTTATTATCATTATTTTTGCTGAAAATTCAATCATAAATTACATTCCACCAGCAAAAAAAAAAAAAAAAAAACAACAACAACAACAACTAAAACATCCAGGTAAGTTTGACATATATTTCATTTCATTTGTTTTGTTTTTCGTTTTCGAAATTTTCATCATAAAAATAAAAATGTCAATAGAAATGATTTCAATCTAATAGATCATTGTTTTGACATTTTTTTTTCAATTTTCTTCCATTAAATTGTAATTTTTGATGACATTTTCAATTTCAATTTTATTTCGATTTCAATTTTGATTCCATTTACCCATCATCATCATCTCATTATTTATGAATGAAAAGAGATTATTTTGTAATCATTTTCATCATCATCATCATCATTTTAAAACTTTTTGTTTTTCTTGTATATTGATTGTAAATCCGATTTTAGAATTCGTAACTTTGATTCTTTTGTATTTTTATATTTGTTTCTAATAGTGAATAAACTAAAACTATTCATTTCTGATCACCATCATCATTTATTGTTAATGGGATTTTTTTTTGTGTTAAAAAAAAACTTTTAAATCAAAAACAAAACAAAAAAAATTTTTTTGGTTATTTGTTCCAAATAACAAGTTGGGCGTTAGAGGTTTATGTTATTATCTGTGTGTGTGTGTGTGTATGTCTGATTCGAATCAAATCCAATTTCAAAATTCTAAATTAATGATTCATGAGTTCCTGACAAATTTTGTTTTTCCATGACTATTCTCTCTCTCTCTCACTCTTTTTCCAAGTGTTTGTTTTGTTTTGTTTGAATTTTTTTTTTTCGTTCAAATTCTCTATGTGGTATGGTGAGTGAATGAAATGTTTTTTTATTTAAATTCTCGTTTCGTTTCGTTTCGATGATGAAATGAATAAATCATTGTCATTGGAATTTATTTATTTATTTTTTTGACCGCAGAAAAAAAATTCCACATTTTCTTGGTTACAGAGAAAAAAAAACGAGACAACAACAACAACAACAACAAAAAAATATGGAAAAAATATTGATCAATAATCATCTAATCGATATGGAAAACATGAATGTTTTCAAAATTTACATGTTTTTATATTATAATAATGGACTTGGTTCGAATATATACATTCGTACACATATTATTATTACAAATGTTATTTTTTCCGGTTTCAAACAAGAATTTTCTTCTTCTTCTCTTTCTTTTTTTTTCGGTGCAAAATAATCGTTTTTTCATTACTCTTTTCCACAGTTTTTTTTTTCATTAGCGGATAATATTTTTTTTTTTCGTTTCCACTTTTTATTTCATTTTTTTTTTGTTCTTTGTTCACATCACATGTTTTGTATGTATATGGACCTTCTACTAATACCTATAATAATAATAACAGCTTTATTTGTTTGGTTTTTTTTTCATTCTTTTCACACTTGTCCTTGACGGGCAATTTCCGGTACAAATTGCCTATATGTTTTTCGTTTTCTTTTTTTTTTTTTCTTTATTTTCCCTGTCATTTCGTTGACTTTTGACAGCTTTTTTTTCTGTTTATTTGTGTTTGTATTCAGCTATAAGTGTGTGTGTGTGTGTGTGTGTGTGTGTGTTTATGTTCTTGAATATAGTAATTTTCATACATTTTCAAACCCAAAAATTAAACAATCAAAAAGCATCGATTTGATTGATGAGTTCGTAAGAGAGAGAGAGAGAGAGAGAGAGAGAGCGAGTGAAGCCATCATTTTGCATATTTTTGATTTATGTGTGTGTGTGTCTGTTTGTTTGTTTGTTTTTAAGAGGCAAAAATTTGTTATGATTTCAAAAATCGAAAATCGATTTGATTTATATATTATATTATATATATATTTAAATTAAGGAAAAAACGATTTTTCTTATTCTTAACCGTATATTTTTTTTGCGTCCTCGTCGTTTATATATAATGTAATTATCCTCTTTGCGTTGTGTTTTCGCTTATCAATACAACACACACACACATCATATATATCGATAATCTTAATGTGATGTGATACTTGATGATAAGTAGTGATTTACCAAGTGATTATCATCATCGGTATTTATTTTTTTTTTTTCGTAAGATCAATTTTCTTTTCCTTTTCTTTCTTTTTTCTACTTAATTTGTCTCGTTCTTTTTTTTTTTTTTTTTTTTTTTGATTTAAGCTAAAAAGAAATCGGATCTTTATCCTTTTTATTGCAAAAAAAAATGAATCAGTATTTTATTCTCAATCATCAACCTTTTTTTTCGATTTCTGGCCAATTTTTTTTGTCCTCTAGTTTAATGCTGTTCTGTTTTGTGTGTGTGTGTGTGTGTGTGTGATTTGTCAATCATGCGACCATATAATGTTTCATGAATCAATTCGTTTTGATTTGATTTGATTTTTTCCATTTCCGAATTTTGTTTTCGTTTCTAGGCAATGATCAAATGATGATGATGATGATAATGACAAAACTAAAATTGAGAATAAATCCAAAAAATGGCACACACACACACATATTAGTGATTTGATGTGAACAAAATCAAAGGTATTAATTTTTTTTTTGGTGTTTGTGTCACTAATTTACTGCTGTTGTTGTTTGATGGTTATTTTTATGTTTTCTGTTTTGTTTTTTTTGTATCGCACTATAGAAACCATAAATTTGATGTTTTTTTTTTTGTGTGTGTGTGCATGTAAATTGTACAAATGTAATACATCATCATCATTCAAAAAAAAAAAAAAAATGAATCCAACGCCCACTCTCCACTGTCTAAGAATAATCGGAAAGAATTTGTTTTTTTGTTTTTTGCTTTTTGGCTTAACTTTTTTTTTCATTTCTCATTTCAAAGAATTCACCATTCTTTATAATCGGAAATGGAATTATTATACTTCAATTGTCTTGGACAAAGTTGGTTTGACAGCTGCAACGAAAAAAACTGAAAAGTTTTCTGTTTGGGTGTTAGTGGTGGTGGTTCTGATGAAGTAATAGGTGACACTTTTATCACCATTTTCAATGAAATATTTTTTTTCTCAAGAATCTTGAATTCCAATCATGAATCCATAATAATTTCAATTCTGATGAAAAAAAATTCTAGTTCCAATTTATTTTTTTTTGACATGTCTTGTTGGATTGATGAATAGTGATGATTTCTCTCATTATATATTGCCAGATTAAAATTCATTTCATTTGATGACAGGAAATTTAATTTTTTCATGTTTTTTGTTTTTCGTTATTATTATCAAACAGATTCTGTTTTTCAAATTGTAATGGATTGTGATCATCATCATTATTATTATTTTTATTATTATTGTGATCATCATCATCATCAACATTGCCTTCATGAATGGCCAAAAAAAATTATCAATAATTATTCATGATGATGATTTGGAACAAACCTAGAAAAAAAAAATAAATTCAATTAATCAAATTCAAGTCCTTGGAGTGTTTGATAATCGATAAATTAGCTTGATCAAATTTTTATCAAAAAAAAACTTTTAAAAAAAATAATAAATCGATCAATCAATCAATTGATTATTTCAAGAAAATTATTCTCATTTCACAAATGAAATTTAATCATCATCATCATCATAAATATTCGACTTTTATTATCGTTTATCGTTGACAGACCTAGGAAAAAGAACACATATATTAAAATCAATAGACTATAAACGAGAAAAACAACAGCTAACCAATCATTACAGGATTTGATCATCATCCGATTCAGGTATATATTGATTTTTTTTCTTCTATTACCATTAACTATTAATAAAATTGATTATATTGATCTATCGATTGATTGATTGATTGATTTGTTATTTTGTCGTTTATATTTTATTGTAATAATAACCTTCTTTTTGAAAATAATAGGAACTGTGCCAACCACAATAAAAACAACAACAACGACGACGACGACGACGACGAAAATCTTTTACACAATGACCCAGAATAATAATAAAAGTTCCAGTAGCACATCACCACCCATTTCATCAACAGTAGCAGCAGCAGCAGCAGCGATGGGTGTTGTCATCAATAATAATGATAATAACACAATGACTACTACAACCACCACCACCACCACCAACAACAACAACAACAATAATAATAATAATTCAAGTCCAACGATAATAGCTACAACAGCGGCATCAACATCAATGGCAACAACAAATGTACGTCGTGTACGTCGTTATCGTATATTTCCTGGACGAAATCGATTCTTCTGTGATGGCCGTATTATAATGGCCAAACAAATTTCGGTTTTCTATTTTACCGTTACATTATTGGTTGGTACATGTGTTTCATTTTTTATTTTTGAGTAAGTTTTTCATTTGAAATTTTTGATAAAAAAAATGATTGATTAATTGATTCATTCTGTTCTGTCATAGTTCACCATATCTATCGAATAAAATTAGCCCATTGGTACCGATTGTTGCTGCTTGTCTATTTTTATTTGTTCTATTCAGTCTATTTCGTACATCATTTACCGATCCCGGTATATTACCGCGTGCAACACCGGCTGAAGCAGCCGATGTTGAACAACAAATTGGTAAGTTTCATATTCATGATAATAATTGATTCAAAAATTGATCAAAAAAAAAAAAAAAATTTTTTCTCATCCCAGTTCCAAACCAAAGTAATTCATCAACAATGCGACCACCGCCACGTACCAAAGAAGTTATGATCAATAATCAGACTATAAAATTAAAATATTGTTTTACATGTAAAATATTCAGGCCACCTCGTGCATCTCATTGTAGCCTTTGTGATAATTGTGTTGGTTAGTAATTTTGATTTTTATTTTAATTTTTGATGAATAAAAATTCATTTTTAATACCAATATATAAATATATAATAGAACGTTTTGATCATCATTGTCCATGGGTTGGTAATTGTGTTGGTAAACGTAATTATCGTTTTTTCTACATGTTCATCGTATCATTAGCATTTTTATGCATATATGTTTTTTCATGCATAATAACACATTTTATTCTATGTATGTATTGATGATAATGTTGCCAAAAAAAAAAAAAAATTATGTCAATTTTCATATTTCATATTTTTTATTATTATTATTATTAGTATCAAAAACAATGACATTTGTTGAGGCTGTTAAACAATCACCAGTGAGTGTTGTTGAAATGATCATATGTTTCTTTTCTGTATGGTCAATATTAGGATTAGCCGGTTTTCATACCTATCTTATTATGTCAAATTTAACAACAAATGAAGATATTAAAGGATCATTCTCAAAACGTAATCATGTGTCTGTTACTAATCCTTATTCATTGGGATCAATATTTCGTAATTGTTATTCAATATTATGTTCACCAATTGGTCCAAGGTTTGTCTGCGATATTTTTATATTATCCTTTTAATTCATTAATCTTTTGTTTGTTTTTTTTGCATACACCAAAAAAAAACCAACAACAACAACATCTGTCATCAGTTTAATACATCGACGTTCATATGTTTATTGTGAAGAAAGTATCATAACAACAACGGCATCTAATAATAATTCCAATCATCAAACACAATCACCACAATCATCAAAACAATCACAATCGATTCGTTTCCCTGGTCCAGTTGCATATCCATTACAACCAACAGCAGCTTTTATTTCTGGTCAACAACAACAACAACAACAACTGCAAGCCCCGGGCATGGCTAGCTATTATCATCATCATCAACAGCAACAACAACAACAACAGCCACCATCAATGAATAAATCACCACAAATTATATCGCATCAACTTAAACAACAATCGAATGGTCAATCACAATATTATGTACCGATGATGAAGAATATGTCCATATCTCAACAACTTCATTCAGATTTACATGGCCAGGTTTATCTTGGTCATGATATTGATGAGCTTGATAAACAGCAACAACAACAACAACAACGTTATGGATTACAACCTAATTATTATCATCAACAACAACAACCACAGCCAATTAATGATAATTCCCATAATTCAATAGTAATGATGGCCGAACCATATCAAATAGATCATCATAATCATCATCATGAAACAGCCAACGCCATTGATTCATTAAATTATCCACATTCAACATGTCAACAGGCTTGTTATTATCAAAAACAATCATCATCATCGCCATCAATTCGACAACAAACAAATATAGCACAATTACAACAACAATCTGATTATCATAATTATACAACGACAATGGTTATTGATCCATATTATCCGAATTTATTGAAGAAAAATAATTCATCATCAATAATTATTAATGATAATGATGATAATGATGATCATGATCATAATAATCATGATTATTGTAATTATCCATCAACACAAACACAGTCGCAACAATGGAATAATAATAATAATAATAATAATAATAACAATAACAATTCTCAAATTTCAAAATCAACGACAGCGACATCTTGTTCACATCATCATCATCATCATCATCATCATCATCATCAACATCATCCATCGAATTCAAGTAAATCATCAACCGGTAGTTCTGTTGGTGGTGGTGGTTCAATAACCGGTACATATCAATCAAGATCCAATAATCATCAACAAAAACGGTCACAGGGAACAACAACTACAGTGAAAGGTGGTAATGTTGTTGGTCAAACAATAAACACACGATCACAGCAAATAAAATCACAATCAAATAGTAACGATAATGGTAAGTAATTATTAATCAATAACAAAAAAAAATTAACCCCTTTTCTCTCTACATTTACAGGATACAAATAATCATCATTGAATGAAAGCCATAGAAAAACAAACAAAAAACAAAATTTGAGACATTCCATGTGATGGAGATTTCGTTATGTAATTTGAATCTGATCAACGGCTACAACCACGGTCACAACACACACACACACTTACATATACACATTATCATCATCAAGAACAGACAACAGGACACAACCAAACAATTTATTGTGAGTTTCATTTTTTTCTATTTGAATTTTTTTCCACGTTTCTCTAATATCATCCTGATGATGATAAAATTTTGATTTCAATCTTTTTATAAAAGTGTGAATTTTTCTTTTTGTTGTTATCGTTAGAATCCAGATTATGAATCTTGATTATTAGCCAATGTTGTGTATGTGTATTTGATGCCTAGACAACCAAATAGTTATTTATTTATTTTTTCTTTTTGGTTTCGTTTTCGTTCAATTCATTTATTTTTTCAACATTTAATTTTGTTTTAGTTTCAATTTTTTTCAATCAATCGATATTGATTGATTTAACAAAAACAAATCAAAAATGTTTTTCGGAATTTATTTATTTCTTTTTGTTGTCTTGTTTTTGATTCTTGTTTGTTGTTGTCTCAAAATTTGTGCAATGTGTTTTGCCGATATTTTAGATTTTTCCGTATGTTTTTTTTTCTGGATCACATTTTAGTTTGTTGTTGTTGTTGTTGTTTGTATTCTTGAACCAAAATTCTAATTTTTCAATCTTTTTTTTTCTCATTACTTCGAACAAAAAAAAAATATAGAAATGTTTCAATCGGAATAGAAATCAACATCATCATTGTGGACGATATTATAGTCGTAAAAATCATGGTCAACAATTAGAACCTTATCGTCATTCTATCAATAATGTTAGAACACAATCAATCAATCTAGATGATGAAAATGAACCAGATGATGTTATTATCGATATATTAGATGATCGACCATTAACTTATTTTGTATTTCCAATGGGTAATAAAACAATATCACCAGCTACACCACCATCACCAAGATTAGTTACATTTAAAATGGCCGATTCACCTAAACGTCGATTATATCGTCCATTAAGACGTTATCGTCAAAAATTAACAACAATTGTTGAAATGGGTTCCAATGAAATTTGATCAATCAATCAATCAATCACACGCACACACACACACACACACACATACATACACACAGAAACAGGAAAAAACAAATTTTGTGATTTCTTAAATTTTTTCTTTTTTTTTACTTTCATCCATTAAGCCTTATTCTATATTCCATTTTTTTTTTCTCTCTCTCTCATCTTCTGATCATTCATTTTTTTTTCAAAAAATTTTTAATTTCTTCATTTTGGCTTAAACATAAACACATACGATTTTACAATGAATACACACCTTTTGTCAACAACAAAACAATTACCACCACCATAGATTCTCTAGTCATCAACATTTGATTATTAATTATTGATGATGGCCATTATCGATTTTTTTTTCTTCTAATAATTTTATTGTAAATAACATCATGCAAAAAACAAAACAAGCCAAAAAACAAACGACAGACGGTTCTAACAGGAAAAAATTCAGACAGAAAAAAAACAACAAAAATTTCACTTATGTAATCTGTCATCATCATCATCATCATCATTTGCTCATTAATTCATACTGATTTTTGATTATCCATCCATTTTTATTCATACATTGGTCAATCATACAGGAAAAACAAATTGATATTTTTATTGAGCTAAATCATAAAACACGAATTCTTCACATTTGATGATGATGATGATGATAATTTTGAAAATTATTCTTTAACATAAACAGAAATTCAAGAAACCAAAAAAAAACAGACAAACAAAACCTTCACCTAAATTCTTTTTTTGTTCATTCCAAAAAAAAAAAAATTCTCTCTATTCTTTGAAATTTTTTTTTTCACAATTTGACAAAAACAAAATGAATTATGTGACAATTTGTAAATTTTGATTCTCAATTTTGGATATTGGTTCTTTTTTGCTTGATTGTTATCGATGCTTCTGCTGCTGCTGCTACTACTGCTACTACCGCTGTTGCCCTCATTATATTTTGATTTGACCTTGATCTTGATAAATTTTTTTTCTATATGTATTTCAAATTTTGATTTCAACCAAAACAAACAGGATATTTTTTCCTGATTATTTGCATTTTTTTTTGTTTGTTTCTGGAAATGAATAAATTTTGTTTTTGCCAATTAATCTTGATATATAATATATATCGATCGATCGTTCAATCAATAGGAAACTATTTTGAAAATTTTTTTTTCACTTCATGATAATTTAATCAATTGACATTTTATCACGAATTAACCGGTTGATGAAATTGTAACCAAAAGTAGGCAAAAATTGAATTAAATAGAGCAATGATTTAGCTAAAAATCAAACAAAATAATTTTCTTTTCCACTTGTTGTAGCCTAGAATCTTCTATCAAAATATCATCATCATCATCATCACCATCATCATTAATGTTTAATGAACCAGTGACCTTTTCATAGGTTTTTTTCTGTTTGTTTATTTATCATCAGTCTGGCTGCTGTTTGTTGTTGTTGTTGTTGTCGAAGGCCAAATATTATACTCTGGAATTAATAATCAAATGGAATTCTCATATTTTCATTTATTTTGTGCATGTGTGTGCCATATATCACGTATTTGATTTCAGTCATTTTTTTTGTTTGTTTTTTTTTTTTTTTTTTTGACCTCAAATTCGATAAGTTGTCCAGGTAAAATACTGGTTATGAAACACACACACACACACATCACGTTACTGGTTAAGCAAAACGGATGCTTTGCAATAATCCTAATAATCCTATCCTGTGATTGTTGTTTATTTTTCTGTTTTTTTTTTGTTTCATCATCAAAGATTTGTTTAACCCGATTTTTTTTTGCGTTTTTGGTTCTTACACATTTGTCCCTGTCTTGGAATTTTGGATTTTTTTCTTGCTGTTTTTCTCCAAATTATTCGCAAGCTTTATGCATGGATGATGAAAAGTTTTTTTCCAGCTATTGATTTCAATCTTTAATCTTTTTTTTTTTTGCTCAAAGAAAATACGTAATATCAAATTATGTCTGTTGTCAATGTTGTAAAATAAAACCTAATAATAATGATAACGATGATAATGGCTACGATTATGACCACACTGTATATGTGTATGTGTCATCCTGCACATGCAATGTGGTCATTATTGAATATTTTAATTAGTTAGCAACAATAAAAGGATCGTTGTCGTTTTTTTTTCATCGAATCCCAATCCTCATCATCTTTGATTATTTATGATATGGATGTTTTTTTCCCCTAACAGCTGATAATAGCAATGAAAAATGAAATAATAACAATTTCGGACCCGGTTGATAATGGTACAGATTTCAGATCTGTTTGTTTGTTTGTTTGTTTGTTTTTCTATTCAATAATGTTGATGTAGATGAAATATTGACAAAAAAAAATTGATACACATTTTCATCAATCATAAATATATAAATATGGTGTACGTGTTCAGGCAAACATTCCAGTATTTTATTTTTTTAAAAAAATAAATATAAACAGAATGAGATTTAACTGGAAATTTTTTTTTATTATTATTATCATTATTATCATGACAGCCATTGTCATCATCATCAATTATCAGCTAGCTATAGAACTAACTAATCTTAACTAGACTGAATGGCTTTTATCCCCCGAAAACAACCACCACCACCGCCGCCACCATCATAAATCCACACATACATATGTGTGGTAAAAATTGCGTAAATTCAATTTTTTTTTTTTTTTGATGAAAACAAATTAAAATCTGATGAACCTTTGGTGTCGAAAATTTTGAGTAGTTTGAGATGGTAAAAAAAAGGCATCAGGGCAATGGTCTATTTTTTATTTTTTTTTTTTTTACTCTTTTGACACTTTTTTTTAATCATCATTTTATGTATGCAATTGCCTCACTTCCCCCCACCACAACTCGTCCCCACCATCACTTACTCATCCATCACCTGAATGTACAATTTTTTTTGATATCGCGTGCACCACACATTAAATTACATTTTTTTCTGTTCACATTTTTTACTGTTTTATTTCGGTTGTTGATGCACATCGTACACATTGTTGAGAATTGATAATTGATATATAAAGCCAACGATGATGATCATTGGATTTTATTATTATGGTATTTCATAATTTTTTTTAAAATGTAAAAAATTTTAGTTATAGTGTGCTCACATCCAATTTATCTAGCTTGTCTAGATTGATTTTTTCATTTTTATCGAAGAAATTTATCATCATCATCATCTTTATTCATGAGGTAAGTTATACAACAATTTTACATGTGTGTGTGTGTGTGTCTGTGGGTGTACGTGTGGTGGGCGGGTGTTTATGCAAACATGGCAGACGAGAAATGGATAAATCAGTCTAAAAAAAAAATTCTTTCATTCTAACATTTCGTACGATGACATCCAATTTGATTCTCGTTACGATCATTTGATCAATTTATTCGTGTTCATGAATTAATTGATTAATTAATCAATCAATCAATCAATCAATCCAGAATAAATCCATAGACATTATCAATTTTGTTATTTCCGAAATTTCAATAACAAAAAATAAAAAACAAACGGATGTATCAGAATAGAATATAGAATGTATACAGGATGATATTCATTGACTGATTGATTGATTGATCATAAATAACACCTGCCCTTTTTTGGATAATTTGCTTTTCACATACAAACAACAAATCCACGTCAAATTAATCTCTATTATAAAGAAACAAACAACAAAAAAATAAAAAAGAAATTTATTCTAAAAATATCTATATAAATACCAAGTCACCATATATTATAAATAAAGACAAAATTGTACATGTACACACACACGATTCTTCGATTCTGCTATCGGTTCATCCATATAGTATGTGTGGGTGTTGCACGTCTATTCATAATAGAATTTTTAGCAGCAGCAGCAGCAGCAGCAACCACCACATCTATGATGATGATAATCCAAACAAAATACCATATAATCATATAGATTCATTCGACCGGATATTACTATCATCATCATGATGGTGGTTGTGTTATAGCCAACTATAAAGATTTTTCTTTTCTCATGTTCATCATTTTCTGTTTATTGTTCATGAAATATTTTTTTGTTGTTGTTGCTGGTTGGTTATTACTGTTTTGAATTGCATCAGATACGGACATACTTATATTGTCGCTCCATGCCACATAAACATTGATAGTTTTTTTTACATTCATTAGAATGCGTGAGAGGTTTGAGACTTTTTTTATTTAGGCAAGAATAAAATTGATTCTTTCATCGGGCCCATTCAATGGAGAAAGCCAGAAGTTTTTTTTTCTATTATTCTCTCTTGAAATTTCAATGTCAATATCATTATTATTTTTTTTTTCTTTATTATTCTTTGACCAATTCCAAATTTTTTATTTTCATTTTTCGTTTTTCTTTTTATTTATTTTTTTTTATTTAGAATGAAAATATTCCTTTATTGCCGAACGTATCAAGTGAATTGTTTTGTATGAATTTTTTTTTCTCATCAAACGAATCGATTCTGTTTGTCGCATTGTATGACTGACTGACTGACTGACTTAATGTTTTGCTGTTTACTACTAATAAAAAAAAAAACAAAACAAAATTCACCACAAACGTATGTATTTTAAATGATGAACAGTGTTTATTTCACAATCAACCAACCATCACCCAAACAACCATCACCACAACAAACAAACAAACAAACAAACAAGAACGGAAAAAACCTGGTGAAATTCCATCTTGCTGACAGACAAAACAAAACATTCTTTGCTCAACAAAAAACAAATTCCTTGATATAATTTTTTGAATTTTTTCGCTTTTTATTCCTACATATTTTTTTTCATTCTGTTGTTGGTGCTGTTGCAAAAAAAGAATATCAATATTCATAAATAATGTTGCTATTTTTATCATAATGATGAATATTTTGTTGATCAAAAAAAAAAAAAACAATTTTGTTTTTTGTTGTACAAATTGATTAATATTTTAAATGCATCAAAATCATCATCAACGTCGTCGTAAACATCAATTATCGTTTTCAATATATATATAAATATTGATGATATTTACGAATTGATCAATAACAACAGTACAATTTTCCATTATTATATCGATAGAAAACTTTTTCAAATGTAAATTTTAAATAAATAATAATGTGATGTGATTCATTCATAATGAAAATGAAAATGAAAACAAAACAAAAACATTTATGATAAATTCAAACCAAACAGTGAAAAAAAAATTGAATGAAAATACATTTCAAGTGTGTGTGTGTGTGTGTGAATACGCACGCGCTCTCAATTGATGAATATATACATCTACATTATTTTATTTTAGCCTTGTGATTTTTTTTTCAATTCTGGATTCTTTGCAACCGATAGTGTGTGTGTGTGTGTGTGTGTGTGAGATTTTTTTGTCTGAAACATTTTCATCATCCATATATAAGATTTTAAATTTTTTTCAATTGTTTTTTTTTTCTTTTTTTTTTTTAATGAATGAAATCAGTATGAACTTTTCAAACACTACTGTCGTTAATTATTATCTTTATTATTCATCGTTTTTTGTTTTTTCACCATTTTGTTATTGTTTTGTTTATCATTATCAATCATCAACATCTATAATCATCATCATTATCAATAGTGGTTTATTTGATGTTATTTTTATCCACCAATTTCAATCGATTAATAATCAATTTGTTAAACATGAAGACCATAAATTTTTACATGATGATAGTATAAAATGTTTATATCAGAAATCAATCGATTTAACAAATTATCCGGGTACCGATTTTTTCGTTATGGATTATTATTATTTTGATTATTATTATTTTTTAAATAAATAATTAATAATTATATATAAATATAAATCCATCGGACAATCAATCAAAGTGGAATCGATATTTTTTTTTCTGGATTTCCGTGAAAAAAAATAAATAAATAACTAAATAATCACATGATAACCGAAATTCATTTGTAATTTTCCAAATTATTTATCATCTCGAATCATAAGAATTTTCTATTTTCTACATCATTCACTGGTTTTTTTTTCTAATTCCGGTTTGCCTCATCAACGATTGAAGATTTTTTTTTTGTTCATCTCAATCTTGATTCATGATCAAGGTCAATCGATTTTTTTTTCATCACACACAACAACACAACCATCTTGTTTTTTTTGTGCAGATATCTGGATGGTAGTTTGACATTTTTCACGAAGCCACAATTTCATGATATTGAACAAAAGAAAGTTGGTCGAAAAAAATTAATCGATTCATTTGAATGAATGGAAAAAAAATATCAATCGAATCAATTAAAACACTTTGAACGATAGAAAAAATTGATTTTTTTTTTGACTTTCATCATCATCACCATCATCATCGCTAATCATCGATTCGGATCGATATCCATTATTATTTATCGATAAGAAAAATCTTCCTTTTTTCTGGGTCGTCGTCGTCGTCGTTGTTGTTGCCGACCAAATTTTATTTGCCAAAAAAAACCATTTTGTTTTGTTTTATCATTTTGTGTCTCTCTCTCTCTCTCACTATCAAATCACTATCGAAGTGTATGGTGGTTGAATTTATTTGTAATTTTCTCTACAATTTTTTTTATCTGAAAATCCAAATTCAAATTGACCAAAAAAAAACTAAATATAAACACAAATACAAATTTCACATATTCATTGTCCATAGTGATGAACATGGCCAAAGCAAAATATTGATCAAAATATTGATCATACGTATTGGTAACGAAAACGACACAACGAAACAAGTGAAACGTTTCCAGTAGAAAATTTTTTTTTCTCATTTTTCTTGCCTAATCAAAACTATCGAATTACCCTTTGACTCCGATCAACAACAACAACAACAACAAAAAATTGAAACGAAAATGTTGAATATAAAAGATATCCATCATCATCATCATCATAAAAATATTGCCGCTAATTTAGCCGATAATCATGGTAATATTGGTTCAAATACTGTTATTGATAATGGTTCCATTATCAATAATAAAATCAACATCAATAATGATGATGAATATCGTGATGATCAATTGCTATTAATACCAACAGACTCATCAACATCATCGTTGTCGTCATCATCAATGACATCATTATCATCATCATTTGTACAGATTTCACCTATGACCGATATTAGTACAGAAAATAATAATCATGATGATGATAAAAATATGGTTAAACCCGGTAATGATAATCATGAACAACAACGAAAAAATGAAATGGATGCTGATAATAGAATGTTTATAACAACAAAACCAATAATGACATTTGATTGTTTTTCATTGACAAGTCAAGAATCATTTCCGAATGGCCATCATATTGATAATAAAAATCTTATTGAATTACTACGTAAAGGTACGGCATCTATAGCACCTTGTTTGAACGATAATAATAATACCCAAGGTAATGGTGATGATGATAATAATAATATTAATGATGGCCATTTCATGATGATGAAAAATGCTAATCATCATGAAAATCATGACCAACAATATTATAAAAAACATTGGTTAAACTTAAATAAACAAAAACATCATGTGCGAACAACAACAACACCGACAACAACAACAACAACAGCAACAACTAATATAGTTACCAATGTCAGTAATCATCATCACGTTTGTGATGATGATAATATGGGAAATGATTTCATTCAGCCGATTCAAACATTGATTAAAAATAATAATAATAATAAGCCACGACCACCACCACCACCACCATCATCATCACTATCGATGCCACCGCAGTCAACAAGACCATCATTTGCATCGATACAATTATTGAAAAAAGATCAAATTGGATTTCATCAACAATCAAAACCGATTACTATTGATTCAAATTCATCATTTAGCCATCATTATAAAATCCAACAACAATCATTGGATCCAGTTATTTCAGTTAACAATAATAATAATCCATTTGATCATTGTGATCCATTCATTTGTTATTATCCACAACAACAACTATTAGAACGACAAAATCAATTTAATATGATTAAAAATCAACGTAAAATAGATGATGAAAAAAATATTGTCAAATTGGATCATCCACCGATTGATCCATTAGATTTTCTTGAACGTTATCGTCAACGTAATAATTTATCTGATGAATCACCAATAAATAAAATATCAACATCATCATTATCATCGGATGGCCGTTGTCCAAGTGAATCACAATCATTTACAAATTCTACAATTGCTATAATATCACCGAAAAAGAATAAAAAATCAATTAATAATGGTGATGATGCTGGTGATGATGATGATGATGAACAATCATCAACAAATGGTGGTTCATCCGTTACCATCGATACGGATCAATCACAAATGGAACGTGGCCAATGGTCGGGTAAATTGGATTTTATTTTCAGCTGTATTTCCTATGCTGTTGGTCTTGGAAATGTATGGCGTTTTCCTTAGTAAGTTTTTGGATCTTTTTTTTCTCTTTTTTTATTGTATGATACTAATTCCAAAAATTTTTTTTTTCACTTTTCTTTTCTCATTTAAAATCGATGCAACACTTCTCGAAACCCCCGCAAAAAAAACAGTCTATGCTATGAAAATGGTGGAGGTGAGTGGTCAATAATTAATGATAATAATTAATAGAAAACAAAATTTTAACCGTATCAATAATAAAAACCAATTTTTTATTGATCGATTATTTCAAAATTGCAATTCGGAAATAAAAAAAAAATTTCTAATACGCAATGTTTGATATCATCATGAAAGTGAAAAAAATAATAATTCGGCCATGATCATTGATCATGATTATCAATAATCAATCAATCAATTTGATTCCAATTTTTTTTTCTCTTGATTAGATTTCCCTTCCTCTCTCTCTCTCTCTTTCTTGCTCCCTTTTTTTCATAATATTGGTCATACAGACAATTAATGGAACATCATAGCCTTGAATATGAATTGTAATTCATGAAATATTGCCCCAATATTCAAATAATTAATCGATTCAATATAATCAATCGTTTTATGAGGTTTTTTTGATTAGATTAGATTTATGATAAAAAAAAAATTTTTTTTGGTGCAAACCTGAATGTTCTTGGCACTTTTTTTCTGTCACTTTTGCCTATTATTTAGACAAATCAATCGATTACAGTAGAATCATTTGATCGATTGATTTATTGATCATCAATTTTGTTTTAATAGTTCAAAAGTACGATGTCAATCAATCAATCAATCAAACAAACATTTGCGTTTAGTGTTTTTTTTTGTTGATTCTTCGTTTTAAATTTCATTTGTCAGATTGAATTACAATTTACGGTTTTTTTTAAAGTTTTGACATACAATAAATCGATCGAATTGCGATGCACTTTATAATAATTTAGGATTTACACAACAATAATCGGAATACAGATTGATTGAATTTAATTTAATTTCATTGAATTTTTGTTTCATTTATTTTTTTCAATTATGACTATATAATTACTAGGAGCATTCTTATTTCCATATCTAATCTGCATATTTGTTATTGGCGTACCATTATTCTTGATGGAAGTATCACTTGGTCAATATTTTCATGCAGGTGGTGTATCTATCTGGAATCAGATACCAATATTGAAAGGTGTTGGTTTTGCATCAATGATTATGATTGGCCTATGTAATACATATTATATTGTAATCATTGCATGGACATTATATTATCTATTCAGTTCAATAAATGTACCATTACCATGGATGACATGTGATAATGAATGGAATACAATTTCATGTTGGATTAGTACTGTCAGTGGTAGTGGTAGTGGTAATAATGGTGAATCAATTGAATCACCACCGGGTTCTGTATCACCTGCACAAGAATTCTGGACGTAAGTATTATATTCATTATTCGATATTGATTAATTACAATTACGACCATCATTTTAGTCATAAAGCATTGAATATTAGTGGCGATATGGCTGAAATTGGTCAAGTTCAATGGCATCTATTTGGAACATTAATTCTAGCATGGATATTAGTATATATAGTAATTTATAAAGGTATCCATCAAAGTGGAAAAATTATCTGGGTAATGGCCATGTTTCCATATGTTATATTGACAATATTATTTGGTTATGGTATATCATTACCTGGAGCATTGGATGGTATATCATTCTACATAACACCACAATGGCATATGTTAAAAGAAGCTAAAATCTGGGTTGCTGCCGGTACACAATTATTATTCACATATGGCATAGGTATTGGCACAAATATTGCACTTGGTAGCTATAATCCAACTAATCATAATTTCTATCGGTAAGTATCAATAATTTTATTATTGATTGATTTATATATATAATCAATGATTTCAATCTTTTTTTTCAGCGATTCTCTTATTGCTTGTCTATTGAGTTCATTTACATCATTATTTTCTGGTTTTGTCATATTTTCTGTATTGGGCCATATGGCATATACAATGAATACTAATGTTGCTGATGTAGCAAGATCTGGACCCGGTTTAGCGTTTATCGTGTATCCGGAAGCGGTTACACGTCTTCCATTACCGAATTTATGGGCAATACTATTTTTTGGCATGCTATTAGTACTGGGAATTGATTCACAATTCTGTACAGTTGAATCATTCGTAACCGGCATCGTGGATGAATGGCCACATTTACTTCGTCCACATAGAAAATTATTCACATTGTTTGTCGTATTTATCCATCTTATATTGGGAATATCAATGATCACATCTGGCGGAATGTACATTTTTCAATTGATGGATAATTTTTCCGCTAGTGGAATCACATTGATCGTTGTTGTATTGTTTGAACTTGTTGCTTTTGGCTGGATTTATGGTAAGTACAGATTAGATTGGATATAAAAATCAAAATTTTTCAAAACAAATCATTATATCTGTAAATATGTAGGTGGCAAAAGAATTTATCAAAATATGGTGGAAATGTTGGATTTTAAACCGACACGTATTCTTTATTATATCTGGTGTTATATAAGTCCTGCTTGTCTATTGGGAATATTAATATTTTCTATTGTTGATTATAAAGCACCGGAATATGCAGGTAAACCATTTCCATGGTATGGTGAATTATTTGGTTTTTGTATTGCATCAGCATCAATCATATTCATACCGACATATATGATATACTATCTATTCATTAAATCGGATCCAAATCAATCATGGGCAGAGGTGAACAATTTTTTTTTGTTTTTTTTCTTCTCATAATTGAATTTAACTTTAACTTTGTTCTATTCAAAAATAGCGTCTAATAAATGGATTTCGACCAATCGATGAACAAACAACAGATCGTAGTACAAGTAAAGCTCAGATGATTGATTCGAATCATTCAAATTCAATGGCCAATAGTATTGTTGTTATTAAATCCGATAATATTACATGTTCATCATCATTACCATCGGAACGAACAATGGACAATAGTTCATTATATCAGAATAGTGTTTAAAGTGGAACAAAACAAAAAAAAACGAAAGGTCATAAAACATACACAAAATTTACAAATTTTAATTTCTTTTTCTGTTCGTTTTTTTAATTTTTGTTTTTTCTTTTTATCATCATCATTCATATTCACATTTTTTTTGGGAAAAAATCCAGAGAGACAGAGACAGAGAAAAAGAATATATATTTTTTATGCAGACACCGACAAAAACACCAAATTATTTTGATCTATTGAAAAATTTTATTCAAACGTTGAATTCTTGAAAATTGATTCAATTGATTGATTGATTGATTGATTGATTAATTTTGATTTCTATTCAACAGCTCTTTTGTTCTATCTTTGTTATGTTTGCTTTGTAGCTTATAATCATGACATGAATAATCTAGGCATTTGTTTTTTATGGTGATTTTTTTAAATTATTAATAAAGATTTAAAAAAAAAAAATTGAAATTGTTTTTTTTTTGCAAATACTAGATGGCATGACATAAGCTCAAATGATTTAATCGCAATTTATATTTCCATCAATAGATGGCGATCATTATTGTTGTGAGGATAATCTTTTTCATTTCATAATATTTGTAATTTTTTTTTTATTTGTTTTCATTGAAATCGATGACTAAAATTGAAATTAAAAGAAAAAAAAATCTCGCCATTCAAATATGTTGATATATATCCCCAAACAGCCAATTGTTGCAATCATCAAAAAAAAAAAAAAAAATTGATGACAATACCAATTTTGGAAAACCAAAAGGAAAACAAAAACCATGAATAAACAAGCAAATGTGTGTGGCAACAAAAAAAAACAGGGGGACAAAAACACAAGGGCATCATCATCATCAGCCATTTTAACAAACACACACACACACATACTCCCACGCATTGCTGTTTGAATTTTATTTCTCTATAATATATATGTTATGTTATATTTGAAATTCAACATCTCAGTTCTTTCAATGATGAAAATATATTGTTGTTTGACAAAAATAAACACAAACATAACATTCACATTCAATGATAATAAATAATATATAATAATATTCATCATCTTCAATTTCAGACCGATCAATCAATCAATTATATTATATTATTTTATGGCTACAAATATGTAGATTGTGAATGTGATTCTTGGAAATCGATTATTATCATTATCATTACCATTATTCAAATAGCAATTGTAAATTGTATTATTACTACAACAACACAACAACAACAACCATTTCTCATCCATTAACCATTGATAGAAATTTGGATCCAAAAAGGAAAAGAAATAATTGTCAAAAATATATATTAATGATGATGATGATGATCATCATCATCATCATTATTGATAACCTTGTAAACAAATTTATTTCATACCACATGGAATAAGAAGAAAGAAAAAAACAAATTTCATGCTATTCTCGTCTTGTCGTTTTTTTTTGAATGTGTGATAGGAAAAAACAACTTATTGCCGACGGATGCCGAATACAAACAAACAACACGACACAACACAAAACATCAAAACACTAAAAGTCTTTTTTTTCCACTTCTTTTTCTTCATCATTCGAAAAAGTATTAAGAAAAATGAAAACAGAAAAAAAATGGAACGTATCCAAAAATGGTTTTATCAATTCGCCAATTGAATTCAATTTAACATTATTATTTACACACACACACACACATACATTCAATGAACAAACAGTAAACCGGTTGTATATTATATTGATAATATATATTGAAATGATGCGCTTACGAATATAAAACAACGACAACGACAACAACAACAACAACAACAACAACACTGGTTGATATATGTGGCTATATGTAATGTTAATATTTAGTAAGGGAAATTCCTTCCTACATTGTTCATTTCGATTTCGATTTTCGATTTTTCTTCGCGTTTTGTGTGTTGGCGTCTAATATATATTATATTGTGCGTGTATATATATATATATAAATTGTGTTTTTGCTAAAATTTTCTAGCTTTTGTTGTTTTTTTTTGTTTGCCATTACGATCAGACAGAGAGAGAACCGATCCGATTGGATTGCCAAGTTTTTTTCATTCATTCATTGAAATTCAACGAAATCGTTCATACTACTTTTCACTTGACATACATTACGTTTTGGCCAATAAAAACTAGAAATTCTTTTTTTTCCATTCAATAATTCTGTGTGTGTGTGTGTGTGTTTTTCGTATTCTGGTCGTCAGTATTCAGATAAACTCACAACATTGATCACGTGTTTAAAGTGTTTTTAGTGTGTGTTTTGTTAATGTGAATGTGTGTTTGTGATTTTATTTTCCATTTTTGTAATTAAATTTTGTTTTCTACAAAAAAAATTAAAAAAAATGTCGAAATTATTACAGGAACGTTTACGTTTCCGTCTATTACGGGCCGTATTATTTGTATCGAATGTAACATCATTGATCATCAATGTATTGATCCTGATATTTGGTTTGGATTTTATTAAGGCATTTATTCGTGTACCGGATGCAACCGATCCAACTGTACGAACATTTGCCATTATTGAATGCTGTCTTTGTACAATAGCCATTATTGGTATTATAATGCGTAATTTTTACACATTTACCGTTTATACCGTACTATTGATTGTTTATCTTGTTTGTGCGGCTATTTTCACTCGTGTACCGGTTGGTTGGTTTTTCTTACTTGGTTTCATATTGGTTTCATTGGCCGTATTATTTGATTATCTATTATGGCTAAATCGTAAACAATTGAAACAAATGAAACGTGAAAATCCATATAAAATCTAGTTTGATGAATTTTTTTATTAATTCTTTTAAAATTTTCATCACTCGACATCATCATCATCATCATCATCCTAATCATCGTCATCGTCATTTTGATTATCATCGAAATTTGCTTTCATCTTTGAAATTCAAAAAAAAAAAAGATGTCCGCACAACAAATTTGAAAATTGAAAAAATTCGTATCACATCCCGTTTTACTACGAAAATCAACGAAAATTCATTCTGTTTGAAACATACACACATAAACATAAAAACAAAGATTTGCAATTACAATTACAAACAAACAAACGAAAAAAAAAATGAAAATTTATAGTAAAAAATAAAATGTTGACCAAAAAATAATTTGCATATGATATTCAATTGTTGTTGTTGTTTTCAGAGTGAAGACAAATAAAATAAAAATAAAAAATAAAGCATAGAATATATATATATGAAGTTTATTTTTCATGAAAATGTGAAATTTAAATTAAAAAATTTAAAATTTAAAAAAAATCAATATTATGAAATCAATTTGTACCACCAGCAGCATAAGGTAATTGAAGAAGTCGATAAGATCCAGCTGATGATGATGATGCCACTATCGATATTGTTGTTGTTGGTGCTGGTGCTGGTGCTGCCGCCGTTATTGTTGTCGTGGTTGTTGTTGTCGTTGTCGTTGTCGATGATGATGATTCTGTTACTTTATTAATTAATGTCTCTGGTGGTGAATTCGTTCTGTGCATTCTTATTTGAAGGGACACCGGAATGGAGAGAAAAAATAATTTTTGGACAAATAGGTATGATATGGGATGAGAAGAAATTTTTTTTTTTGGATTAATTTGATTTGTTTTTTTTTCACCGGTAAAAATCTAGATATTGAAAATTGAATTTTTTTTTGGCTTAAATGTTGATTGGCGAGTTTTGATCGATGAATTGTAAATAAATCTTTGTTTTTATTGGCCACCGCGATTATCTCATTGATTGTAATTGATTCATTAATAATGGATATGCGGCATTAATGTTCATTTCCAATAAATTTGTCAATGATTCCGGTCTATGGATTGTTGTTGTTGTTGATGATGATGGATATATTATATTATCAATTAATGATGTGAATTGTAAAGAAAAATTTGCACAAATACTGAATAATTGTTGAACAATTTCATTCATTGAACAATATTGCACACTATTGTTATTATTGTTATCATAGCTGATTTCGTAATAGAGAAAAAAGATTAAATCATTAGATAAAATTGTTATTTTTTTTGGAAAATTCATCCATAATCCATGTGGCAAGATGATTTTTAAAAAAAAATAATAGTTTTTTCTCCAAGGAAACAAGTACCAATTAAATTTTGATTGGTAATTGTTTCTCAAAGAGTGAGCCAAAAAAAAAAAATTAAAAATTTCAACAAATAATTATCATGAATTGATTCAAACCTTGTTGTTGGTTGATAATACGATGATGATGATGATGATGATGATGATGACTGTTGTTGTGGTAGTGGTTGCCGCTGTGAAAATTGTCTCGGATCATATTGTGAATTGTAATTACCGTCCAATTGTTGTTGTTGCTGCATCAACATTTGCTGTTGCTGTTGTTGCTGAGATGTATTTGACAATCCTCCCATCACATTACCTGCATTCAATGCTCGAGATAAACTATGACTATATTCAATTATATCACGATCAACTTGATGATCATCATCATCATCTTCTTCTTCATCATCATCATCGTCAACATTATCATCACAGGCAGCAGTCCCAGATATAGACGCAGAATTAGTATTGGAAACAGGAATGTTCATGGCAATTGGTTGTTGTGGTTGTTGTATTGAATTCGTATTCTGTACATCATTTATGGTCATCGATTGTCCATATGAATATTGACCATATGTAGATGTTGATGATAATGATCCGATAACATTCGTATCATTCAAAGTAGGAGGAGGTAAAGGCGGAGCCATTGCTGTATTCGTATTCGTCCAAGGCGTACCAAGTGAAGGACTATTATTAGCTACCATAGCTGATAATGGATGACGTTGATAGCCACCACCCATCATTGAATGTTGTGATTGATAATATTGACTCGGTTGATATTGATCCGAATATTGGTTATTACCGGTTGTATTAAAAACCGGTAATTGATTAGCTACTGTTAATGCTGCATTCGATGATGATGATGATGATGGTGATGAACCATAGATATTTCCGGTTCCAATACTATTATTATTATTTACATTTGCAACTGATTGCTGTTGTCCACTTCCATAATAGTAGCCGGTCGTGTTTTGTGGATTATTATTGTTGTTAGTCAAACACATTGGTTGTTGTTGTTGTTGATTGTTCCAATCAGATTGTGCAGTGTTACATTCAACCTGTCCAGAATTCCATGTATCCCAAGATGATACTGGAATTTCACGTGAAGATGTTTCGAGTCGTCGAACATGTGATAAACGTGATAACTCACGAATCATTGGATTATTCTGACTTTTTGTTCCAATTGATTGATTAGATCGCATTGAATAATGATTACCGGCCATATGATTGGGCGTCATATATGTTGATGATTGGTTCTATGTGTAAAAAAGGAATTCAATTATTATCAATCATAATATTCAATCAAACAAATAAACATACGGGATAATTTGCCATCATAACTGATGAAGATTGTGATTGCTGTTCATGACCAATTCGTTGTAATACCTCTTCCACGGGCGGTAAAGGTCGTTGTTGTTGTGATGGAGCAATTATTGAATCTAATCTTTCTTTCATTATCGAATTTCCAATACTAGTACTGGGGGTCATACGAATCCGTTTATTGGCAGATGATTCTTGTTGTTCCATAGCAGATCGTTTGGGAAAAAGATATTGTCGTTGAATTGTTGAAATATTTTGCTGTGCCTCTTGTTGTGGTCGTTGTGGTCGTTGTTGTTGTTGTTGTTGTTGTTGTTGTGGTGGTGGTGGTGGCGGTGGTGTTTGTTGTAGTTGTTGTTGTTGATATTGTTGGTTAATATCAGCATATGTGTTCGAATCAATCGAACTATTAGTTATTGTGGAAGAATGTGATGGACTTGAATCATTGTTTGATGTTGAAGATTGTTCATTAATACTCATTTCTTTATAGATATTTGAATCTGATTGTAACATTTTTCTATTTGATGAAATTTGATTCGCTCTTCTTGACATATTTGAAGATAATTGATTATCGAAATTTTCAATATCTAAATCAGATAAGGCATCGGTAATATTGTTAGTTTCAGAATAAGCACCAGTTGTTGATGGTGAACAAAATGTTTTTGAATCGTTATTACAACAGGTAGACGAATTTTCATTTTCATTTTCAACAGATAAATGTTGCTGTATGATTGAACTATCAATCGATTCACATTCATCTAGTATACGATTTATTCCCACCAAATTCGTCTGATGTTCATCATTCAATGGTGACAAAACTGTCGACGAAGGTGGTAGTGGTGGCATTGGGAGTGAGGATGGATTTACCCCCTTTTTTTCGGTCATCTGTTGGTGGTCGATGTTCTTTACAGTCGTTGACGTCGTCGTTGTAATTGAGGACTGTGGCATGGACGATGGGAATGTTGGTAAATTTTCTTTTCGAACCGTTTCAGATGATGAATGCAATTTCTCAACATATTCTCCATTATTACAATCTTCAGTCACAGATACGATTGTGGTAGTCAATCTTGGCAATTTTGATGTTGTTGTTGTTGTTATTGATGTTGGGGTTAAAATCTCGACATCTGAGACACTATTCGTATTCGACATTGGGTTTGCATAATCATCATCCATAACCAAAGATTTTGTAGTTTTTTTAAATTTAATCATTTCATCACTATTTGATGTAGATTCCAATAATTCGTTTGATAGTAATCGTCGTCGTTTTGTTGGTTGCTGGGATGACGGTATATGAGATGGACCACCATGATCAAAATGTTTTTTCCGGTAATGATCTATACGTTCGTCCTTGTCTTTGTCCTTATCGTTGTAGTGGTCGATGATCTTTTTTTTAATGTAATGGGAAAAATGAAAGTGAAAAGCAAAATTAGATTATTTTTGTTAGGAGATGATGGTTTGGTCTGGTTCGAAAGGTCAAAACACCCCATTATGCAATATAATGACATTGAAGTGATTTATTATGCATAGTTTAATCAAAACAGACCCATTAAAGATAGGGAGAAAAATTGAATGAAATAAAGGACTTTTACCTCAAATTTTGTTTCCGTCATCTTTTTGAGAATCGTTGTCGCCTTCGTTGGTGGTGATGGCGATGATAATAATGTAGATCGACCTGCCAACACATTATGTCCTTGTGATGGTGATTCTTTTTGTTCGCGTTGTTGTTTAGATGATGAAGTAGACATATTTTTCTTATTGCTGTCGTTGTTGTTGTTGTTGTTGTTGTTTAATTCACCTTCCTTAAGCTGTCTTAGACAACATAAAGCTAAACTTGTTTCCGGATCAAATACCGAATTTATCTGATCAGGACTAATATCCTGCAGATAGCAACTTCCAATATCTGATCTGGTTGATGATGATGTCGTTTTCGATGATGAAGATGAAGATGATGATGAAGATGATGAAGTACAAGAAGAATTTGATGATTTTGATGAAGAATTTGATGATGATTCTGATGACGAAGATGACACTGATGATGACGCTGATGATGATGATGAAGAATCGGATGTCGATGATGATGATGTTGATGAACGTGATGATATTTTCGATAGTTGATTTCCCACTAAAGTATTCGATTGTAATAATGTTTTTGTTTTGCCGATTTTCGCTGTCGAATGATTTATTCGAAATGAATCCATCGAATGATCATCAATGGCTGTTGTGAATATTGGATCATATTGATGGTCGGTACCGATATCGATAACATGATTTCGACGATTATGATGATGGTAGCTATGGCGTTTACGTTCAGCATTATTAAACAATCTAGATCTATTGTTACTGGATTGCTCCTTTATAATGTCGATTTGGTCAACCTGGCTACATTGATTATGATCATCATCAACATCATCATAGTTACAATGTTTATTATAAGAGGAAATTGATTGTTGTTTTGTCGGTTTCGTTGTTCGCGATCTTGGTCTTGATTTTCGTGCTGATTTCGGTCGTAAATCATCATCATCATCATCATTATCACCATTATTATGTTGATGACGATGATGGTAAGATTTTTTAGCAAACAATGTATTCATATCAGCATCACAAACTTCTTGATTCATCATATTACTATGTTCATCATCCATCGAACAACCTGGACCACATTCATTCAATTCTTGTTCTAATGAACAATCATATATATCGATTAGATGTAAAAATCGTTTCATATATGTTAACATTTTTTCATCATCCAATGATGTACATGGAATTTCTTTATTTTCAGCAAATAATTGATTTATTGGATCATTTTGGCCATTTTTACCCATATGATTTAATTCACTTTTAAAATCTTGCAATTCATTTGCAGCAGATGATATTTGATTGATTTGATTATAAACAATTGGTCTTATTGAATCGAAATAGTTATCCAATACAATCTGCTGTATGAATTCAGATATTCGATTTTTTCTTTTATGATTGTTGGAAAAATGTCTGAATGTTTTCACATTAGTTCCATCCATATCATCAAATATGGTTGATTTCGTTTTTTTAACCAAACTTGATTGTAATGGATCAATATTTGATGGCTTTGCCAATTGAATTAATTGTTTTTCGAATTTAGGACTAAGATGAATGCCACTATCATCAGAACAATTGTCATTGAAAAGTTCTGGTTTTTCACTATCAATGCTTTGATTTATATTCATCACTTCAATACATTTTTTTGGCATTTCTGAATGTTGTTGGTCGAATTTTAATTTCAATTCAAATATTAATTCAATCATAAAATTTGGATCAAATTTAAACACGTATTGATTTCTTTCGATGGATTTTGTCTCCATTGTTTGGCTCATCCATTTATATATCTCAATAATTGTACGAACACAAAGATTTGACATTTGTTCATTGGATAATCTGGTACGTATTGATGACATTTGTGAATTTATTGCCTGAATCATGGTGTGAATTTTTTGTTTAACGGTTTTTTTCATCAAACTTGAAAGCACTAATTTCTGTGAATTATAAATTTTCAAATTTTCAAGAATTTTTTTACATTTTGTTGAAGTCGTTTGAGTGGTTATTAATTCTTGTTGTCTACATTGTTCACTGGATGACCCAGTGGTTGCAACCAGGGATTGATCATTCGTTACATTTGATATCGTTTGGTCATTATTTTTTGTCGGCAATCTTTTTTCATGTATCAAATTATTCACAAAATACAACACTTCTTCTAGATCATTCATTGATATTGTCGGCATTTTAGGTAATGGACATTCTGTATAATGTTTATACAGATTTCGTATCCATTCAGATTTATTTTCGGACATTATTTTTATGAAGGGTTTCTTCTTTTTCTTTATGACCATATGTGTCTGCAATATACGTCTAATGTCTTCATGTTCATATGAATCAAGTTCACCATCGAAATTCCAACCAAAATGACTATAACATTTACGTAATTGATATTCCAATGAATCAACAGACATCCATCTTTTAAATGTGACATTTTTAAATTCAGCTGTCGTATGTTTCTGTTCAATATGATTACGAACGGTTGTTGCCGATATAAACGATAAAAACATTTGTCCATAATCATTGATATCATCCAACAATTGACATTTTCTATATGTTTTCATCAATAAATCATTCGTTTCATTGAAATTAGAATTTCGTTTCCGTTGACTAGTTGATTGTTGATATTTTTGTAGACAATATGTACAAACATAACGATAATAACAAAGATGTTTACATTGATGATCGAATCTTTTTCAAATTCAGAATCAAAATCTAAATTATTGTTTGGTGTGTTTTTTCGCTTCAAAGATATTTGAATGGGCGCCACTAGGCCAAAATGATTACGATATATGGTACACATTGTACACCAATTATGGGGATAACCATCGATGAATAATAATTGCATTTTTATTGATTGATTATAAAATTCATCAATCCATAGACGTAGTTTTTGTATTTTATCATTTTGTATATATCTATATATTTGCAGAAAAAAAAAAAAATTAAAATTCAATTTGAAAATTAAATTCAAACAAAAAAGAAATTTTTTTTTACCGCAAAACTTCATCATTTTCATTTCCGGTGGTTGTTAGGCCATCATCATGTTTTCAAATGTTCAATCCAATCATCGTATGATTGAAAAAATTTTCCTGGACATAGTGTACATTCATAACATTGTGTACCATGTTCCGATATTAAATGTTGATAGAATTCTTGACGATTTTGACAGGAAAATCGTTGACTACAAAAACAAATTAAATCTTGGCCCAATAAATTGTGTAAAAATTGTAAAATTGTATCGGAAATTTTTGTCTGATCCTGTTCATTCAATGATTGACAGAATCGATGCATATAATGATGATGAATTAGGCGTTGACATTCTTCTGTGATTGCTTCATCGTTTTCATTTCTTTCGGATTGTTTTTCGGATTCCGATATTTCCTGAATTGATGATGATGATGATGGTGATGATGGTTGAATATTTGTTGGACAGGATTTCTGTGTATCATCCAGAACTTCCAGAATATTATCAATCTCTGATCGAATATGTTTAGATTGATGATTACGGGAAATTAGAAAATTATCCATTCTATCGCCATATTCACCGATAAAATGAATATCATCATCATCATCATCATCACCATCATCATCATTATAAATGAAACGGAAATCATCTTCTGAATCCATTGATTCTTCATTATCACAATTATCATCATCATCATCGTCAATATCAATGGACATTTCGTCTTCATCATCGTCCTCGAACGTTATATGAGATGGTTTCATGTCGATTAATAATGGTGGTGGTGAGCTTGGTGGCGATACTTGCATAATCAATGAAAAATTATTGCTCACAGTATCATTATGTTGTTGTTGTTGGTGATATACTGAAATTTTTTCCGTCGTCTGTCCACATAGTTCAATCTCATTTTCATCTATTATGGTTTTATTATTATTATCATCATCTATATGATGATGATTATTCATGATGTTGTTATATGAATACAGGGGAAAACAAAATCCAAAATGAAAAAAATTTTCTTCACACAAAAAACAAACGAATTGATTTTTTTTCTTTAAATTAAATGAAGACAATTGAAGCCCAAATCCTATTATTTATTGATGAAATAATCAACAATTTAGTTTATTCAATTTTTTTTTAAACAAAAAAATTTATTTTATTTTGTAAATTGTAAAATTGACAAAAATTTTAATTTATTAAAAAAAAATAACAGCAAATTGATTGTTTTATTTGTCTTGTAAAATGCTATAAAGATTGTCCAAATTTTTTTTTCCTGATCACATCCATTGTCTCCGTGTTTGATTGTATATTTGGTCCAGAAATTGTATCCAGAAATTTTATTCACGATTCGATTCAATTGTTCCATCCATTCGATTGTTTTTCTATGTGATATCGGAATTGTTCCAATCCTTTTTCATATAGAATAGAAATTAAAAAAAAACGAGAAATTCATATTATTCAAAAAAAATGTGAAATTGATTTTTAGCTAAAACTTTTTCGCTTAAAAAAAAAATACAAAAATCATCATCAAATTCGATGATGATTTTTGTAATATAATAGTAGAAAAAGTTTAAGGGACAAATCAATATACAACATTGGAAAGGATTTTGATGCAGAATTTCTGAATTCAAAATTCTTTGTTTTATTTGAAAAAAATTATCCATCAAATATTACTTACCTTGGTCTATATAAAATAAATATGAGGAAAAATTATTCAAAAAACAATGTTCAACATTGCGTAAAACGACAACACGTTTTTTTTGATATTAGTTCGTTTGGAATCGGAAATCCTAATTGGATAATGTATAGTTGTATACATTATGTAATGGTAAAAAATTCATAATTTAAATTTGTTGATTGATTGATGATGTCGATGTTGCCGTTCATCATGTGAATCGTTTGATTTTCAAATGATTTTTGAAAATGTTTCATACATAGTTTGTATTTATTATTCTATCGAGCATTTTTTTTCCGTATACGATACTGATACCCTATGATCAAATCATTTGTTTGGCCTTAATTTTTTTGTGGTTGGAAGAATTTTTAGATTTTAACATGTTTGTGTATACGATAATGATATTGTGTGTGGTAATAATTTCAACATGGCGATAGTGTGTTTTTGTTTGTTTCTATGTTGCGTGTGTGAAAGAGAAAGAGAGAGAGAGAGAGAGAGAGAGAGAAGGGGAAAAGAAAAAGTGGGGGTGGAGTGAAAGAGCAATAAAATCGTAAAATCTGGTCGTATTGAAAATGATCAAGAAAACTTATTGGTAATAGCACATAAATGATAAATATTTTGTTTGATAATCAATTTTTGATTTTAATCCAAATTAAATGAAAATTTTTTGTCAACAAAATTTTTATCTGATAAAATATTTTATAAGATAGCTTTTCATAAATGCTGTTACGGTGAATTTTTTTTTTCTATTTAATCTTTTCAACATATATAACGTGTATACACGATGATCGATTGTTTGAGTATTTCATTGTGATAAGAAAAAAATGACTTTATCATCAATTTTAAAATTCAAAAATTAAAAATTTTTGATGAAAATAGCCATCAAAAAAAAAATACGTGACAAAAATAACTCGATTCTGGAAGATTTTTTTTCAGAAGAAAACTCAAGGTTTCTAACCTTTTCATAAAGATGATGATGATCAGATATGAATAAATAAATGTGACATATATAATATACATAAATTGATCATCATATTTTACTGAATTTTTTTCTTTCGACTATTTTCACCCTCTGGCTATATTATATAGAGGGTGGAATGATGATAATTTCGTTTTTTTTTCTTTTCATTCCACATTCATTGAGATTGGCCAATAGGAAAGCAAATTCGTATATCATTTCATTTAACAAATACCACTAGCATTTCATCATTTCACGAAAACAGCATCGTGAGCAGGTCATCATTTACTATTCATAAACAAAGTGATATTTTTTTTAAACTTGTTTATTCTCTCATTAGGCGGCGCCTCTTATATACGATATAAAATGATAAAAAAAACTAAAACCAAAAAAAACTGCTTCACCAATTTTTATTCAATTTTAGCATGATTTAATTGTTGTTGTTGTTGTTGTTGTTGTTGTTGAATTCTATTGTCATCAAATTCTTCATCCTGTTCATCATCGATTTGTCGATTATTATTATTATTATTATGATTAAGGTGTAGATCATTAATATTATCCATCAATGGATGATGATTGCCATTCGAAGTTGATGTTGTCAATGTTACTGCACGATTAGTACGCCTTTGTACTTGATATTCAACCACCAATCGACATGATAACATTAATGTAAACACAATACATGGAGCGATTCCTATTGAGAGCAAAAAAAAAATTAGAAAATTTCATTGAAATAATTTTTTTTCATTTTTATTTTTGTTCATACTATCAAATCGATGTCCAGCACTGTAATGATTATGAATGGAAAATAATGTAAGCAACAATAGTATTATATTGGCAATAATTTTCAAACGACGAAATGGTAAAAAAATCAAAATAAAACCGGCCAATAATTCAGTTGTGCCCCAACCAATACGATATAATCGTGCCGGTATTTTCCATCCAAAATATGTATTCATAATCGGTATAAGTTTAGCGAAATGAATAAAATTTCTTCGTAATTCACGATGAATTTCTGGACTAATAGCTGGTGATAATTTTAAAATGCCCATAAGTATAAAAAATGAACCTAAAAATATGGATAAAGCTGTCAATACGATTGATCGTGAACGCCATAATTCCAAATTGAATTCCATGATGAAAAATGAAAAATGAAAAAACAAAAACAAAATACAAAGAAAAAATTCAATCAAATAAAATACAAATATGGAAAAAAATTCGAAAAATTGCTCATCGATCCAAAATAAAAAAAAAACAAAACAAAATGAGTCTCTGAATGGATTCGGATCTCGGATCCCTAGTTGGACCGAAATGATTGTCATGCCGTTAGCATTCATTCGGGATATATTGCTATATACCGGCAAGCGCATACACACACACACACATACACAAATGAATTTCCTGCGAATAAAAAATAAAAATTTTGTTTAATAATTTGTTTTTTAAATGAAGAATTTTGATTTGATCAAAAGAATTTTTAAATCATTTATCAAATTTAGTATGATCATTATTTTTGTTTCTTATGGACCATGATGATGATGGGGTCACCACCATCGAACAAATGATTTGAACATTTGTTTGTTTGTTTGTTTTTTCTTAGGCATAAGAACCATTCCATTTAGCCAATGATGCATTGAATGTTGTTGGTTTTTGTTTCTTAATGTATTCGGCAATACGTGGCAATGATTCAATGCGTTCAACAAATTTTTTCAAATTTTCAAATTGTCCATATACTTCTGGTACCATGACTTTCATACGGCACAAATATTCATACAAATAAAAATCTGCATAAGAAATTTTTGAACCGGCAATATAATCATGATTAGCTAAAAATTTTTCCATCAATTTCAATGAATCGGGCAATGTTTTCAAATAATCAACTCGTAAGTTTTCCATATTTGGATCATAACAAATACGGACCATGGCCATAAACATATCATGTGTTTGTTGTTCAGCCATTGAAATTCGTAAACGTTCCTGTTCATTAGTACCATCCATGTTATATTTACGGGCCAAATAACGAAGAATGGCCATCGATTGGGTAATTTTAACATCACCATCCATGTAATATGGCAACTAAAAATAATTTGAAAATTCCAGAAAAGAAAAAAATCATTCAGTTTCATTTAACAACAACAAAAACAATAGCAACAACTTACATTTGGGAAATCTAAACCCAAATTGAATTTTTCATTCAACCATTCTGAACGATCAAAATTCGGACCAATATTATAACGTTTATCAACATAATCAACACCGGCATATGCCAACATCAAACGGATTGGTTGACCCAACTATGATGAAAATGAAAAAAAAATTTGAAATTTCCAAAATTAAATTAAAAAAAAAAATTTCAATTCAACTTACACCACGTAAATCCCAATAACCCAAAGTTGGTTTGTTCATTTTCGGTTTAATTTTGACGTTTGAAATTCAAGATACACAAAAGATTGTCAGACAATTTTATTCATTCACAATCCACAGTCTCACTTTTATAGACATGAAGAAAATTTTTTCCATTACAGTACACTGTGTGAAGTACATATAACAACATACCCGCACTATGGTAACATATATCAAAATTATATGTTTGAAAAATAGCAAATCGACACACACACAGACACATTTTGCTTTTACATTTGCGCGCACAATTATCACATCTTCAGAAATACAAAATTTTTTTCACACAAAAAAAAATCAATATACAGTGGTGGCTCGGTTTCACGACGGTTCCGTTTAAAATCATCCACATTTTTTGAACTGAATTGAAGAAAAACAAAACAAAAAAAAAGATTTGCTACAATTGTGTTTGGATTTTTTCATTTTTTTATGGTTTATGGATTACTATCGTTAACCAAGGTATCACTGTAATCGTGATGTTAATAAAAAAAAAAAAAAAAAATATCATCATTATCATCATGACTATTATAATCATCAACAGCAACCAAATATAATCATTGAGCATTTTTATGGCGAATTTTCTGTTTGATCATCATCGTCGTCGTCGTCGTCTTGGAAACATCTTGAATTCCATAGAAATATACATTATCATCAATGATAAAATAATGAAAATCAATTGTAAATGAAAATGTAGAAATCAAATAAACCTTGAACATTGATTAAACGAGCATTATATTATATTGGCTATAATTTGATATTTGTCAATTTTTCTATCTTCTTTTTTTTCTGATTATTATAGTCAATGTTGATGATGATTGAATAATCTTCTATTATTATCATTATTATTCAATATTAATAAATGACAGCAACAACAATAAATAAATAAATAAAAATGGTTCGATTTTTTTTTTGTTCATCGTCGCTATTTAAAAAGATAAGAAAATTCTAGAATTTAAAGATCATTATAATCCATAATACTGTTATGATTATCAAATTGTCATCAGAGAAAAAAATTTTCATTCATGGAAAATCTCCAAATCTCCAAATATATTTATTATATGTTAAGTACAATTTCAAGTATTTTCGATATACAATGATGATGATGATTGTTGTTTTTTTTTTATTTTCTTTTACATAATCAAATTTGTTTTTTTTTCATTCATCAAATATCGATGATGATGATTGATTGATTGATTAATCTTTCAATCATAAATATGAACCAGACAAAAACTACACATACACAAAAAAAAAAAAAAATTTTTTTTTCCAATTTGTACCGATGACAATGTTTTTTCCGGCGAAATCAAAATGACATTTTCTCTCTCTCTCTCTCTCTCTTTGACATCTTATTGCAATGAAAAAGTGAAAACTTTATTCACGGTTTTCAAATTCGCCAATTAATAAATTCAACAACAGCAAAAAAAAAAAAAAATTCTTTCATTAATGTTCCATATATGATCATCAGATAGATTAATATGAATTGAATGAATTTCAGAAACAAAAAGCAAATGAAAGAATACATATATATGATGGGAATATTGTTGCTGTTTCTGTTTTTTTTTTTTTTTGGTATTTAACCGACACACATCATGTTTTGTTTTTGTTTTTGTTTCAATAGTTGTGTTTCATGGATAATGTTGGTATTTTTTTTTTTATTAAGGAGAAGAAGAAGAAAAAGAAGAAAAAAATGAGAAATTTCAAATCAAACATCAGAAAAATAAATGAATCGAATCATCATTGAATGTACGGTAAAAATGAAAGTGTGCCCGTGTGTGTGTGTGTGTTCACTCGCAAAGTGTTAAATGTTGGTTTTTCTTAATGACAAAGATGACAATGATGGACATGATAATTTATATTAAAAATAAAAATCAAGTTTGGACTTTGAATACACACAAAAAAAAAAAAAATCAAAACAAATAAAAAATATTTTGCTATATCAAAAAAAAAATTTGAATAAATTTTGGTGTCCACATACAAATGAATGAATGAATGAATTGGAAACAAACAAACAAACAAAAAAATGTGAGTCATATTAAATGAGATGTGTGTGGGTGGGTGTGTGTGTGGTTTACAAACATCAAGGACCAATAGAATCCACACATACAGAGATTCTTGATTTATAATTGGTTTTGTTCATTTTTTCTTTTTTTCTTTGTCTTTGATTTTTAATGCGAATTGGAATTCTTTTTTTTTCAAAGGTAGTAGGTAATTCATCAGAGGTGATAATTGATGAGGATGAGGACAAAGAGAAAAAAGGTTTTCGTTTATGAATGGATCATTAGTCAATTTTAGGAGGATGCATAGGCAATTGAAGATCTACGATTTGGTCCTGCCATCCTATATTTATATGCATGTGTGTGTGTGTAAAATCAATCAATCAATAATTGCCATAGTTTTTGTTTGTTTTTTGTGTGTTATTTTTTTTTGGTCCAGTTATCAATAATTAAATCCAACCAAAATCAATAATAAACCAAGGGGGTGATTAAAACCAAATGATAAAACGAATAAACAGAAAAGAAAAGAAAAAAAGAAAAGAAAGAAAAAAAAATAAATAAATAAACTTTTTCAATTACTCGATGCCAAATCAAAGCTCAGATTTATCACTTGCTCTTCAGGTAATGGTCGTCGTTGATATTCTGGTTTTGTAACCAAATAAATGATCAATGCACCATATACACATAGTAATAGGCCGATCATATTGGTCAATATGCCATTCCATGCCATCGAACTATATGATGGACTGTGAAGTCAAGAATCAAAACAAAAAATGAGAATTAAATTTTATGATGATGATTAATTAGACGACAAAATTTTTTTTTTTACTTTTAAACGCAAATATAGCTTTTTCATTCAATCCAGTCAAACATGTAGCCGATGCTAATGCAAATGTTGCAATACCAATAAAACGATGATATGGCATCATCATTTTTCGAAGAGAAAATGATGCACCAGGAAATAGGAATGCAACAAAACCGGCACAAAATTGTGATACAAATAATAACCATGTTGATATGCCCATCCATGAATGCAGTGAATAAAAATGTGTTATATTTGCTTTCTGATGAAAATAGATGGCTGCCATTGATCCAAACAATGATATAATCATTACCGATCCATTCAATAATGTATGGAATAATTTAAGTTTATGTTTCAATTCCATACGAAATGATCGATAGATTAACATGGCTAGATTAAGATTTTTCAAATAAAAAAAACCAAAAATTTTATTAATTTTCATAATAAAAATCATTGAAGCTACATACCATTACTGTAGATGATGATAAAACCAAGTACCATGAATATTGGATGAAAATTAAATGTCTGTGCCGGTTTTGAAAAACCAATACCACCGACATGTTCAACAAACCATACTAATACCAGAATAAATATGAAAAGAGCCAATATTTGACTAAAATAATAGACACGATCATAATGACGTCGATTTACAATGGCAAGACCATCCTGGCCAGGTGATGATGTTTTTGGTGATTCCATTTCATCAGACATAATCATAGGACTACGATCAGTAGTTTCAATCGATTCTTGTGATGATAATTCGTTTATATCTGGATTACGATTAAAATCTTCGTCCAGATTTGTTTGTTGTAAATGTCGATGTCGTTGTTTAGTCGTCGTCGTCGTTTCAGATGTTGATAATGTCGGGACGTTACTAACGACGCCGACCTGTAAACGTTGATTTAATTGTTGAGATGCTATTCAACAATGGAAAAAACAAGAAAAAATTTTAGAATGTAAAATGTAAAACCGTGAAGAAGAAAAAAACCCGAAATGTAACAAAAAAAAAGTAATCAAATGAAACACACAAACAAACAAACAAACACAATGATAAAATGAAATTGTTCCTATTGGGTTGACCTTTTAAACTTTTTTTTTAACCTAACACAAACACAAAAAAAATTGTTCGCTCTTACTTGATGATAATTTAATGGAATTTCTCTTTCGTTGCACTGTAGTTGATGTTTGTGTTGAGCCATCATCATTATCATCATCATCAATATTTCTATTGTTATTAAGCTTTTGTTGTTGTTGTTGTTTTGTAATCAAACTCATCATTGAACGATTAGGATTTTTTTTTTAAATTTCATATATTTTGAAATCTCTTTGTGTTGAGATCGCTTTGTGTTTGTTTGAACCAAATAAAAGCAAATTTTTTTTCCTTGATAACAACTTGTTTGACATACACACAATACACACACACACACACAAATAGTCAGGAAAAAATTGGGTGTTAAATTCTAATCAATTCATCCATATATACACACAGGGAAGAGAACGTTTCTTAATCAATATAAATAATCGATTATAAGTCAAATCGATTAATAAAAATCATCATGGTGAAAAAAAAATTCAATCAAAATATGAAGAATAATCAAAAAATGTAAAGTAGTCATAGTCATATACCACTGTGTACGTCTGATGATTATAGTAGGATTAGATTAACTGCTGAAAATCTAATCAATCAGTCAGTCAGTCAATTTGTCATAAACCAGGTTTTTTTCCCAAATTGTTAGCATAGTAACACTACTATATATCCATCATCATCATCATCATCATCATTGAGATTAAGGCATTTTTGAAAAAAAGCAGCAACAACAACAACAACAACAACAACAACAAAAACAATTAAATAGAAATGGGATCAGTTTTGTTTTTCAATAAAATCAAAATTCTAGAATCAAAAAAAAAAAAAAAAAATTTTCAAAACTTTACATACCAGAAAAAAAGGAGACTAACAAGAAAAAATAATGACCACAAATCGTTTTTTTTCTGTCAAAAAATCAAGAATCACATGTAATAGAATAGAAAATGGGGAATACAGTGGAAAAAAAGGAAATCACATAAAAAATCACATCAAATAATGTCTAAATCAACAACAATCACTATCCACAATCAAAAAAAAAAAAAAAAAAAAACAACTATAATTGTTAGAATCAGTCACAATGTTGAGCAAAAAAAAAAAAAAAAAACAACAAACGAAAATGATGACGACAAATCAACAACTGAATGAATGACACAATACTAATAGTTGTTGTGAAAAAACTTTTTTTTTATTGTTGAAATCGAATCCTTTTTTTTCGCTGTTTTGTCAAATATATTTAGTGTGAATAAATTAACCAACCGCTCCCAAAAAAAAAAAAAAAAAAAAAGTAACAACAAAATCAATGTCACATGATTATGAATGATTTGGCAGAAAAAAAACAATGAAAATGAAAATATGAAATCCGATAAATGGAATATCCGATCTTCTGATGCTGCTGTTGTTGTTGTTGTTGTCACTGTTGTTGCATCAATAGGCAATAGGCAAAACATTAGAAAAATTTTTCAAACTACAGTTTTTTTTTGGGTAATCAAAATCCGTAGCAAGAAAACAAAAAAAGAAAAAGTCATTCGATCATTGATTGTTGTAATGATGTGGAGAAAAAAAAACGATTAAGGATTACATTTGATTCCAAACGAACGAACAAACAAACAAAAACGAAAACGCCAAAAAACCTACCCAAAAATTGGAGAAAAAAAACGCCAACGTGGATATATATTCCATATATGTTAGAATATGGAATATATGGCCACAAGTTATATAGATAGATAAAAACATAAGAATTGAGATGAAATTCTACGCGATTGGGCAGAAAAATTCGCGTGATCATGATCAATTTTCATGAAACCGGGGGCAACAAATAAATTTTTTTTTTTTTTGTAAATAATAAAAAAAATGGAATTTGTTTTTTGGAGAAAAATTCTAAAAATAAAATCGATTCGATACACGATAATCGATACTCAATTAAACAAAACAAAAAAAAAAAATTTATCGATAGAAATTCGAATCCCGAAAACCATATTTAGGATGAGTTGACAGATTTTGTGTTTGGGTTTGTGTTTATGTTTGTTTTGTTTTATTTTCAACAGATAAAATCGATTCAATTTGGTCACACACACACACACACATTTTTGTCAACTATAATTTTGACAATTGTCATGTTACGGAGGTGGATACAAATTGTTTATTTGTTAATTATCTTGGAATATTTGTTTATGGACACACACACAATTAGTGAGCAAAAAAACAAAACAAATGAACTTACAAATTTTGGCCACACCGTAAATGGCTTTTTTTAACAGTCATTCAAAATGTAAACAATTTTTTCTTCAATGATGATAATGCTGATGATGATGATGATGATGATGATAATGACATTCAAATTAAATTAAATTAAATTATCATATATCAGAACAACAGTAAACTTTTTTCATTTCGGTTTTGTCAAACAAATCAAAAAAAAAATTCGTATATTAATGCCACGCGAAATGTTTATAATTTTTGATGATGATAACAATTAGGTGTAGCCCATCAGGTGGAAATAGTAGCTTACAGGCTACTCGTATACAGTCATTATTCGCTTTTGTTTTTTTTTTAAGAATTCACTGTTATTTTAAGACTGCGTCACTTATTTTTATCAATCAATGAATTCGAGTGTTTTTTTGAAAAAAAAAATTCAGAAATAAAATTTTCATTGTTTGTTCTTTTCCCATCATCATCATAATCAATGCTGATGATGATGATGATGATGATGATAATGACATTCAAATTAAATTAAATTAAATTATCATATATCAGAACAACAGTAAACTTTTTTCATTTCGGTTTTGTCAAACAAATCAAAAAATAAAAATAAAAAATTCGTATATTAATGCCACGCGAAATGTTTATAATTTTGATGATGATAACAATTAGGTGTAGCCCATCAGGTGGAAATAGTAGCTTACAGGCTACTCGTATACAGTCATTATTCGCTTTTGTTTTTTTTTTTTAAAGAATTCACTGTTATTTTAAGACTGCGTCACTTATTTTTTATCAATCAATGAATTCGAGTGTTTTTTTGAAAAAAAAATTCAGAAATAAAATTTTCATTGTTTGTTCTTTTCCCATCATCATCATCATCATCATTATCATGAGAAATTTCATCATTTCAAATTTTTCTCTTTCTTTCATCATCATAATTTTTGTCAATTTAATTGTTTAAAAATTTTTGTGATAAACCATCAAAAAAACACGCCTGTTTTTTTTTCATTCATCAAATTACTGTGAATTTGTTTTGCCCTTTTGTTTTCTTTTTTATTGTCGTCGATGAATTAAAACAAAAATTATCACTATTTAGTGTTGCATATGAAAAATGGGAAATCAATTGGTCAGTTCGGTCAAAACTGTTATACGACCAATCGATTATTATCTGAATGAAGTACCAGATTTCAAATATAAATGTTCATTAGGTCAAACACAATTTCTTAAAGTTGCTTTATGTGCCCATAATGAAGGTGATACAGTGGTCAAAGTACTAAGCCATGAAGATCCAAGTATTCTGCTTGAACAATATAAAAAAGATTTATTAAATCTAGCTAAATTGGCATCGAAAAATGTATCGATTGCATCATTTCGTATTGTTGAAATTCGTACAAATTTTGCCTATATGGCAAGACAATTTGTACGATATTCATTATATGATCGGCTATCTACACGACCATTTATGACTGATATTGAAAAAGCATGGATTGTTTATCAGATTTTTCGCTGTATGCAATGGTGTCATGATTTTAATATCTATCATGGTGATCTTAAATTGGAAAATATTCTTGTCACTTCCAATTTATGGGTAATCATTAGTGATTTTGCATCTTATAAACCGATACGATTACCTGAAGATAATCCAACATTTTTCAATTATTTTTTCGATACATCACGTCGTCGTTGTTGTAATATTGCACCCGAACGTTTTATATCATCATCATCGAATCATCAAAATAATAATAATAATAATAACCAAACTGACAGTATGGGTACATCATATATACAACAACAGAATACAAACATTTTCAATCTATTCTTACAAGAAGGACAATTGACGCCGAAAATGGATATGTTTAGTTTAGGCTGTATTCTAGCTGAAATATATTCCGATAATAATCTATTCGATTTGAGCGCTATACTTAATTATAAAGATAAACGTGTTGCCGATAGCCACGTAGAAGAATCATTAGAACGTATACAAAATGAAACAATGCGTAATGTTGTAAGAAATCTAATTAATATTGATCCACAACAACGATATTCATGTGAACAAGTTTTAATGGAACTTGAAAATGGATTTTTTCCAACTTATTTCAATGAACTTTATTCATTGATGGATAATCTTATACGTTTACCACCGGATGCAAAAGTGCTATACCTTTTACAGGATATTGATTATTATCTAAATCTAATCAATCAGGAAAATGCAAAAGGAACATTAATATTATTAATGGCATTAACATCATCAATTCGTAGTCTGAAACATATATTCTGTAAGATTGAAGCACAACGTCTTGTATGTAGAATGGCCATGTCATCACCGATTTTATCACCATTCATTATTGATCGTTTAATTCCATATCTAGTGCATGGCCTGACCGATTCTGATCATCGGGTACGTGGTGAATCAATCGATTCAATTACCCAATTATTAGAATATGTTGTACGACTTCCATCCAGTGATAATAATCTATTTACCGATTATCTTATGGAAAAATTTCAGGTAATTACGATTTGAAAATTTATCAAACGATCAAAATGTTAAATTGAATAAATTTTTTTTTTTGACAGAAATGCATTGCCAATGAAAAGAATACATTTGTACGAATCTGTATGGCAAGAAATATTGGTCGTTTATCGAAAATTGCGTTAGATTTTCTCAATCAATACTGTGATCACAATTATGATGAAGAATTGAATTTATTGCATAAATATTTCCAGAATTTAGTATCGATTCTAATTACTGATCCAAATAATTGTGTACGACGTGTACTGTTATTAACACCACAGAATTGTTCACAATTATGTACATTTTTTGGTCGACAAAAAACCAATGATGTTATACTTAGCCATATAATTACATTTCTAAATGATAAAGTAAGAAAAACGGAAAATTAATTAACCATTTATAAAATTCTAAAAAAAAAAAAATTTTAATTTTATTTTTCAGAATGATTTCAAGTTACGAATATCATTCTTTGATAATATTGTCATTATTGCCTCCTATTTGGGCGTACAATGTTCAGCCATATTACATCCATTATTACAACATGGTCTTTGTGATGTTGAAGAAATTATTATTGCCAAAACAATTACATCGATCGCTTATCTTGTTGAACAAGGTTTGTTTTTTTTTTTTTTTTTCATAATAATAACAATTTTCCATTTAATTTTTTAAGGTTTAATCGCTAAAAATGTTATAATTGAATTATTAAGAGAAATAATGCCATTAATATATCATCCAAATCGTTGGATTACAAATGCCATAATACATTTTCTTGGTAATTTACAATCACATTTACCAATGGTAGATTTGAATACAAAAGTATTGCCAATATTAACTGCATTCTTTAAGCTAAATGTAAAATGTTTTACCGTACAATTATTTCATCGTCGTTCAGTGGAACAACCGATTCCAAGACCAATATATGAAGCAATTCTTATGGCAAAAGATCAAGAAGTAATGATTTCATTTTTCAATCTTTTGGAGAAAAAATTATCATATCCTGATTATGATATATCATTATTGAAACATAATACAATCTATAAACGTCTTTTGGCTGATAATATGACACCAATTATTGAACAACAATTATTTGCATTAAGAGATTTATTCATTAAAATCTATCGTAATAAACGTAATTATCAAGCAATGATTCGAGATTCCGAAACATTAACCAATTTTATACATCGTAAACATTATGATATGGTACGTGTACATGAAGTACAATTATGTCAATCAAATCAATTCTATGATCAAACGAGTAATGGTGATGGTGATGAAACGGCATCAAGTGCCAATCAAGAATGGTTACATATGTTTGGACCAAATAATAATAATAATAATGTTCATAAAATGGATTTAATGATGTCACCATCACATCAACAACAATATGCAACAATATATACGAATCGAAAAAATGAATCAAGATTAAGGCCACATGAAATTAAAGATTTTGAACTATTATTCTATGAATGTCCACCATATATACGTGATATACAATTGTTGGAACAACACAAAAAGAATAATTTTATTCCATTTACACCTGTTATGGCTAAATACACATCGCCAATGATAAGACCAATGGGTTATCTTGTTGCACATCTTTATGAACATAAATCCAGTGTTAATCAGATGACTGCTATTTCGAAAACAAATATGTTTGTCACATGTTCAGATGATGGTTCAATTCGTCTTTGGGATCTTTGTGATGATCCATCCAGATATGTAATTAGTCGATCTCGATTTCAATTTCGGCTAGAATTTCAGAATGGATCACCGGTTAATTTTAAAGGCATCGTAAATTGTGGCCCATTTATTATTGCCTATTCAAATGATTGTCAATTACATGTGTTTGAAATAAGTGAATCACAATTAGAATTGACCTGTGCATTCAAAGTTGGTTCATTAAGAGCATCTGTACCGTTTCTAATAACATCGATTTGTACGTTAAGCGAAACAATGTTTGCCTTGTCATTATCTGATTCATGGATCTATGTTTATGATACACGTTATTTTTATACACCTTTTTTTAATGTACCCGTCATGAAAATGTCGGTGCCACCATCACATCGTGTCATCACAGCTATCGATGGTGATCCATTAGCATTGTTTGCTGCAACAGCTTTAGGTTTCATTTGTGGTTTAGATTTACGATTTCAATTGAAAATTTTTAATGTTGTTTATAATTCACGTGAACCAACACGAATCGCTCAACTGAAACATACACCAATTGGCCTTTTTACTTCAGGTTTGTCATTATTTTTTTTTTGTTTTATTTTGAATGTTTGATTGGAATTTTCTGGTCTTTTGATTCTCTAGTCTTTGGAAACTATGATGTCACACATTGGGATCTGAATCTTTTATCAAAAAATCGAATATTAACGGCATCGAATAGTATGAAAACATCTGAGGTGATTTTTTTAGAGAAATTCTGATGGCCAAAATTACTAATTCTTTTCTTATAAAATTAGCAATCATTATCATCGTCTGGTGCTGTTGTTAATGCCATATTGCCATTAATGACACAAACATCTACACAGGCAATAATTGCAGCAGGTTCTGATATGAAAATTCGTTATTGGGATCTTATGAATCCAGAACAAAGTTACATTATAAGTGATCCAATATATAAAGCATGTAATTATTGTTATATAAATAAATCATTACCAACGCTTACAAAACAACAACAACAACAACATTCACCACGTCATCCACCTATATGTTCGATGGATTCCGGTTATCATGTACAACAGTCATCAGCAACATCTTCAATAAAAATACCCGCATCATCATCAGCATCATCAACATTTAATATAATGTCATCAAACATATCATCAGCATTATCATCGACATCATCAACAACAACTATAGCCGGAACAGGAGTTGGATCTTCTCGCATTAGTACAATTGGTTCTAGTGGATATTCATCAACATTTTCAACATTATTATCATCACCAATAGCAGCAACAGCGACAACAACCACAACAACAACATCATCATCATCATCAACAACAGCAACAGCATCATCTACATTAACATCCTCTGGGGCAATAGGAAATAATATTGGTAGTAGTAGCAATAATAATAATAATAATAATTTATTACCATTAACAACATACCAAGAAATTATCCAGGAAGATGGTATATTTCGTGTTATTGAAATGGAAACATCAACAATGAATAAATATTATCAGGAACAACATCATTGTCCAATGGATCAACAATTAATGTCATTTGCACATCAAGATTCAATTACAGATTTAATCAATGTTAATCAATATCTAGTATCTTGTGGTCGTAATGGTGCCGTTAAAGTTTGGCGATAATAATTCATATATATTCGTTTTCGTATATTATATATGTTACAATCAATTTTATTTACAATTAATTAATTACACTGAATGAATCAAAAATATAACATAAAGAGATTATTATTATATTGAAGTAAAACTGAAAACAAATTTATTGTTAAATGATGATGATCAGAATTAAACAAAAAAAAAGGAAATCGAAATTACGAAAAATTAAATCATTTTTTTTGCTCATTTTCAATTTCAGCCAACAGATGGCTGTCATGTTTTTTGTTTGTTTGTTTGCAAAAAAAAACTTGTGCTTTTACACACCTAAAAGACAATCATCAATCGATTTATTATTCGTTTTTTTTGTGTTTGGTCTAATAATGATGATGATTTGTTTGAATTCGTTTGATTGTTGTCGTCGGTGTTGATATAACCAATTGCGAATTGGAAAAAAAAATTTAGAAAAATATAGACAAGACAGAAATCAGGTTTATTTGTTTCTTGTTCGTTTTTTTTCCTTTATCATAAATTTTCTTTGAAAAAGAGTGACTATTCGTTTTTTTTCTTTGAAGATGGTGGTTGGTTGTTTGGTTGGTTGATTGTTTGTATGGTGGCCAGAACAGCAGGACACAGACAGATCAGAAAACCAAACCTGACGCATCGTTTTTTTTTTGTTCTCATCATCAATTTTTTTTTTGTTAATATATTTGCAAAGTCTTGTCCTATCCTGTTTTGTCCTGTCAGTTTCCTTTCTTTTTTTCTTCTTCTTTTTTCTTCTTCTTTTTCGTCTTCGTCTTCGTCTTCGTCATTGATAATCAAGAAAAAAAAGAACTAGAACCTTCAAGATGATGATGATGATGGGCTGTCCATTTTTGTAGTTGTTATTATTGTTTTGTTCTTCTTGTATATTCAATTCCCGGTTTTTTTTTGGTTGTTGTTTCTCAGGTGCAATCACACCATCATTGCCATAATCATCATCATCATCATCATAGACCATTGAAAAAGGCGGTACCTCTAATCTTGATTATTCTTCAAAAAAAATAAAGCATTTTCTTTTTCATTTCTTTTAAAAGATTTGTTTTGAATTAAAATTGTCGATGAATAATGTTGTAAATCATCATCATCATCATCATCATGAATCGAACAAAAACAGAAAAAAAAAAAAATTTCCATGTGCTTTGCATTCATTCAAGCATAAATATTAGATGGACATTAAGAAAGAGAAAAAAAAATTTGCCGGTTGTCGTTGTTGTTGTTTTTTTTTTCTATGGAAAAAAAAATTTGTAATTTACCTGACTATAATTATGACACACACACACACACACACACACACACACACACACACACACACACACACACACACACACACACACACACACACACACACAACACACACACACAAACAAACGATGCACACACACACACACAGGTGTATATTGTACACACACACACACACACACACAGGCAGGTTTGATTGGAAAAAAAAACATACCAAAACAACACATATAGAGAACACAATTGAATTTGAGAATTGGATGTTGGCTGAGACAATCTCATCATCATCATAATAATAATAATGTGGATGTAAACAATGTGAATGAACTTGTGTTGTATATACACCATATATATATATAATAATAATATATACAGTGTTTGTGTCTGTGTCTGTGTTTTATTCTATTGATAGAGAAATTGAGAATTCGATTTTTATGATTCTTCTCTGTTGTTGTTGTTGTTGCTGTTATTTGGTTTAATCAAACAAATTCTTTTATTTTTTTTCCCTGAATATTAATACTATTATTCCTGAGATTAGATTCGCAGTTGTTTTCTTTTTGTTTTTGTTTTGTTTTTTTGTTCGTGTCTGTGATTGCAAATGAAACTTGTTATCATTAGTTAAGGTATCCCAAAAAAAAAAAACAAATGAGAAAAATTCTTGGAATCAATTTTTTTTTTGCTCTGTTTTGTTTTTGTTTTTATTTTGTTGAAATTCCATCTATATAGATTTTGATGAAAATTTCTCATTTTGAATTTTATGTGCGTGTTTTTTTTCCCCAAATTCACATAAATTCCATTCCGGATTCCATTTGATTCTAAACTTGAAATGAATGGCTATTTTTGGGCACCACCATTCTTTATCTCTCTCTCTCTCTCTCTTTCTTTCTCTATCTGTGGTGCTGATTTTGATGGCCTCACATTTGGCTTTTATTGTAATTGTGCAACAACAAAAACAGAGGCCGAAACGAACGAACGAATGAACAAAAGTGAATCGGGTGGCAGCTGATTGAAAGTTCCATTATTTTTTTTTTATTTTTCCCTTTTTTTCTGGTTTCCCTCATTTCAGTTTTTTTTCTATTCTGTAATACCCACACGCACATAAATTCATTGTCAGACTCCATTCATTCATTCATTCATTCAATTCTAACAATCTCAATGATTCCACTCACGATGATGATGATATTAACTACCATTTTGGCAATAAATATATGGACATTTTTCATTTTAATAATAAATTTTGATTAATAGAATTTATCATTTTTCATGTCCAATTATTTATTGCAAAAATAAATTTTTATTCTAAAAAATAATCTATAGCTATATATATTGTGGATGATTATGATGATACAAATAAACGGGCAACACAACATTTTGGTAAGGGGTGTGTGTGTGTGTGTGTGTTGTCTATATTTTCTCAAATAATCATCATCATAATAAAATATATAAGAGAGAAGAATGTGTAGAGAACATCATTCTTGTAATCATCATGGTGGTATGTTTCAAGATCGAACCAACCAGCCAACCAACCAACCAACCAAAACAAAATCGACATTAAGCATTAGTCAATTGATTCGTGAACAATACCAGATCATCATCATCATCATCATCAAAAAAAAATTGTCATCAATTCAGATTTTGTTTTTATTTTTTTTTTTCGGAGAAAAAGATCATTGAATTTTGAATTAATTTTGTGTGTGTGTGTGTGTGCGTTCGGTTGAAATTACCCAATCTCAACTTTAGCCCATGAATGAAAAAAAAAATTCTTGATTCGATGTATGATGATGAAGATGATGTGTGTGGACTATTTAATTTCATTCATTTTTTTAGAAAAAAAAAAATCGGAATAATCCAAATGAAACACACACACACATACACACACACATTTTAAAAAAATTAAGAAACCAAATTGAAAAATCCATCGTGAAGAATCCAAATTTTTTTTTCTTTAGATCAATTCTAAAAAAAAAGTCTACTTTCCCCCTCACCACCACCACCAGTAGTTTTTGTAGATTAAATTTAAAATAATAATATTGGACATGTGTGCGCTATATGTCGATGATGATAGTGTGTTGTTTCAAGTTTCAAAAAAAAAAAAAAAAAAAATTCCCAAATCGACAACGCGAATTATTATTATGGTTTGAATCTTGAAAACGTACCATCATCAAAAGAAAGAAGAAAAAAAAAATGTGAACACGGCATTGAATGCGGCATTTATTTTTGTATAGTTTCATTTGCTATAACATTAGGTTTTAGGTTATTTTTTTTTTTGGATTTTCAGTCAATTCATTCATTCAATGGCAGCGCAATTGGAAAAGCTCCTCAATCATCATCATTCTGTGAAGTGTGTATATGTTCAGGGTTTGTGTACTAAACAAAATGAAAATGGCTGGTAAATTCATAGCTCGCCATGCGGTCGTCGTCGTGTTCTCGTTTGGGTCGATATTGCAATAATAAACTTGAAAAATTTATATATATATATAATACAAATACAAACAAATGTAATATTTATATGGACAATTCCAATGATGGATCTCATGTATAATGTTCATATAAATATTACAATATTGAGGGTCGTATAATTTTTCTTTTCGTTATTTTGTGTGCCTGTTGTTGTTGTTGTTGTTGTTGTATATGGCATGGCATTAATGCATTGTGCGTGTGTATTATATGTCGAAATGGTTGACAGCCACAACACACACACACACACAAACAAACAAACAAAATGTACGAAATATATAAAAGTTTGCCATTTTGTGTCTGCATGTGATAGGCTATAGCGTTTCTCAAACTTTGTTGACCGACCACCAACCACCACTGTGTTAACTTTTGTGTGTACTACTAATTTTATTGCACAAAATTGCTATTTGCGCACCACCACAGTTTGGGAAGCACTGTGATTGGCAAAGAAATAAAATTAAAAAAAAAATAGTACTGCCACTACTACGGCATAAACACATTATCATCATCAATCAAGTTGGTCGTGGTCGTCGTCGTCGTCGTCATCATTATCGTGGGTCGGACATTTGGGGCCCCTGTTTTTTTTATTATTTTGTGGATTTCATTTTTGTTGATGATTCAAAATATTATATTCTCTTCATGATATACACATTGTCTAAAATGGCAATAATATTGCATTATACATGAACCACTACTACTTCTTCTTCTTCATATTTTGAATGTATCGATTTTGATTGTATTGAACGCATGCGTATTATGATAACATGATTATTTTGCTTATTTCAATTCATTCGATATAAAATATGCGCGTTTTTTTTTTTTTGTAAGAATAATTTCATTATCCATTATGCTACTACCACAAACGATACTTTTTGTCTGTCTGTCCAAATTTCTTTGTCTTTCATTTCTGGCCTGGCGTGGGTTTTTTTTAGGTTTAGATATATTGTTGATTATAATAGATGGATACTTTGCCGTTTATAATATAATAAAATAAAACTAAAATCCATCTTAGTAAAAAAAATTTCTTTCGTTTCGTTCATTCGATATAGTTGTTTGTTTGTTTGTTACAAAATAAAGAAAGGACCTTTCAAACAAAACGTAATCAACTATTTCCACCACCACCACCACCACTATCATCATTTACAACCACTACGACGACCAACAACAAAAATATATATGCACACACAATGGTCGTGCCCGAATTTTATTTCATTTTACAAGTAAAATAAAAAAAATAGAGGCTAAAAAGAGAGAGAGATGGCTGGTTTCAACTACGACGACGACTATGATGATGATGATGATGAAAATAAAATGGCAACAAACAACAAAAAAAAAAAAAAAAAAAAAAGACGAAAGATTGAGGCCTTATTATTATTATTATTATTGAGGAAAAAGGAAAGGGGATGGCTATTTTAACCCCCTGTATGTACAATTTTTTTGTAAAATATATATATGAACGAATGAACAATTCGTAAATTGCTTTTCATTCGTTCGTTTCATGTGCGTGTGTATGTGTGTGTATATAGCCCATTATTATTGGTTTGGTTTGGTTGGTTGGCTGTTGTTTGTTATGTTGTGGATCATACGATGAAACGACTAAATGAAATGAAATTTTCTTTCTTTTAGATTGAATTGAAATGAATTGAACTGAACTGAAAATACAAGTTTCTCTCTTTCCTTTTGATGATGATGATAATGTTGGTTGATGGTTGATGGTGGTGGTGGTAGTTGGATTTTTGTTCTCATTTTCCTTTTTCTCAATACCAATATATTTTATACTCCATTGTGTGTGTGTGTGTGTGTGTCTTTTTTGAATCGTGATCTCTATCACTATATCATTTCTAATTTTTTTTTTTGTTATCTCCCCTCCCACTATTGCTCGCTCTGTTTGCTTCTTGCTGCCATAATACAGACACACACAAACACACATTATATCCATCCACCATCATCATCGTTTGTCATCCACACACACACACACACAATATACAACTGAGTTTCATTTGATTTGAATTTTTTTTTCCATCATTCTCGTCGTCGTCGTGTTTTTTTTTTATTTTTATTTTTACCCAATTATAAATTGTGTATATGTCCGTTTCGGCTACAATTTGAATGAAGCAGCAAAAACAAAACAAAAAAAATGAAAAAATTATATCCCTTTATACCGCTATCGGGGGTATAGCCGTCGTTGTCGTTGTTGCCGCCACCGCCATTGAATTGTGTTGCCGCTAATTTACAGTTTTTTTTTCATTCATTCATTTCTAGTGATAATTTTGTTGATTTTTTTTTGGTAAGCTTCTGCTTCTTCATCATCATCATCATCATCATAATGAATGGAAAAACCTAATAACACAATACAACAACAACAACAACAACAATCCTGTGACTGAATGTGGGGATATACACAATTGATATAGTTCAAATCATCATAGAATTTAAAAAAAATTTCGATTAATACATACAGACAACAACAACAACTACAAAAATTGGTTGACTGATCGATTATTATTAGATAATAATAATAATTAATATATATAATGCATGCATGTGTGTCTATGATGATGTGATAATGTGTGTGTATATATTACATCATTCTCGATATAATTATCATATGGGAGAAATTTTTTTTTGTTTTTGAATCAAAAAAAAAAATTCTTCACATTGCTCATACATCAATAATCAAACGTTATTTTTTTCCGATTGTTTTCATCATTGTTGTATGCAACAAAAACATAGGAAACATGTTTTGTTTGTTTTTTTAATAAATTTTTTTTTTTTTTGTTTCAATCATCATTGATTATTGATTGATTTGAAACAAAAGAAGAAAAAAAAATCATCACTTATAAAATTCATCATCATTTTATCCGATTATTATCGTTTGTTTATGTGTGTGTGTGTGTGTGTATGTCCAAATTCATCATCATCATCACCATATCTATCCAATGAATCAATTATTGTTTCATTTTGGAATAGTTTTCATTGAATCTATTTTATTGATCATCGGTCAATCACACATTTAAAATAGCCATCGAATTATATTCATTCGATCAGTTTTGATGGCAAATATTTAACGAGTTAACTACCAAAAAAAAAAAAAAAAAATAAAATAAAAAAAAAATATCCAAGTAAAACTAGCTTGCTAGTTTTGTTGTTGTTGATTATTATCAACACATTTGGTTTATTGTCGACGCCGCTATTTGCTGCCTTGTGTTTATATTTACTGCTGTTGCTACCATCATCATCATCATCATCATCAACAAATATCAACATCATCATGGCTGCCATCGTAGTCGTCGTCATAGTCGCTGTTGTTCAACATCATCCTCCGTTGTTATAAGAGTAAAACGAAGCAAACAAGAAAGAAAGAAAGAAAAAAAATTTTTATAAACCACCAAACTTAATATCACACACAACACAACATAGAAAAAAAAGGAGAAGAAGAAAAAATTCAACAAGAACGAAGTGAAATAATAATAAAAACAAGTCAGCCAAAGCAACTCTATAAAGAAACGAAGCAAAAAAAGAAAGAAAAAAATTTTTTTTTCCTTTTCTGCTATGGATGATGATGATGATGATGATGATTATATCACCATCAGATTGAATCATCTTGAATCACCAACCAAAATAAACATCAGACTGAATCAATTTGACTGAATATATATATATATATATATATGATTCATAAAACGCCCCGAACATCAGAATACAACCAGAAAACCACCTAGAGAACTAAAAAAAAAAAAAAAAACAAACCAGGCACCTCAACATCTTATTATTCGTCATTCTTCTTTTTTTTTTTGTTTGTTTGTTTGTTTTATTTGTCTGGTTTAAATTTTATTTTTTTTTCTCGTTTAATTTATATTTATTTGAATTGATAAAAAAAAACTACGATTTGTGATTGATTTCATCAATTTTGAAAATTGATTTTTATTTCTTCAGACTTAACATTAAAAGATTCAAGTGTAACTCTCTCTGTGTGTGTTTGTGTATGTGTGTAATAAGCCTAGCCAATTCATCGATCATTCGATATTTCGATGTCAACCAAAATTTCGATTTTTGTTGTTGTTGGTGATTTTAAAATGAATGATGATAATTCATTCATTTGAATTGATTCTATCTATGTATTATTTTTGTTCAAAAAGAAGAAAATAATTCCAAATTCTTTCATTCTGTGATCTGAAAATCAATTTTATATATTATTAAATTAATTGTTTTGTGTATATGCATGGAAAAAAATAAAATTGAACAACAACAACATCAACAAACAAGAAGAAGAATAAGAAGTGATACCTGTAGAGCTTCTTGAAAAACAACAACTTCTTGATCAATATATTATTATATAATTTATAATTTATAAAAGAAAAATTGGAAAATTCTTGCAAAAAGATTTGCATATGCAAAAATTGAACGAAAATTCATATTTATAATATAATAAATGGAAGAAACTGGACGTGCAACACCTGCAAGTGGTGGTGGTGGTGGCGGTGGTAGTAAACCGGCAACACCTATTCCAACACCATCACCTCCCACATCATCATCATCAATGCAAACATCGACGGCCAATCATTCATCATCGGCATCATCTCCATCGATGGTCTCGGTATCGATACCGACTTCATCATCAGCAGCCACTAGTCATCAACAGCAACAACAATCACAAACCCGTTATGGTGGCTATGGACCATATAGTGGTGGACAAATGATGCCTCCACATCCTGGTAATTTACATCATCCGAATGCTGGTCCTGTAGGTGGTGGTGGTTATCCACCACCTCCCCCACATCAACATAGTTATGGAGCACAACCACCACCACATCATCAATCTCATCATCATCCACATCCTCATCATCCACAATATTCGCCAATGCCTCCAATGATGATGCCACCACCTAGTCAATATCCTGGCGGTGGTCCTGCTAATAGACCTCCAGTATCAAGTGGTGCACCACCAGGCGTAACACCTCCTCCCCCTCCACAACAACAGCAACAAATGCCATCAGCATATGGAAATTATGGTCCACCTCCATCACATAGGATGTCTGGACCTCCACCACCACCACCACCAGGACTGCATCATCCACCCCCTGGATCATCAACAGGAAATATTCCACCATATTATTCAATGAGACATCCACATCCGCAAATGTCACCTCATCAACAACAACAACAGGCACAAATGAATAAAAATTATGTAGGATATCCACCACCACATCCATCAAGTGGTTATGGACCACCACCACCACCACCTGGACCACCAAATCATCATCCAAATTCTTCAATGTCACCTCATGGCCAACCTGGGGGACATCCTCTACATCCACCACCACCGCATGGACATCCACAATCAATGCCACCACAAGCGAATTCACCGGCATCAATGCTATCAGGACCAGGAGTAGGTGGCCATCATTCCCCACATCATCATCAACAACATCCAAATGGTAAGCTTTATAATAATATTCTATAATGATCATGATTCTATTCATAATATATCTTTTATTATCATCATCATCCTTGATTAGTCTATGGTACGAATGAATCTCAACAATCATCAGCAGTGGCAAATTCCGCATCACAATCTAATAATAATAATAGTATAACCAGTAATGGTGGTCATCCACAACAACAACATCATCATCATCATCATCAAAGATTACAACCGCAGCCTCCACCAATAATGGATGAAGTGAGCCAAACATCAACGGCATCATCACAGGATCGTGCCGATGATTCATGTGCTTCGGGTGATATACAATCATCATCATCATCATCAACACCACATAATAGTAATTCAAATAGTAATACAAGTACAGCGACAACAAATGTCAATAATAATAAATCGCATAATCCAAAATCTACACATCATCCATCATCACAAATGTTACATCCACAAACGCCAAATACATCGAATCTTGGATCACCAGGTGCAGCATCATTATCATCATTTCATGATGATTTTGATTCTGTATCGAGTCCAAGTTGGCCACGAACACCGGCACCATCGTCGCCGGCAATCAATAGTGGAAATAGTCAACAACAATATCCAGTTGGTGGTGATGCACATATTACTGTACATAATTCAAAGGTTTGTCGATATTCTTGATGGTCTAATTTTAATCTCGTATTTAAAAAAAAAAATTTAGCGGCCTGACAATGTACAAAAATTATATGAAATGTCTGATGATCCGGATCGGAAACCATTTCTGGATAAATATTTTCAATTTCTCGATGAATGTGGTACACCATTGAATCAAGTACCAACTATAAGTAAAGTACCGGTTGATCTTTATCGGCTTTATATGTTGGTCAAAGAACGTGGTGGATATCAAGATGTGACAAAGTCAAAAATGTGGAAAGATTGCGCCCAATTATGTAATATTGCCAATTCTTCAAGTGCATCATATACACTGCGAAAACAATATATGAAACATTTATTAGCATTTGAATGTAAATTCGATCTTGGAGGTATCGATGTTGGTTCGTTATTATCGGCAGCTGATGTCGCTAATGTTAATCGAAAAAAATCGACTGCACAATCAAAATTAACTAATTCTGGTCGTTCAACACCAACTACACCACGTCTTTCACCTAATGATTCACCTTCCGGTCCGATGGGTAGTGGTGGTGGTCCACCTGGTCCACCCGGATCATATCATCCTGGTCATCATCCTGGCCATCCACAACATCAAAATATGCATCCTGGATATCCGCCGCCACCACCACCAGATATAGATCAAAATAATTATGGACCAAATGGACTGGGAAATGCATCTACATATCATCATCCACATTCACAACAAGGACCATACCCTCCACCCCCTCCTCATCCGGATTATCATCATCATAATTCACAACAACAAACACCATATGGTGGACCACCACCACCACCACCACCAAATACTACGGCCGGTCCAAATCATCATCATCCACATCATCCTCCCCATCATCCACATCATCCGAATAATATTGGCAATCATGAAAGTGTTAGCATCAAAGATCCATTTGCCGATGAAGATACTGTTTCATCCTCATCATCATCATCACCGGCACGAGTACCAAAATCAGCGGCCGCTGGACAACAACAACCGCCGCCACCACCGCCACCGGGTCAATATGGACCCACAAGACAGCCACAACATTATCCAATGCCAAATACTACAGGTAAAAATATTTTATGAGTAACAAAAGCAATGTTTCTGAGACAATTATTTTTTTGTTAATAGGATCTTTTTATGGCCAAACAAGTGGTCCACCACCGAATTCAGGACCACCACCACCACATGCAAATAGTGGTTATCCACCACCACCACCTCTTCCTGATGGTCCTCCAGCTGTGGGTCATGGTTATCCAACATCAGATCAACCACCACATTATCCACAGCGTTCAAATTCAGCCGCACCCGAAGGTGCACCACCACCACCACCACCACCAAATAGTGTTGGTGGTAATCAAAATCCATATGGATCACGTATGACTGCAGGTATGAATGGCCCGATGCACCCACATGGACCATATTATGGCCATGGATCATATGGTCCACAACAACAGCCACCATATACAACGAATGAATCCCATCCGCCACCACCATCACCAGCACGCAATTCATATGAACAACATCATAGTCAGCCTGGTGGCTATCCACCACCCCCACCCCCTGGTGGTCATCGATATCCTATGCCTAATAATGCCGGTGGACCATCCGGTCAATATCCAAATAGATCACCTTATGTACAGCCACCACCATCACAACCACATCCTCATCATAGCTCATCGAATGCAAATGTTGGTTCTGGACCACCACCAGGTCAACCGCCTACTAACAGTGGACCACCACAATCACAACAACCATATCCACCAAATAATCCTGGATCTCAAGATCCTGGTTATCCACCACCTCCGCCTCCAGCTGGTAATAAAACGGCCGAACCATATAATGTGAGTCTATCATTTTGTTTTTAATAATAGCTTTTTGTGTCCGTTTTTATTTTGTTTTGTTCAAAATTTTTGATTTTACAATTCTTTTTTTTGTTTTTTTTTATTTTTTGTTTTTGATTTTCTTTATTTTGGCCCTTGGATGCTTGCTTTTAAACATACAAATGACCAAATTCTGTTTGTGTTAATGTGCCTGTCTTGTGTATGTGTTTGTACTGTTGTTGCTGTTGTTGTCTATTTATATGGGTGTTTCTCCACCCCCCATTCTTTTGTTGAAAACCAAAAATCAACCAACTGACAGCAGAGTGCCATACGCATGCAAAGTCCACTTGCACAACGCCTATTAGCTGCTAAATTATCACAAAATTCTGCTCAAGCTGCTGCTGCTACTGCTGCTGCTTCCAATACTACCAGTGGAACAGCATCACCTGTTGTACCTACATCGGTAGCTAATAATGCTACCGGTACTGGTAATGGTGGCCAGCAATCACAACAGCAGCCAAATAATTCTACAAATGCATCCAATTCGAACAACAACAACAATACCGGCAATAGTAGCAGCAACAACAGCAATCAGAATGCAACCCATCCATCACAAGTAGGTTTTTGATTTTTCCCATTATTTTCATCATGTTTTATTTGGAATTGAATTTATTCGAATGAACAAAATATTAAAAATAAGACTATTTTACTAATTTCTGTCATTTTTTTTACAGGGATTCGCACAAAATTCATATGGACCTACGTCAAATACAAGTGGTAATAGTGGAAATGGAAGCGCAGCTAGTTCACCAACACCTCCAACCAATTCGGGTAAACCAATTACAAGTTCAGCAATGCAAGCACAAACGAATATATCATGGATGTCAACGCAACGTTATCCTCAATCAAAACGACATCCGGATTTTACTAAACAAACGCCAGATAATTCTGGTGCCAGTGGCGGTTATAGTGGATCACCATCACAGTATCCGCCTCCTCCTCCTCCTCATGGACCACCATCACAACATTATCCGAATTCCTCATCATCTAGCAGTACACATCTACATGGTGGCCATGGTCGTAATAGTGGACCACCACCTGGATCATCTCCACCAAGTGCTGCTGCTTGGGGTGGCCGTGATAATTATCGTATGCCTGCGGGTCAACATTCAACTGGTGGTTTTTACCCTCAACATCCTGGATACCCAGGAAATTCAGCTAGTGGACCACGTGATTCGGTTCCAGGTGGTTGGCACGATCAACGTAGTGGTCCACCACCACCACCATCATCATCATCATCAACTGGATCATCATCTACGCCATCAAATGCAATGGATTCACCAATGACAACTGCACATTGGTCATCAAATCGCTATCCACCTGGTAGCGGTGGTAATTCCGGTGGGGGTTATGGTCCAGAATTCGGTCCACCTGGTTCACAACCACATTTTCCACCGGGTTCGACACATCCACCACAAGGGGGTAAAATGATGCCACCTGGACAATATGGTATGCGTAATGTACCGCCACCTACACCACAGCCACAACAAACTGCTCAACAAACAGATCAACCATCATCACGATCTAGTTTTGGTCAAATATCACATGCTAATAATGCCACTGGTAATGTTGCGAGTGGACCACATTCAATGTATCTTACGGGAGCCGGATCAAAAATGCCTCCGTCAATGATGAATTTAGCATCTCAACCGCCACCTCATCCATATGGATCTCAATATCCACCAACAGGTGGATCATATGGGCCGAGTTCCGGATCTTCTGCACATCATCATCACCACCATCATCATCATTCTGGTGCTTCTGGCCAACTAATGCGTCCACAACGTGGCAATGAATTATCACAGCAGCAGCCACCACCACCACCAACGGCCATATTTCCACCTAATTCTATCGAAGCAACTGTACCGATACCATCAAAACGACGTAAATTAATGGCCCGTGATATTGCACCGGTAGATGCATGGCGTGTTTATATGGCACTTAAATCCGGTCTTTTAGCCGAATCAACATATGCATTGGATGTATTGAATGTCATATCAAATGATGATGTTAGCCTATTATTTTTAAGTCTACCAAATATGCCTGGACTACTTGACGTTCTTCTTGAACATTATCGACGCTATCTCAATGAAATGTTTGATTCAATGTTTGATGATATTGAAATTGGCTATGAAGATCGGCAACAACGACAAAAACAAGAAAAACAATTGTCGAATGGCAATCTAAATGGTGATTCAAAATCACGACCAAATCACGTGAATTCAAATCAATTGAAATGGTATGAATTGGATCGTGATCGAAAAAATCAACAAGATGATCTATTACCAAGTGAAGATGATGATGATATTGAACAATTTCTAAATCGTAAATTTAAATTAAATGGAAGACCAAAACTTACCCTGTTCCAGGATCAAACAAATAACTATACGAATGTAACTCGAAATGGTAAAACGGTCAAAGTGAAAAAGGATAAGAATCTTTTCATTATGGATTATGATAAACGATGGGATCCAAGTGTTAATGGTTTCAGTACCGGTTATGAACATTGGCAAAAAGGTGGCGGTGAAACCACTACACATATACAATCACATATGGAACCAAAAGAAAGATATCTACGTTTTTGTCGATTGATCAAGTATAAGAATAATCATAGCAACAACAATGATGTTAATGATAATGCTGATGATGATGATGATGATGATGATGATGATGACGATGTTGAAATAGTTGTACAAAATGGTGAAAATTGTGAAAATCATCATACGAATGGACATCGATCGAAAATGGATAAAAAATATATACGAAACGATGAAAAAGTTGATGATAATAACAGTAATGATGGCGATGATACTATTGATGATGATCAATATCCAAAAATTCATCCAACTGATCGTGAAAGATATTGGAAACGTTTACATCAACCAGATTTTGAAGATGAATCCTATGATCAAGAAGAACCAGCTGTTTGTACTGGTCGTGAATATCAAGATTCGATTAAAAGTCGATGTTTAACCGTATCGAATCTGATTAGAAATTTAACATTTGTCCCTGGAAATGATATTGAAATGTGTCGTAGTTCATGCCTTTTACTTATTCTATCACGATTGATTCTGTTACATCATGTACATGCATTGAAAAAGAAACGTAAAATTTCAGAAATTGATTGTACAAAAATTGCTGCCAATCGTTTGGATGAAGAAACAATGTTCAATTTGATAGATGAGAAAAACGATTCAGATGATCGTCGTTCAGATAAATCAGATTGTATGATGGATTCGGATGGACCAGAAAAAGAATGGTGGTGGGAAGCATTACATTTGATACGTGAAAACACAATGGTCACATTGGCTAATATCAGTGGACAATTGGATTTGTCTTCATTTCCTGAATCAATAACACTTGCCTTATTAGATGGCCTATTACATTGGGCTATTTGTCCATCATCATATGCACAGGATGCATTTCCATCGGCACCAAATACTCTATCACCACGTCGTTTAGCATATGAAGCATTGTCGAAGCTATCAATTTATGAATCAAATGTTGATCTAATATTGGCTACACCACCGTGGACAAGAATTGAAAAATTTCTTAAAAATTTAACCCGTTCACTTGTACGCAATGAAGATCAAACTATACGTGAATTTTCCATTGTTCTCATATCGAATTTTGCAACAGCCGATCCATCTGTTGTTCGTGTAATAGCATTAAGTGGTTATTCAGTATCATTATTATTAGGTTTCATTGAACAAGCCGAACAAAGTGCATTAAGTATTGCCAATGCACATGGTATACAATATTTACGTGAAAATTTTGATGCAATCGGTACAACACCTGATATGGTTAGACGTGCTGCTACAATTTTACGAACATTGGCACGTTATTCTGAAAATCGTTCATTATTTATACAGCATGAACAACGTCTTTTATCATTAAGTATGTCACAAATATTGGATACATCCATATCATCAATTATAGCCGATATACTATATGAATGTTCATTTGAGACAATTATTAATAATAATAATAATAATAATTCTATTATAACAAAAGAACCAAATTTATTGTCACAAGAAAATGTATTATTAAATTCTACAACAACAACAACAACAACAACAACAACAATAGCAACAGCAACAACTACTGCTACTATTAATGGTACAACTACTTGAATTTTATTTAAACAAAAAAAACTATGCATTTTTTTCAAATTCATTTTATTATATATTATAATAATATAATATGTGTAAATAACACACAAACACACACCCACTTTTACTTTTTTTTCTTATTTAAATATTATCTATATATATATAATATATAATTGGTCACATTATACCCATCACATTCTACCATACATTATTATAATGCATTTATAAAACTTTGCCATAAAGAACAATTATATTAATGAAAAAAAAAATTGGAAACATCCATCCTACACACACCCACACCCAAACACACACACACACACACACACAAACACATTAATATATCAATTTTATTTTACATTCGACTGAATTTTGATCTTTGAATATTATTATTATTATTATCACTTCATCTTGATCACCTAGAGACAATACACATTTATTCAGACACTATTCTTGTATACGAATTGAAATTTTTTTTTTGTTCCACTTTTTTTTTACTTGCTTGCTACTCGTTATATGACATCGACATACACACACACACACACACTTTCTTGACTTGACTTGATATTTGATTTTTCGATTTATTAATTAATTATTATTACTTATTATTATTATTATTATTCGAATTAAATTATTATAATATATTATTATTTGGACGAAAAAAAAATGACAAAAAAATCTTGTTTTTTTTCGAATGAAAAAAAATGCATCAATTCATTCATCACTAGATGGAGCCATTCATTTTTTAAAATCATATGGTCACATTCTGTTTGTTGATGTTTTGTGGATTTCGATTTTGTTTATTTTGCCGCTTTTTTTTGCTGGATTTTGCTGAAAAATCTTGATATTCCATTGTTTTGAAGTTTCTGGAATTCGCTCTAACACTGATCGTTTTTTCTTTTGTTTGTAACAAACCAAATAACAATGTTACCATCACGATTGTTTGGACGTTTTATCATTTATTCGACGATATTGAAACAACGATCAATGTCGAATGTATTAATGAGACAATTTCGATTTGAATTTCATCATCTGGCTCCATTATCATCATTGGAACAAATCATTCATCATCAACCGATGACAATGTCAATACGATCATTGGCTAAAGGAAAAGATCGTGTAAGAGAAAAAAATCGATCCGATCGGCCAAAAGTAATGCTCAATGATGATGAAATGGAACAAGTAATGCAATATGAAGAACTACGTTCACAAGTTGATTTGATGATTGATGAATTTAAAAATGATTTGAAGCTAAATTTTAATGTTAAACTCAATCCACGTGTCATTGAAAGGTTTGTTATAATTATCTATTGTGTTTTTCTGTGTCTGTCTATCTAAAAAATAATTTTTTTTCATCTTATAAAAATAGTTTGGAAATATCATATGATGGAATGAAAGTAACATTGGGTGATATTGTCAATATTGTACGTAAACAAAATGATCTAATCATTAATCTATCAGCAACACCGGCTGCTGTTAAGCCAGCATTATTGGCCATTCAAGAATCTGGTTTAAATCTAAATCCACAACCTGATGGTAATGTAATCTATATACGAATGCCACGTATAACCACTGAACATCGTCAAGCATTAATTAAATCCGTACGATTAGCTGGACAAAAAATTAAAGATCGTATAAAAGATAGAAATTTTCATAAAAAATTTATGGAAAAAGATCTTAAACGGCTAAGTAAAGATCTTGTGAATGATGCACAGGCTAATCTAAATTATTATATTCGACAAAAATTTACAGAAATTGATGAAATTGTTCGACACAAAGAAGAATCATTGGCCAGTAATTGAAATTTAATTCAAAATTATTTAATTTTAATGTTTTTTTTTCTTAGTCAAAATTAAAACTTTTTTTTATTATTTCAAAATTTTACAAATGTGTTTTTTTTCTTTCTTTCTTTCTTTGACAAAAATAACAACAACAAGTTGAAATTGTTGTTGTTGTTGCTGCTGCTGCTGCTGTTTCATAAAACATGTAAATTGTCACAAGATTTTGATTTCGACATGGCTGCTTTACGTAGAATTCTTTTTAGAAAACTTTCACGTCGTTTTAATCCCACAGATGATTTACCATTTGTAATGCGTAATATTGAATCATTGTGATTTATTTGATTTGTATGATGATGTTGACGATGATAATGTTCATCATGATGATGATAATGATTGTTGATCGGTTCATTATTTTTGATTTCTAAAGTGGCAAGCAAAAAAAAAAAAAACAAACAAACATACAAAATGAATAAATTCTAAAAATAGAAATTTTTTTTTTAAAAGTCAATTACCTATTCGGTTTTGTTGTTGCTGCTGCTGTGGATAGTTACTGTTGTTGTGATTATGATGATGATTTTGATGATGTTGTTGATTATGGTTAAATTCTTGTTCATTTTTAAGTGTAATTTGTGCACCAATACCCTCCAATAATGTATCAATATTATGTGATATTGTACAACTAATTTCGATATATTTACAATTATTTTCTGTTGCTAATTCTCGTGCCTCTGTGCGTTAAAATTTGTTGCAATTAATTATCAGAAATCAGATCAATTAATACAAGAATCATATAATTGTTTGTTATCTCAGTTCTTACCTTTACGATTTACACATCTAGATCTTTCTAGATCACATTTATTTGCAACAATAATGATTATTTTATTCTCAACATCATCCCAACGTTGTATATCGATTAATGCTTTTCGTACATGATTAAATGATTCTCTATTAATGAAATAGAATTATGAATTAATTGATTAATGATGTAATGATTATTTAAACAATAAAAAGATAAGATTGTGTGATGACAAACCTGTCATTAACACTGAACATAATAAGATAAACATCAGGTTGATAATCAATTATAATCGATGATTGTCGTTGTTGTTGATGTTGTGATTTTAATATTCGTTGTGAATGATAAGCACAATTATAATCATTATTCATATCGAATTCAATCATTGAATCCAATTCAAGAAAATGTATGAATAAATTCAAATTATCATTCATTTCATTACAATTAGCTGGATTAAATGAACTAGTTTCAGATGTTTGCTGTAAATGCATACGGAATTGTTTGATCAATGATGATTTTCCAACATTTGGATAGCCTAATATAATGATGCGATAGATTCTTTTACGATTACAGCTATTATCCAGATATAATGGTGGATAATTTTGCTGTTTAATTAAATAAAAACGATGATTATATGGTATTTTACCATTTTTATTACGTTTTGATTTAAATCGTTTTTTATCCATTGATTTTCCATAACCAATTATTGTCTGATCAGTTGTCTGTTGTTTTAACGATCCAGTACGATGTATAGACATTTTAGACCATGATGATGATGATGATGATAATGATGTTGTTGGTTTATTATTGGTAATCAAATTTTGGCCATAAAATTATTATCATCATCATCATCATCACTATTAATGTCATCACTATCATCACTATGAACATCACCATAAACATCTTGATCACCATCAAAATTAATATTATAATCACGATTATTATTAAATCCATCATCATTATTTGTTATTTTGATTGATTTGGATTGTCGACCACAATTAAGAAAAATTGATTCAATTTCATGTAAATCATTATAACCATTATAAGTAGCCGGAGTGGTTGTTATACTATTATTACTGCTACTATTATTATCCTGTTGTAATGATAAACGGCTCATCTGATGATATAGATTATTTTCACCAAATATAGCTGATCCGGAACTTACGAGGCTAGTACCGGAACTAAAACTACCACGCAGATCATGATTATTATTAAATGATTGTGTACGTGTAGCCGTACGATGATTTCCTGTTGTTGTTTTTGTTATCATCTTTTTTGACGTTGGCTGTTGTTTGCCATGATGATTTGATGATAAATTATTTGTTCGTACAAATTTTTTAACCGAATTCAATGATTGTTCTTCAAATTGATTTTCTTCATCATGATGACCATTTATTGTTAGATTGATATTTTGATTATTATTAGTGGTTATTATTGGATATTTTCGACAATTAATCTTCATTTGTTGTTCTTGTTGTTGTGATTGATGATTTTTCATCATTATTGATCGATGATGTCCATTTGATTTTGTTTCATGTAATGATTTTGAACGTTTTATAACCGATGATGATGATGATGATGAATTTGATGAAAATTTTTTTAAATTTTTTAATGAACATTTTCTTGTCGATGATCCGGTACAAACATCATCATCATCAGCATCATCATGATTATTATTATTTGGTGTTAATAAATATGGACGTTGATTATTTTTTAGATTACTTCGTGATTCCATCATTTTCCATAAACGAACAAACAAACAAACAAACGAAAGAAATTTTTTAATTTCAAATCAATGTAATCAGAAAATAAAATGAACAAATTCTTAAATGATCATTTCAATCGGTTCACTCGGTTCATTCATTCCATGAATAAAGATGAATTCATCTAGTGCAAACCAGTTTTTATATTACACAAAAATAAAAATTGTTTGTTTATAAACAGTTTTTTTTCCAATATATACACACACACGCACAAAAAAAAAGAAAATTCAAACAGAATTGTTGTCCTCCTCCTCCTCTTTTTCTTCCCAAGTGATTTGTTGTTGTTGTTGTTGTTGTTGTTCGTCAATCACTTGTTGGATATATGGTTATTTTATTTATACATATAATATAATGTAATGAATTGAAGAATTCTTTCAAAAGCAAAAAAATTGAATGAAACATTCAAGCGCAGACACACACACACACACATGCACACATTTAAAAAAAAAATACTAAATAGAAGAGCATAGAGTGCGAGTATCGAGTCCATCAACATCACCATCATCATCCATGATGACTATTTTACCAGAAAAAAAAGAAATACAGAAACACAGAACAATTGTCTTGCTGTGTACATTGATCTGAATGATGATAATAAATTTTCTCTTTCAATCTTCATATTCTCATTCTGATTCTACTCAGCAACGCATCATCATCATCTTTAGAAACCGGAAATATTTTTCTCGTCATTCTTCCAACAAAAGAATCGTGAAATAATCCATCCATTTTTCTTTTTTTTTTGTTCATTTAATTCTTGTTTTTTTGATTCTGTTAATGTTTGATTCAAACACACACACATACACACACCCTATTGTAATAAAAATAACAAGGAAGTGATTAAATTACATATATTCTACAGTGAAAGAATGAATGAAATGAAAAAGAAAAAGAAAAAGAATAAACTTTCGGCTATGTGGCGATGAACTTTTTTTTTTCTCGGTTGCTTCTTTAAGGCTATTGCTCGAATAAAAAAAAATGAAGAAATTTTCTTGTTTGTCATTCTTGAGTGGGCGTGTGTGTGTGTGTGTGTGTGTGTATGTGGATGATGGTTACATCACTCTATCGTTTGATGATGATGATGATGATGATGATGAAAATGATGTAAAATGAGGCCATGTTATCCACTTTTTTTCTAATTATTTTCATCGAAAAAAAATTGGCAAATTTCACCAAAAAAAAAAAATATATAAAAGAACGAAAAATTCGTCTTTTTTTCACTTACTTTTTAATCATCATCATCAATATAAACTTCCTTGAGTGCAAACAAAAAAATAAAAACATTAAAAATAAAAACAATTCAAATCATGCACATACACACATACACACACACACAAACATTGACATGATACATACACACAGATGTTTTTATTTATTTTTACACATTTGATGATCTGACATATCCATATGCCAAAATATATTAAGAATTAAGAATATATATGGCATATGGATGATGATGTGCTCAAACAAAGTACCCTTTGTTTGTTTGTTTGTTTGTTTGCCTGTCTGAGATTTGATTCCAATCAAATACAAGAAAAAAAAGTATGAAAATGAATGAATCATAATTTTTTTCCTAATTCCTAGTTTTTCTTTTGTTTATATTATATAGATGAATAGACAAACAAAGCAAAAACAAAAATCAGCGATTCATTCCATAAAAAAATTCCAGAAAAAAAAGTTGTACTCAACAGTTGAGTTGGGCTTGGAATTGGGAATCAATTCTTCCGTATTCTATATTTAAAAATTTAATGTTCATGATGATGATGATGATGATAGAATCCAGGATATAATGTCATTATCCTCTAAATGTCAACGCAACAAAGCGCGACAAACAATTCGTTCTGATATATGAAATGATAAAATTTGAGCAAAGAAATTGTCCTAAATGATGTTATTACCTGATTAAGTGAATGAATGAATATGTGGGTGTGTAATATAGAGAAAAAAAAGAAGTAAAAAATTGGCAGGAATTTTTTTTCCTTTTTTTCTCTCATTCATTTATTTTAGTGATAATAAATTTTTTTTTTCATTGTTGTTGTTGGTTGATGGTTGCATTTAATGCGATCATTCACATTTCATAAACAACAATTCTCAATCCATAATGAATAACTATGAATATGAATAATGTTTTTGGGATGTTATTTTCGTCATCGTTATCATCGTAGCCGTCGTCGTCGTCGTCGTCGTCATCGTCATTGTTGTCTCGAAATTATCATCGATGAATATATTTTGTTTTGTTTTGTTTTGTTTCATTTGGTTTCGAATTCTGACGATGATTATGATGAAATTTGTGTGTTTGGCAAGAATTCAAAAAAGAAAAACAAAACAAAACAAAACAAAAAATTCAAATAGCTAATGAAAAAAAAGCAATGAAAATGGTTTTTTTTTCAATGTGCACATTTGTGTGTTTGTGTGCCATTTTTTTCCAATTTTTTTTTCTCTATTTTTCCAAACTTTATATCCATCCAATGAATGGGTATGAATCATAATCATCGTCAAGAAGTGAAAACCATTTTCCAATTGACGTCAACGTATCTATATATAGAAAAGAATTTCTATAGTTTGTTCAGCTCGTTATTCTGTATCGCTTGTAATTTTATTTTCGCTTACAAGCCGACATTAGTGTACATCATGCACAAGGATTTAGGTCTATGCCGGAAGCCTTGGACAGAAGCAATTGACCTCGAGGGGGAGGGAAACTCACGTTCGTTAAATACTAAAAGAAATTGATTGACGAACATCATTTCGGAATTATAATCACCAATCATTCACATTTTGGGAATTACGAATTTTTCTAATTAATGTTCATCATCATATCTTGTATTTTTTTTTTCTTGTCTGAATTAGAACACCCACATACACAAATCGAATATTCTAAATAGAATGTTGAATGTAGAAAATCTAGAATTGCCAATTATCGATAGAAAACAACAACAACAACAACAACAAAAATATATTATTTGATCCCATTCATTAATTTCTTTTTTTTTAATTCTCTGTCTGTCTGTCTGTCTGTCTTACTAATTTTGTTCTGGAATTCTTGAAAATGATAATTAAAAGAGAAAAAAAAGCTTTTTTTTCTCTTCTCAACAGCTGGATTTCAAATTAAAAAAGATTTCTGAAACAGAATGTTTTTTTTCTTCTTCTTCAATTTGATAAGTCGCAGGCTTCGACCTAACGAATATAGCCATTAATCGTTTAAAATGGATGGATTTATTTCATGTTGATGTGATCATGGCAACAATTATATTCAAGCTCTAGTTATTATTATAAATATGATTCTAAGGTTTTTTTCTTTTTTTTCCTTACAACTCATCATCATCTTTATAAGAATCTTTTGATGATGAAGGCGACAATTTTTTTTTGTTTGTTTTCTTTTTTTTCTTTTCCAGACATTTCAACAATGTCGACAAATCTATCTATTTTATATATGATGATGATGATGATGATTGTCATTATTATATTCTTCGACATTTTCATCCATTGCCAAACAATTGCCGTAAATGTTTATGAATTGAAATTGGCAATTTCATTTATTTTCTTATGACAAAAAAAAAAAAAAATAAAACGATTTCTGGTTAATCCATTCATTCATTCATTCATTCACCATAAGGTTAAACCATATTCAATCCCATATACATACACAAACAAACAAACAAAATAAACACAACACACACACACACACAAAGACATAAGGTGCGTTTACACGAGTCAACATTGGCAATTACAAATTTTTTTTTTGTTCATTGAAAGTGTTGCGCGCAACAAAATTCGTTAACATTGGCAATACAAAAAATGCTGCCTCAACTAAACTAAATGCACCTTGCAAACTATTGGAATTTCAAACAAGAGAAAGCGAATAGAAAAAAAAATTCATACCAATATATCGGGTATATGTAAAAATGGTAAAATAACCGAAATCTTATGTCTTTTTTGGCTTTGATGTCTGTATGTAAATGTGTGTGTGTGTGTATGTGTGCGGTGGCTTATGGTTGGATTTTGAATTCAAAGAATTAAAACAAGTAAATGAAAATAAATTCAATTCATACAAATGCAATTCATGTTGTCGCAGTTATCCTCTCATTTTTTTTCTCTCTCTTTTTCTCTCATTCTACGATTCCAATATAGCCTTGATTCTTATTAATATATACGATTTCTTTTTCTTTTTTATTCTTCATATTTTGTCCATATGTATGTATGGATAGATAGATATAGAATCATTAAGAAGAAAAAAAAACTTGATGCGTATTGTTTTATCGATACGAAGAAGAGAGAGAGAGAAAAAAAAATTTGGCTTTAGATCTTGTGAAAGAAAAATAATACTTTCTGATGATAAAATACGGTACATTAATATAAATGATGATGATGTTGTTGTTGTTGTTGTTATGATTCATGCTTTTTATCATCATCATTCATTATTATTATTGTCTTTTCTCGTGATATAATTTCAATTCATTTTTAATCCAGTGTCATCAATTCGTTTATTTTCGTCATTTTGAATTTGTGATTCTTATTTAGCAAACGTTATTTAATTCAACAATAATCGAATGCAGTTAATACAAACACAATGAATATGGAAACTTATCTACAAAAATTATTGATAAATCAACAAAATGAAAATATTCTACGTGAAGAACGTGATCAAATGCTTAAAAGACATGAACATGAATTGGAAGAAATCGATGAACGTATGGCCGAACTTATTCGACAACGTAATATGATAATTGAAGAAATACAAAATTTCACTAAAAATACAACGACAAATACCTTGGATATAACAACAAAAAATATTGATAATAATAATAACGATGATGATGGTGATGTGAATGATAAAAATTCTGTTACCGATAAACAATTTATTACATCTACAAATTCTGCATTTAAACCGATAACCGAATCACCATGTTTAGATTCGAATAATAATCCAATTGATTCAGGTGATGTATCATCACCAACAACAACATCATCGTCAACAAAACCATGTCGAACATTAAAATTAACACCACGTGTTCGTACATCGGCATCAACATCAAATATGGTACTGACACGAATACCGGAATCACCGACCACCGTACAGATTGAATCAATGTTAAGTAAAGTTCGTAATAATGTTGCCATTGATCCGAATACATTGAACAAATGTATTGATTTACTTTCAACGCCTAAAAGTAGCCAAAAGACAATGAAGAAAGTAAAAAAGGTAAGTTTCTAGCCAAATAAAAAAATCTGACAAAATTTAAAATAACACAATTTTCACATAGTTGATCAGAATAATAATCCAATCATATCGACGGCAGCCGAATCATCACCAAAACAGCCATCATCACCGAAACGTCGTTTTGAAACACCCGAAGAACGACGTAGACGTATTGAACGTGTTTTGTTTGAAATACCGTCGAATAAAATGCACAAAGGTGCAATGTCAAAATCATTTTCATCACTCAATACAATGGATTTGTTGAGCATTAATCATAATCAATTACAACATGGTAAACAACAACCACAACGAACATCAAATCTAAGCCTAAATCGATATTCAAATCGTTCAAAAGTTCGCCGTAATCATTCATTATCTCCATTACGTTTTGGTGCAAAAAAATCTAAAACTAATAATGGTGATGAACAATCGGAACCAACATCGCCAACAATAATGACGGCTGAGAATAGTCCAAAAGAGATACGAAAATATAAATCCGAACAGCAACTTTTTTTCGATGAAAATATTAGTATGGCTAGTTTTGAAGAGGACAGTACAACTACAAGTCAGAATAATGATCTTAGTTCGGAAATTGATCCGGATAAATGTAGTCTTCTACAAACCGAAGTTGATGATGATAATAATAATGGTGGCAATGGTGATAATGGTGGTGATGAACCGGAAGATCATTTATTAGCACCATCCAAAGTGGCTAAATCACAGGATGCATTTAAACAGATTTTTTTCCTGTCGATATTCGTGAAAAACCACTTATGTCTAAAGAAGAATTGAATAAAATTAAAAATAAAAAAACAATGGTCAAATCTAAATCGATTGGTTGGGCTGAACAGGCAGCCAATTCAATGAATGATCAATCATTACGTGTTGATTATCTTAGCCATATAAGACGTAGTTCAGCATCACCTGAACAGAAACAAAGAGAAAAAGAATTGAATAATTTGAATAATACGAAAAAATTTCGTTGCTATCAAGATTTTTGGGAGAATAAAACTAAAGAAATAATGGATAAAAAAGATCGATTTGAGATGAAACAATCACAACAATCACAACAACCACAACAACAACAACAACAACAACAACATCAGCTGACCAATGCAAACAAGACAAAAACTAATTGGTAATGAAATTGTAAACAAAATATAACTGGATCTAATTTTCTATTTTTTTTTCTCTCTTTCATTTTGATTTAGTTCTAGTACAGCGCAGCATAAAGTAAACAATATGGCAACAAAAATTCCCGAATTGATTGGTACGAAAAAATCCACTACAGCTATAACGAAAAATAACGAAAATGTCAAATCAATCAAACAATCAACGGCAATGGTAAATATTATGAATGATGGTAATAAAGAAAATCGTACAACATATCGGCCACAATTTATTCGAATTATTGAAACAAAAAAACATCCAACCACCATTACTACTACAAACAATAATACAACGAAAAATCCAATCAAAATTGATCCACTTAAATTGGATAATACATCAAAACAACAAAAATTACTTGTACCGGATAATCCAATAGGCGATATACAAAAATCTCCATCACCAAGCAATTATTCAGATTCAGATAGTGAAAAATTGATTGAAAAATTACGATATTTTAAACAAGATATTCGACGACAAAAAATGAAACAACAGATGAAACAACAACAACAACAGCAGCAACAACAAAAAGTTGCTGTTGTCGATACTGGAAGCCGAATACCGGCAAAATCATTGGATCTACAATATATGAACAAACACAATCTAAACAAACAACAATCATTACATCCGAATCAACAACAACAACAATCATTGGATCATACACCATTATCAGGTGTAAATAATAACCGTAATAATCGTATAAAATTAGTACGATCATATTCACGTGAAGATTCAACAATGGAACAAGATTTAAAAACACCAACATCACCACAAACACCGAATAGTAGACAAACAAAAATGAATATATGGCGACAACATCATTCAACATCAAATTCATTATCATTAGATCATCATCATCAACAACAACAACAATTGACAACAGGAATGAGAAGTACATATTTCTAATAAAAAAAGAAAAAAAAATTCAATCAATAAATAAACAAAGAGAACAACAAAAAAAAACTTTTTATTGATATTCATTCATTCATTTCAATCATTTGATAATTATTTTTTTTTTTTTTTGCAAAATCATTTGTAATTTGAAATTTAAATAAATCAACGAAAAAAATTTTAACTTACAATGTAATTTTAATCTTTTAATATATATATTATGAATGTTCAGCAATGGCTATAAATATGTGAATGAATGAATGAATTACACAACTGTATAATTGTGAATATGTGTGCGTTTGTGTGTGTAAAATTTTTCTGTTTTGTTTTATTTTTCAAAACATAAGCATCAGTTGATCATTGATAAGTGAAAGTGATGATAATAAGCATTTTGTTGTTGTTGTTGTTGTTGTTGGAAGAACTGAAAGAAGAAAAAGTAAATATAAATTTTAAATAAATGAAAAGGACACATACACATTACAAGACATTTGTTGGATGGTTCGTTTTCTTTTACAAATTTCTTGAATCAAACAAAAAAAACAAGAAAAGAAAACAGAAAATATTATTATGATTTGGTGGTGAAAAAAAAAACGGAAAAAACAGCAGAAAAATGATGATGTATGATGACAATTGGTGGCTATTTTCATTTTCTTTTTTTTGTTGTCCTATATAAAATCTGATATTTAAATTGAAATAAGAGTAGCCAGTAGGTTGTGTGTGTGTGTGTCTATTGGGTTTTCAGATGTATTTATATTTATAACATGAATGAATTATGGATCAATCCATATAAATAAATAAATGATGAGCATAATGTATTTTTGTGTATCTGTGTGTGTGTGTGTGTGTATGGCTATTTACGTTTACAACAACGTGTTTCGTTTTGTTTTTGTTTTTGTTTTGTTCATTCACCAAAAATGTTATAACAACAAAAAGAAGAAAAATTCATGCCAAATTAATTTATTCAAAAATTCTTGGTAATTCAAAAGGAAATAAAATCAATAAATCAATCAATCGATTATTAATGAATATCAAATCAATATTATTTATAACAATGACAGAAACAGGAAAAAAGAAAAAGCAAATAGACAATATATAGTAGTAGTGGGGAAAAAAAATATAGGAAGGAAAAAAACAGTTTACACGAGAATGATGATGATGATGATAATAATCAATCAGAATAACTATTAGGAAGAAGAGAAAAAGTTTGAACAACAATAAATCTAATAACAGATATTCATGTGTGTGTGTGTGTGTGTGTGTGAGTGTGTATATAAGTTATTATTGCTTGAATTTTTTTGTGTTTGTGTCATTTTTCATTTTTCAGAATTTAAATTCCATAAAATGAATGTTTTAAATAGGGAAAAAAATGAAAATTTACGTTCACTACATATTTATATCGTGCATATAACATTGGTGGTGGTAGCTGTGTGTGTGTGTGTGTGTGCGTGATGATATTCTGTATAGACCAGGTATTTATGTTTGTGATATAAGATGTGTCTGTGTGTGTGTGTATGTGGTCTTCTTTGTTTTTGGTCACATCGATTGAAAATATTGGGTTTTTTATTTTATTTAATATCGAAATTGGCAAGCTCCCTGTTGATTTCGTCATCATCAACTTTTCCGGTTTCATTATTGGAAACAAAATCAAATTCTTGCAAATCTTTAGCTAGTTCTTCATCAATGTCTATAAATATTTGTTGAAGAGGTTGAATGAAAAAAAAAAAAAAAAAGAAAACAAAAAAAGGTGCAAATAAATAAATATGTTCTAAATGAATGAAATATTTGGTTTTGAATATTATCATCATATATTTTTTTTTGTATTTAAATACCATCATTGGTATGAATGCCAAGTTTATACATATCTTGGCGTACATCATCAACCGATATATTGGAATTTTGGAATGTATCCGAAATAAATTCAGTTTCGCCCATCGTTTCAATTTGATCATTTGGATCATCCGGTCCTTCAGATGATGATGATTTTGATGAACCCCAACCAGATGCTTTACCAGTACCACCACCGCCACCACCACCACTACCATTATTTCCAATTCCCAAATTATTACTGGCAAGATTTGGATCCTGTTTAATGAGCGATACACGATAGAAATAATTTTTCCAAAATGTTTCCTCATTTACTCTGTGTGAGAAAAAAATGGATTTTTTTTTAAATAAGAAAAAAGATTAAAATTTGGTGAAAAAAAATTCATTTACAATTTAGGAACAATTTCGTATCGCATTTTAGCAAGCTCAGGATCTTCACGTAATAATGCCAATGCAACCGGATACGAATCATTCATATCGAATGGAAATTCAACACCAGCCGGTGGACTACGAACAAAATTTCGTTTATCCTGTGAAAGGCTTAATATTTCCACTTTAACTTTTTCTTCATCATCACAACCAATCCATGGTGGTTCAGCCAAATCAGTTTTACCACCATGTTCTTTAATAAATTCTTGCTGTTCTTTGGTAAAATCTTGCATTAGGCCAACATTTTCCACTGTACTTTTCAATTGTTTTGCTGTTGCCGTTACTGTTTGTCCAGCTTTACTTGCTACATTTGCAATGAAATCTAATGACGTGATATTGAAAAAAAAAGAAATTATTAATTAATCAAAAGAAAAATTAAAAAAAAAACAATGTATTTATTTACTTCCAAAATATTTGGCCGATTCAATGGCTTTTTGTGATGTTTCAGCATAATTGAATGCAGCAGCCGATGATTTTTCATCCATATTCAACAATTCTTCAGTAGCATATGCTGCTGCTGTTGTCGTATATGTTTGATCTAATTGAATGAATAAATAAATAAATAAATAAATGAATGAATTAGATTTAACAAATTTAGATTATATATGATGATAATGATAATTTTACCGTCACTATAATTGACATCAACATTATTGACATCTTCTTGTTGTTGTTGTTGTTCATAAGTTGTATTATTATCATTTTGTTCATCATTACCGGTTGTTGTTGTTGTTGTTGTATTTGATCCGGTTGGATTCAATGTAGAATTAACAGCAGCCGTTGCTGCTTTACCCAATGTTTCGGCTTTATTCACTGTATTCTTGAGAATGTTGGAGAAAAAATCCATTTTTTTTTCTCGAAAAAAATGACAATAATAATAATAAAAAATGTTCAAAAAAAGCCAACCACTTTAAATTATTTATAACGAAAGAGATGAAATGACATTTTGAAATTTTTGTTTTGATGAGAGAAAAATAAAAAGAAAAAATTAATTAATAAATTCAAATTCACAACTAAAAAAAGGTAGGAAATTGAAAAAATGGAAAAAATGAAACTGTCACACACACACACATACACACAACCACAAACAGACAAATAATGGAGCAGAAAAAAAAATTTTTAATTGAAATTTCCACCGACCAAACCGCCTACCTATATAGGAGTGATCTAATAATTTCATTCATTCAAGTAACAAAAAAAAGGTACCGGCACAGTGAATATGAGTGAAAAAAAAGTAGCTTAAAGATGATTAGATGATATCCAATGTAGACAGCAAACAAAACAACAAGCAGACTTTTTTTTCAGAGTTGACTGATGGTGGATGGGAAGGTGAATTAGAATTTTTCATTACCAAAAAAAAAAAAAAAAAATTCTAGGTATCACAAAATTTACCTAGAATATTCTCTCCCTCTCTACCACATTCATTAATGTTTATGGTTGAAAAATTATTTAATAAAAATAATGGTCGAGATGGATCATAATCATCACATCATCGGCAACGACAATGAGAGGTATAACAAACAAAAACAACCATCATATTTTGAATAAATGGATAATCAACCAACGAACGAACAAACAAACAAACAAACAAACAAACACAAAAACAAACAAAAATGAATGAATGAATAAAGTTATCGTGGAGAAAAAAAAATCGTGTGTTTTCATAATCAGAATAATAATAATGATAATATAAAAGCATACAAGTCAAAGCGATTCTGTATTATATTATATATAAAGAGAGAGAGAGAAAAAAAATGTATCCGTTATAATTATATACTATACTATACTATTGAGATTGGTGAACGCGTCTTTCTCATAATGAAAACAACATGATCCACAAGGCATATTCTATGGTCTACAATACTCAATGTTACAATAAACACGATCAAAATGTGATGCGCAGTTTCAATTTTTTTTCCCGACTATTTTTTCGGTCAAACATTGAAATTGACACCCCCTTACGGATTTTTTTTTCGTTACCATTCATTCAATGGTAAGTACAATCAATATTCGACCGATGAAAAACACAGACACACACACACACAGTGTGTTTGAAAGAATCAGAAGAAAAAATAACCATCATATACTACAAACTGCTGATGATGATGATGGAAATTTTTTTTTCTCCTCGTTGTTGGCTTGTTTTATCACGAAAATCAGACAAACTCAAATGTGAAAGAAAAAAAAATTCTTGGTACAATCTTGCCACCTCTTGTGGAAAAAAACAGGGAAAAAAGTTACCCCATGCAACTTTCTAATATTCAATGTTGATCGCAAGAATTTGATGGATATGAATGAAATTCTGTATGAAACAGGAAGAAAAAAAAAAAAATTCTCCACGTCGTGCATATATGTACATAAGTGCAAATAGATTATATAACATAACGATAAAATTAATTTTCAGTGTTTTTTTTTCATTGAATTAGAAATTCACAATTGAATTTCGGCATAATGAGATGTACACGAAATACCAGAAAAAAAATCCAGAATAGAGAATCTCGTTTATGAACGTTGCGTGGGCGTATTTGCAGTAGAAAAAAAAGGGAAAACAGAAAAAAAAATCTTATCATCACTAACGCGTATTGGAAAAAAATAGGCCGATTCTATATATCAAACATAGCAAGCACACACACAAAAAGACATTCAGATTATTGTGTTCTGGTTGTTGATGTTGTTGTTGTTGTTGTTATTGTTCACGATGATGTTGAACAAAAAGTGAGAGAAAAATGAAAGAAATTCTGTCCAACGGTTTGGAAACGTTTCAAGATTTGAACAAATCGAATTATTATTATGGAGAATCGATTAAAGAAAAAAAAAGAAATATTCTCGACATTCATTCATTTTTCATTTTTTACATTTATATTTATATATAACAGCCTATATATATACGAATAAACGAACCTGTTAGATAGATAGATCGATGTTTAACGATCGATATTCGGTTATTATATACATCCCCACCATCGGGCAGTGATCAAACAACAACATCGATATAATAGAAATATAAATAAATTAGAAAAAAAAGTTTCAAATTCCATTGATGAATGAAAGTGGAAAAAAAAGAAGAAGAATAAAGAAAAAACCAATCAATATACACAATTTGGTATCATCATCAAAAGCAATCATGCAGTGTCAATGTTAATAAATAAAAAAAGAAAGAAAGAAAAGAAATGATGGAATTTTTATCCATGTTTTTTTGTTGTTGTTTTGTTCCGTTCAGTTGTTTTTCTTTCATTCTTCGACTTTACATTATTATTATCATAGCCATTCGGTTAATTAATTTAATCAATTTCAATTTGAATTTTTTTGGCTATCAAGATAGTCAATAATAATAATAAAGTGAGAAATAATCAGTTAACAGATCTCGAGAAATAATTAGATCTCTCTCTGTGTGTGTGCGTGAATGATGAAACTGATCCGATTGATTGATTGAAAATGATAAAAATTCTACGATTCCATTCATTATTATCATCACTATTTTTTTTTTTTTTGCCAGTTCAATTTTCTCTAATTGAAACAGGGGGAAAAAAATCAATTCTTTGAAAGAAGGAAAAGAAAAAAGGATTTTTGTGCTAAATTTAAAAATTATTCAAATCATTCGCATTTGACAATCTATTTTTGTTTTACAAAAATGAGAACGAGAAATTGAAAAAAGATTGAATTTTTCACCACTTTTCGTATTTCAATTAAATTGTCTGTTGTCTATTGTCTGTGGGCTGAAAAGATTTGTACCAAATTTTCAGATGATTTCATCTTATTTTATTCTAAAAAATTCTACGTTTAATCTTATTATATAGGTTTTACAAACACAGCATGCATACGAAAAAAAAAATTGTTAAAGGTAATAATGATGATGCTAAGCTTCAACGTTCAATTTTTTTTTACTTCATTCAACTAAAAATAGTTCTGTTAATAATAATTATAAATTCTCAAAAGGAATTGAATCCGATTTGTTTTTTTTTTTCTCCCAATTTGATTGATTTCATTGGTACTACAGAGTACGCAACAAATTACAATGTGCACAAAATAGAGATTAGAAATTGACTGACAATAATAAATTTACTTACATTGAAATTCGTGAATGGAGGAAATTCTTTTACACAAATTCTGGCGATTATTGTATCGGACAAATATTGGATGGAAAATAAATGGATCGATGCAGATATAATGATGATATATGAAGCACTTGAAACATACAAAGATTCAAATAAAAAAAAAATTTAGAATCTTTTAGAGAAAATTTTTGTTTTTGCCAAAACGATAAAGCTCAAAACGACAACAACTTGAATGATAATGATGTTGATGAATATACGAATAAGACGAATATGATCTTAAACATACAAACTATTCTTTTCTTGTTTACGAATTAGAACAATGATTAGAATAATTCAAGAATGATTCTGGATTTGAGTTTAAGTGTATGCACAAAGAATACGGTATTTATATATAGATAGATGAAGAATGAAACAATAATGATGATGGTGATGAAGCTTTATATTCGATTTATCTTTCAACGACTAGATTTGATAATAATAATAATGATGATGATGATGATGATGATATCGATTCAGGTCCTTGGAATACAATGGATAATTCTTCTTCTTCTTTTTTCTATACACACAAACAAGAGAGAGAGAGAGAGAGAAAAAAAACAAATTGTTAGAGAATATTCGTCTATCACAATAGAATTTTTTTTTTCTTGTTTCAATTGTATTGTTTTGTTGTGTTATTTTTTTATGAATGAATGAAATGATTGGATGGATGTGAATGTTGATAATGATGACAATGATTATTGCGAAACATTTAAATTATTAGAAAATTTCCAAAACGAATGAAATAATAATTCTGAATATCCGCAGCAGCAGCAGCGGCAGAAGCAGCAGTAGATGAATAAAAAGTGATTTTATATAAGCTCAAAGAATATTCTTTCAAATATCGAGGTTACGTATGTATGAATGTATGATGATGTACTATAGTAACATCCACATAACAATGATTCCAAAATATATGTTCGATTCTGGAACTTGAAGAATTTTTTTTTTGTTTTGTTTTGTTTTATAACATACTTACTTGCTTTTTTTTATCGTGGTTAGTCTATAGAATCGTTTTTGTTTTGTTTTGGCAAGAATTTCTATTTTATGGTTAATATATTCTATCATCAATCGTATTGTATTGGTGGTGGTAAGTGGTAGGACCCAATGTAATTTTCATTTTTTATTTTTTTTTTTTTTTTTGTTTTTCAACTTACTCATCAATACATAGAGAAAAAAATTAGCCTCTTCATTTGAGGATGAGAAATGTATAGCGAAAGTAAGAATTTTATTTTCAAACTAACAACAAAATTTTTGTAAATGCTTCCCCTCTAAATTTGCGCTACTTACGCTTCATAAAATTTTTACCCTTCTTTTTCGTTCTTTTCGGCATACCACTACTATTTTTACATATCATATGATAATGCGTAATTTTTTTTTTGTTTGTTTGTTGCTAATACTTTGGTTATGAAATTTTCTATTGCCCGATTTTCTCCTGGATTTTTTTTTTCATTTTATTTGGATCAACGGACCAGTGGTAGTAGTAGTAGGAATTTGACAATAATATCTGGTTCTGGTTTTTCTGGTTGGAATTTGACATTTTCGAAATGCTCGTATTATGAATGAATTGTAGGTGTTTTCGAAAAATTTTGAGTTTGTGTACGGCAGTAGTAGTAGTACTAGTAGTAGTAGTAGTAGTAGTAGCAGCAACAACAATAATATCGAGAAAAAATGAGTATGAAAGCGATGCGTAATGAATGATGCTCATATCGCACGTGGTGGATTCTATAGAATTTTTTTTTTTTTTTTTTTTTGGGAAAATATGAAGAAAATGTATGGAATTGAAAATTTTGATATTAATCACATGATATAAATATATAGACGAATCCTGTATGAATAGCTAAAAAAAAAATGTAACTATATAATAATGATGGAATTTTGAATTTCATTTTCTATATTAGAAAATGAATTTGGTTTATCTTTTTAATTTTTTTTTCTTTTTCTGACCGAATTATTTCCAAATGATGACAATATAATAATAATAATAAAAACAAAGAATCGTTTGATTCATACAATGTCGAGTGTGTGTGTGTGTGTGTGCATCGTATAAAATTGGTTAAATTGCTTGCTCTTCAATTGTATATTACCATGATGATATATGTATCATCGTTGTTTCATTATCATCATGATGATGGTGATGATTGATTACAATCATCATCAACTATAATAATATATTTTGTGATTACCTAATCATTTATCCGTGTGATAGAGATTGCAAGCAAAAAAAAAAAAAAAAAAAATCCATCACCAGATAAAGAAAGTGATATTAGAAAGGGAAAGGTATGTAAAATGAAAATTGAGAAATGTCAATGCCAAATTATCAACCACCAACATGTGTGTGTAACAAATGTCAAAAAAAATTGGTTTTCTTTCATTTAATTTTTTTTTCTTTTGGATGAACTTTACTTATTTGTTGTTGTTGTTGTTGTTGTTGTTATTGTTTGTTGTCATAAAAATGACAAGCTATGTTTAGATGATAAAAAAGCTTATGATGTGATGATTATTATCAAGCAAAAAAATAAACTACACTAACGACATAATAATATGTGAGATGTTGTGATCCAAATCCAGAATTTAAAATATTGCCTATTTTTGCAAAAATTTTTGCAACATTTTATGATGATGATGATAATGATTAACGATAAACAAATGATGTACACATACATCACCAATTATTAATAATGAATGGTCATGTGATTGCGACAAATAATAATATGCACAAACCGGATTCTAATATAATATCTCTCTCTCTCTCTTTTCTATGAATCTGAAATCTAGTGATTTTCAAAATTTCACATTCTATACAGAAAAAAAAAATTATTAGCCATATTTGACAAGCGAACAACAACAAAAAAATCACAACAAAAACAACAACAACAACAACAACAACAAAAAATGTACATATTTATCGGCCAAATAATTGATGAACAGAAAAAAAAATCACATCACACATTAAATCGCCAATTAAATTGGAATTATCATGATTTTTATCTTTGAAAGCGACAAAATAATTGTCAAATTTTGAATCAAAAAAAAAAAAAAAGCTAGATGAGAAAAATGTGTGTGTGTGTGTGTGTGTGTGTGTGTGTGTGTGATTGACATTTTTGTATTTTTTTTTTCTCACCAACTCGTGTTTATCCGGGATTATAGTCAAAAACAAAAAAAAATACAGCTTTTTTGTGATCATATGAAATGATAATTATTTTATTTTTTTTTTGTTTTGTTTGTTTCCTACAATTCAATAATCATCTCATAAATCGTTCATGTTTGTCATCGAAATGGAAACAAAAAAAATTTTTTTTTTGTCGAAATGAAACACACACAAATTTTTCTCTATATAAATCTGACGGAGAGTTTATTTTTTTCCTTGCTTGTTTTCTTTTTCTTTTCTTTTTTTTTTTGTTTGTTGCCAATATTAATGTTTTTCTTTCATCAGAATCTCAGTGGATTCACAGTGCTCCCTCCCCCCATCAAACAGCATCAGCATCATCGAAAGCAGCAGTAGTAGGAGGAGGTAATGAAATTTTGTTTTTTCGTTTTTTTTTGTTTTCATACATTCCAGTTTTACAACCTAAAATTTCGAGCTTAAAAAAACACATTCATATGTTATGATATACATCAACGGTCATTGTGCCTTGTAATCAAAAAAAAAAGAAAAAGAAAAAAATCACTGCATATCGAACTTTTCTGATAGGCGGCAAAGCAATACTTCGATCATTTTTTTTTTTTTTTTTTGATTGAACACATTCCATAGTGTCTATAAACCTTGTCTGTTGTAATTATATATATGCACTTGAAAAAGAAAAAAAAATTCACTCTTTAAGCAACACCATTTTGCCTTTTTTTTTGATTATACATCAACAGGTATGTGGTATTTTTTGTTTTCGATTCTAAATTTTTAATTTCATGTCGTTTTTTTTATCTTTCCATTTTGATTTAGTATTATTATCATCGTCATTATTATTATCATCATCATCAGATAGTATTATTGAACAAATGGAACATTTGCGTAATCAAAAAGTGACAAAAATCTGTTGTATTGGTGCTGGTTATGTTGGTGGACCAACATGTGCTGTCATTGCTCGTATGTGTCCACAGATTAGAGTTTGTGTAGTCGATTCGAATCCAAAACGAATTGAACTTTGGAATTCTGATCAATTACCAATATATGAGGTATGAGATGAGATAAATATATATAATCTTTATTATTATTAATTTTGATTCTATGATTACTTTCAACAGCCTCAACTTGATGAAATTGTTAAAGAATGTCGAAATAGAAATCTATTTTTCTCTGTTCAAGTTGAAAAAGAAATTTCACAAGCTGAATTAATATTCATTTCTGTCAATACACCAACGAAAAATTTTGGTTTCGGTAAAGGAAAAGCAGCCGATTTGAAGAATTTAGAACATGTATCACGTTTAATTGCCAGATCAGCCGATGATAGTAAAATTGTTGTGGAAAAAAGTACGGTACCTGTACGTGCAGCCGAAAGTATTAATCGAATTCTTGGAGCGAATAAAAAATCCGGCGTACATTTCGAAGTATTATCGAATCCAGAATTTCTGGCCGAAGGTACAGCAATCAATGATCTGATTAATCCTGATCGTATACTAATTGGCGGCAATGAAACAATGGATGCACAGATTGCAGTGGAAAAATTATGTGAAATCTATCAGAATTGGATACCGAATGAGAAAATTATCCGCACTAATACATGGTCATCGGAATTATCAAAATTGGCTGCGAATGCATTTCTGGCTCAACGAATTTCATCGATAAATGCCATATCGTCATTATGTGAAGCAACTGGTGCCGATGTTAATGAAGTGGCCAATGCAATTGGATCAGATTCAAGAATTGGACCAAAATATCTACAGGCTAGTATTGGTTTTGGTGGCAGTTGTTTCCAGAAAGATGTACTTAATTTGGTTTATTTATGTGAATATCTTAAACTACCAGAAGTTGCTGATTATTGGCATCAGGTATTTTTTTTTTTTTTTGTTGTGAATTATGTTTGATTTTTTTTTAATTCTTCTTCCCATTTAGATTATCGCTATGAATGATTATCAGAAAAGACGTTTTGCTTTACGTATAACTGAATGTATGTTCAATACAATTACCGGTAAACGTATTGCAATATTAGGTTTTGCTTTTAAAGCCAATACTGGTGATACACGTGAATCACCGGCTAAATTAGTATGTAAACATTTGCTAGAAGAGGGCGCACAATTAGCTATTTATGATCCAAAAGTATTGAAAGAACAAATCTATGCGTAAGTTGTTTGGGAAAAAAAATATGAATGTTTTTTTTTATCGGAAAAATTGATTTTTTTTCTACTTTCCATTCATAATATATAGAGATTTAAATATTTCCGATCTAAATATACCGGATGGCAATAAATGTTTAGAGGATTATGTTGAAGTGGTCGAATCACCGTATATTGCGTCGACCGATGCACACGCAATCGTTATCTGTACCGAATGGAATGAATTCAAGGTTTTTTTTCCAGGATCAATTTGAGTAAATGATGATCATTTTTAATTTTTAATTTTTTTTTCTTTTGAATTTCATAGGAATTGAATTATGAAAAAATGTATTCATTAATGATGAAACCGGCATTTATATTCGATGGACGTAATCTAATCAATGTTAGACAATTAGAAATGATTGGATTTCATGTGGAAAAAATTGGCCGCCAATCGAATCATAAAAAAATTGGTTCAATGGAACCAAATTATAATAGATAGATTGATATAATGAACATCCGGAATTATTATTTTTTTTTCATTTCCGAAAAGTTTTTTTTTTTTTGAAAAGAAAACAAAATAAAATGAAAATTTTCCTATCCACGAAACTTGGGACCAAACTTTTGATATTTAAAAAAAGAAAATAAAAATTTTTTTTCTCTGAATTTTTAAAAAAAAATCATTCGATCGATTGATTGATTGATTGATTGATTCTATCGGGTATATATTTGAATTATATCGATCGACATTGACCTTGATCATTTTATTGTTTTTTTGTTGTTGTTGTTCATCATCATCGTTAATTATTATTATTATTTATGACTGATCATCATTGTGTTTCATAATTCAAATGATCATTTTTTTTCTTTTTTTATTATCAATCAATCATTAATGGATAATTAATTTTCTCCATAGGCAATGGATTATACAATCATCATCATCATCATCATCATCATTTTATGTCTATGGATCTTGACATATTTATGACATGTAAATTTGCGCACACACACACACTTGTACTAGATTTAAACAGAAATTTCCAAGTTGACAACACCGATTTTTCTCTTTCTCTCTTCCTCCCCTTCCCCCCAATCCCAGACCAATATATTTACATATCATTGATAATAAACAAAAGTCAATTTGTCATTCAATATTGTCATTGAATTAGTGGTTAATATAATAAATATGATGATGATAGGAAGAGCATGAAACAAACAATGAAAAAAGGTTGGGTAAAGAAAACAAAAAATTTCCATAACAACCAACCAACCAGTAGCCAATATAAATATATATACAATCAAAATCCATCCTCACTACATTTCGTTTTTTTCTGGTTCAATTCCATTCGATGCCCAATAGAATCTACAATTGTCTACAAAAATAAAACTAAAGTTGTAGCTTTGATCTTTTCATGGATTATTTCGAAAAAAATTTTTTTTTGAAACCTTGCAATCACCATGAAAATGACATGAAACATCATTATCAGAAATGAGAAACGTGTGTGTTTGTAACTAACCACTTGCTTTTACACACACACACAAACACATCACAAAGTCATGGCTATATTTTTTTTGATGTTTAATCAAACAAACAAAAAAAAATTTCATTTCTTTTTTACTCTCTCACTCACTCTTTTCTTGTCATCATCTGTTAAAGAAACATATATGTTGAATGAACAAAACAAAATCAAAATAAAAAATAAACTCAAACAAATGATCCGGTGGTCGTTCTGAGAATCAATCACCATCATCATTTTTTATTTCCCGAACATAAATGTTGAACCATGAAATTATCCGAATAGCCATACAATCACGATTTATTCCATTGACAATTAACAACGTCAATGATATTCATATTTTATCAACTTTTTTTTTAATTAAAGTGAACATTGAAAACAAAACAAAACAAAACAGAAAAAAAATCTCAATTTTTTTTCCTGGATCTATATATCGATATCGATATGGTAATTATATTAATTTTTAATGTACACAGACACACAGACACACACACACACACACGCATACATGGATGCTAAAAAAAATCATTTACATTTCACATGTACAATCATCATCATCATCATCATAATGTCATTTGTTTCCTAGTTTTGTCACACACACACACATCAATAACCATTTTCAACAACAACAACAAAAAACAGACAGAAAATTGTCCATCGAGAAAAATTAGGAAATACAAAAAACAACAACAACAATATTCATAAAGTGCTTCCTATCAATATTGATGCTTGTGCATGCATGCATGTGTTTGTTTGTTTGCACTCGGCAACCGAATAAAAAAGAAAAAGAGTTGCTATAGTTTTTTGTGTGTGTGTGTGTGTGTGTGTGTGGATGTTAATCAAATATTTGAATTTTTTTTTTTTTTTTTTTTCTGGTTCACGTTACAAACAATTGAATGTGTTTAGGTGAATGACAAGAGAAAAAAAAAGATTTGGATCGACAATTTTAAATAATGATTATGAATAATGAAAATATTATCATCAATACCGTCAATAATAATGATTCAATATTGCAATGTAATTGTTGCAATTCAATCACACCATCATCATCATCATCGAATTTGATGATAAATTTTGATTATAATAATCATCATCATCATCATCCACATTGTGTAAATCAACGAATAAAACGATTATCATTATCGAATCAATTATTTAGTAGTATTAATTCCGATTCATCTTGTTCAAGTTATTCAAGTATTGAATCATTATTAGAATCAAGACGTGAAAATCCTGAACAAATTCTATTGGCATTAGGATTTGGTAGGCCAATTGATTCATTGGATCATTTGGATCCATTGAATCGTATACCATATAGATTTTTTATGCAACAATCCAATTGTAAAGGTGTTAATGTTAATGATTTTATACGACTATTACGTGAATCAGAAGAAACATCACAAATAAAATCATCATATTATTGTAATCAATTTATTTGAAATGTAATGTATGCTGTCAATATATAATATATTTATATTTATATATACAATTATCAGATTCTAATGGCAAAAAATTTTTTTTTTTTGTTCAAATCTAGTTCAAATCTGGACCGATAATGATTTTTTCGATGATTGATTATAATGATAATGAATTGGATTATAATTATTAACAACAACAGAACAAAAAACATTGTGAATTGTTGAGAATCGATCATATAAGGATGACATCATTTTTTGTTGTTGTTGTTGTTGTTGTTGTCATCATGACATCGATTGTTGTTAATGATGATGATGATGATAATGATGATAAAAAGAAGGAAAATTGTCAAAATGTCATTGTAATAAATCATCAATAAACTGTGATATAGATGTTTAAACTTCAAATCAATCTTCACTACTATTTGTTGTATGGAATTGAATAAAAAAAACAAATAATAAAATTTTCTCATCGATTAATGAATCGAATCAATCAATTGGCCATCATCATCGTATCAACGAAACAATTCAATTATTAGATGATAAAAATATTGATCTGTGATATATATAAATTATATCCTTTAACCATGTGATTTGTTTTGTTTTGTTTTTTTTTTTTTTACATTTCAATTTGCAATTTTGCATATTTTACATTTTTTTTCTCATTAAAAAAAATATTTTTCCATTCCATTATATGATGATACAAGAATAATTTTTTAGAATTCGATGCCAAATACAGACAGACAGTAATACATGTTTGTTTGTTTGTTTATTTGTCCTATGACAAGATGAAAACCTAAAAATTACATAAGGATAGGGTTGAATGAATAAAAAGAATTTTTTTTCTCTCATTCTCATCACAATGACAGAAAAAGCCAAACAAAATAGTGAACGAAAATATTGAAATAAAAACACCAGAACCAAGAGCCAAACCAAAAAAAAAAAAAAAGAAAAAAAATGTTGATTATGTGAATGGTGGATGTAGGGGTGTGGGGAAAGGGAAAAAAATAGTTATTTTTAGTCACATTGGAGAGGATATCAAATATTAACAAAAATAATTGTGACGAAGAAGATTATTCGTTGTTGTTGTTGTTGTTGTTTTTGTTTTTTTGTTATACGTTATCATAGAATTCATTTATCATTTTGATTCATTATCATCTATATGACAATAAATGACTGATATGGATCAATATAATCGATTAATTTGCTAAATCAATCAATCAATTATTAATGGTGAAAATATTCAAATAGGTGCATGAAAATACATTTTTGGATCATACAGAAAAAAAAACCGGAATGAATTTTATTTATTCGAACAAGCCAAAAAAAAATCCATAATCAAAAACAACAACAACAACAACAACAAAACCTGATGACGTTTTAATATAAAAAAAAGACAAAAGACAACACACACACAATGTGGATTATCATTACTAAATCTTGGATTTTATAATCCGAATTCTTTTTCTTTCACCAAATTTTTTTGTTTGCTTGTTTGTTTGTTTAAATGTCGCATTTATTGGATGCAATATGAATGCTTTCATACGACTACATTTTTTTTTGTTGCTTTGAATTTCAATAATAACAACAACAACAACAACAACCAGAACAAACTGAAATAGAATTGACGGAAAAAATTCTTTTCAATGAATGAACGTACTACGTGCATATATGTATACTATTTATTTATTTTTTTTTTTCTTCATTCATTCATTTATTTGTTGCGACAAAGTTTTCGATTTTTTTCGGCAAATTTATTTCCATCACACGATTACAACAACAACAAAGATTGAAAGAAGTGAAATAAAAGTGTTAATCTATGGGCGTCATCATCGTCATCAATGTTGGTGTCTAAAAATATCAATTTCATATATCAAATTGTTGGCCAAAACAAAACAGAATAGAGAAAAAAAAATAAAGAAAAACATTACACGTGTTGACATAGATAATTCTTCGTCTTCTTCTTCTTCTTCCGTTGAATTTTACTTTATTCAACACTTGACACAATTATTATCATCATCATCATCATCATCATAATAAATCAAATGTAAAAAAATGTAAGTAAGAATGGATTCACAGAGAGCAAGAAATAAAAATTACCGGCTCATTATTATTATTATTATTTATCATCCATAATAATGATGATGATGAATAAAATTAACAGCCACAATCATATTTTTTTTTTTCTCTTTTCACCGTTATCATTTGAATAATATTAATGAATGATGACATTGAATATGATGTAATGATAATTGCACACACACATATATACCATTTGATGATGATGATCATGATTTAATTTTTTTTTTTTTTTTTTTCTCGCCACTTGGAATGGTTGAGAAATTGGAATTTTTTTTTTTTCTCGCCACTTGGAATGGTTGAGAAATTGGAATTTTTTTTTTTTTTTTTGTTCGTTTCATTTTCATTTGATGATATATGATCAAGTTTTCTTTTCCTCACATTCATTCGTTTTTTTTTTACAACCAGAAATCGATTTTTTTTTACTTTTTCAAAATTCAAAAAAAACCATCCATTCAGATTCATGTGGTTAAGTGCAAACAAACAGCGACAAACACACACACACACACAAAATAACTTCTTTGAATGGATGAATTTTTCTTTTTCATTCATACTTCATCATCATCATCATCATCATCATCATCATCACAGAGAAAAGATTGATGAATTAGACAAAGTAAAAATAATGTAGTCGTATATACATATATGTGCAAATGATGAATATATATATATATGTATTATTTTGTTATGATTAGAATTTTCATTTCCATTTGAGATGCATTTTTTTTATTTGTAATTTCATTGAATAAAGAACAACAACAACAACAACAACAACAACAACAACAAAAACTCGTTCAGTCAGTCACATGTGTGTGTGTATGTGTTTTGCTTGTGAAATATCGTTTTTCACATACATTGAATATTGATAATCATAATAATTATCACTTTTCTCAAATAAAATAATGACCATGGATTTAATTGTGTGTGTGTGTGTGTGATATATGTGTTTTGATTACAATTTCAATGTATAAATGAATACATGATTCTTGGATGTAATGAATTCATAATTTTCGATTATCGTAAATATTTTTACCATTATAAACATGGGGCTAGAAACTGGATTTTTTTTTTACCCCTGGATCATCATCATCATTATTATTATTATTATTATTGATTTTTGATTATTGATTATTTCTATTTGTTGTATTTAATCATTTTCTGCTACTATTTATGGAGTAAAATTGAAATTCTTTTGCACAATCTTTCTTTTTCATCTTAGTTTTTTATTTTTAGTTAAGAATTTTTCTTTTTTTTCAAAATAAAAAAAAAGATTAATTAATTCTCTGCGATTGACCATTGAAAATTGAATTTTGTGTTTTTTTTCAGATTTTTGTCTTGCAAAAAAAAAATTGTCATTGGAATGTTTGTTGTTGTTGTTGTTGTTGTTTTATCAAATCATTTTTTTTTCTTATTTTGAAATACAAAAATATTCGAAAAATTTCCAAACGTTAATCAAGAATTTTTTTTTTCTTCTTTTCATACACATTTCGGTTGACGGTCGTTAACCGTGGTAGTACTGTATGAAATAATGTCGAAAAAAAAATTGATACTTTCTTGCCACCACATTAATCAACCTTATAACATAGTAATAATAAATGATGATAATTCACTCATTCATTCAATACCACTATCACCTTGATGAATATAATCGATCATTAATTTTGAAGTATTTTTTTTGTGTGTATGTAAAATATGATTCAAACATGAAAGAAAATGAAATCGAAAATAAAAACCATTATTTTTTTTCTCAATAGAATTCATAATGGTTTTGTTTGCGAGTAAACAGAGAGAGAGAGGGATAAAAGGATGTTAATGATCATTATGGATAGAAGTTGTCCGAATACAAAAAAAAAAAAAAAAAAAATACAGTGGAAAAAATAAAGAAATGAATGTGTAAACACAGAGTGAAAATTTGAGTTTTGTGATTGATTGGTTTTTCTGAATTATCAAGTCAAGCTTTTTTTTTTTATTTATTTATCATTGTTATTGTAAACTTCATGAATGAAATTGAAATAATAATGCCATCGGCTATTTATTGTGTAAATCGCACAATATTTTTTTTTTCTCTCTGTCTCTCTTTCTCTCTCTCTCTTTTTCTATCGTAATCGTATAATTTAAATTTCCAATTTTCAGACGGTATTATCATAGTAGTGCCTCCAATACTTTTTGCCATACACACACACACACACACACATTTTATTTAATCATTTTGATATCCAATTTGAATGAGAAAAATATTGATTATTAAGCGCAAGCGCAACAAGTTGATTTCAATTTTATTTTACTTATTGGAATTATAGGAATTATAAATTCTCACGTTTTTGTTAAATGAATTAAATGTTCCAGGAATTTAATGTTTTTTTTTTTTTGATAAAAACATACATGAATTTATAATTTCAGTTTAATTTATTTCAATTAAATTTAAATTAATAATAAAAGAGAAACAACAGAAAAAAAAGAATTCTGGAAAACTGGATGGACTGGAATTTAATTTTCCAATGAATGTGTGTTCACTGTGTATGTAATGTATTGGTGAATGATGGGTATGCGATATGGCTGTTTTTATGTGTGTGTGTGTGTGTGTGTGTGTGTGTGTAATAGTCTGTCTGAAAATTTATAAGGAATGTGTTGAATCCATGCTGTCAGACACATCACATCACTTCACACATACACACACACACACACACACAAACATTTCACACATCACCTTACCATCCATTTTCTTCATTCAACTTGATTGATCATGACATTCATTTTTTGATGATACGCACGTGTTTTATCATTTCATATATACATGTGTTTGTGTTTATCATGATTCTAGATTCTGGTAATTTAAAATTCTATGAAAACACGTGTTTTTTTTAACATCAATCGCATCATCATTATAATTTTTTTTTTTTGATTTCATCAATTTCATCAAAAAAAAATATTTGAAATAAAACAAGGTAAGTGATGAAAATGAAAACAATTTTCCGTTTTTACCTGGAAATATCCAGTTTTCTTTTTTTTTCCCCATGGTAGAATAACACTAAAATAATAATAACAGGAAAAAAATATAACCTAAATAATGATTATAAT